CGAATCTGCTGTCATTTTTTGGTTCTACGCGCCTGATTTATTTATAATTTTTGTGCAAATTCAGAGAAATTTTTTTTAATGAACACCTGTTGTTACCATCAAAATGGAAATTTTCGAAAAATTTTTGAAATTGACGAAGCTGTGGTCCTGTACTAAATCTAGTGCATAGAATATAAAAATTTGCTGTGGCTAGCACAGATACCACCCACACACTGGACATGCGCGTTCTGCCCAAAAGCTTTTTAAGCTCTTTCTTTTATGTCTAAGAATATTTATACCAAATTTGGTTCCAATCGGTTCAGCGACAGACAGACTGACATCGCCGAGATTCCGATTCTTGGTGCTTCAAAACGTGTAGTTCCGTAAAAAAAGTGGGGGGTCACTTTTACCTCAATGCAATTCCCCCCTTACTAACGCGCGGGTGATTAAAATGAAGGTTGTTTTGAGCTCCAGGGTATTTTGGGTTCTTGATGGCTGCAAGATGGCCAAAAAAATCGACATGAGCCAATAAAAAATTTGCATGTCCCTTATTTGTTGAGATATCAATTTGCTGTTTTTTGTTGTTGGACATAAGAAGTAGAAGAGCGTGTAGTGCAAACATTTGAACCACCTGGCACGGAACAGCCCTGCCCCAAAGTTTAGGTTACTTTTCTCAGGAACCGTGTTTGCACTAGAAACTCTCATCCAGAGATTGTTTAATATTTCTAATTTTTTAAATCTCCATTTTTGGGTTTTTTTAATCTCCAATATGTGTAATTCCGTTTGTGCGAATTTTTTTCGATTAATAGTTTCGCACATGCGTAAAACAACTTGGCACATTTATAGTAGAAGTATGGAAGTGAGCAAAGTAAGCGGCGTTTCCATAAAATGTGCGCATAAAAATTGCAATTTAAGTGGTATGGAATGCGCAGTTATTTTTGAAAAATTGGTTAAACTTGATGAAAAATGACAAGATGTTTGTTGCGACATATTGGCATTGGTTAAAGGATACGATGAACTTCGGTAGTTCGCACACAATCGGCGAGCTTTGAAAATTAAAGGGTATAATTACTTAAATTAAATTCAGTACAAAAAAAACTTGACGGAGATGCGGAGCCAGCACTATTTATAATCTGGACGGGAACGGTTGCAAACAGCGGATTAATCACAGGTTTTTGATTTAAAAAAATGTTCAAGATTGGAATCACTGGAACAATGAGAGCGTAAATACAAAATTGGGTTGCATTGTATTACTAAGGATACCTATTGTAACGGAAATGCTCCAGACATGACGTCGCCTTTGGCGCTCTGGAATTTTCTACGCGCGCGATTATTCGAGAATGTACTGGACTTACATTGCTTGCGTGTATAAATGGTTGCGGACCGAACATCGCGGCAGTCTACTACCGAACGAGTACGTAAACATCAAGCACGGAAAGATAAATTGCGAAGTGTGAGTGATATAAATAATCGATATAAATTGTACGGATTGTAGTGTTTTAGTTCTGTTTAATAAATATTGATATAAATCGAACCCGAATTTATAAATAACGTTACACTATTATAACTTATTCATTTACACGTTGTTCCTGAAGTCAAATATAGTCGAACAACCGAACAATTACAAAAACGTCCGAGGACTTTAGTACACCATTTCGTGAAAGTATAGTCCATAGTGTTGAATCATACAAATGAGTCACAAATTGGTCCTTCGAACCGATGCATTTTGTTTGTTTCGTTTTTGCATATCAATGACACTGAACTACCTGCAATGAAAATGTAATTTTATTTAAAATTTTAAAAATCGCATACAGCTCAAGTTTGTGGGCAACAAGCCGTGAAACGCAAGGAGGAAGGGGTACCACTTCAACTATGAGCACAAGGCCAACCGTTAGTATTTGATGAGCTAGATCGTGTTTTATGATCCAAAATTTTGAGCTAAGAACTAGGATATTTTTCGTTTATGGTGAGTCCACTTTTATTGTCTTGAAGTATCAAGTACCTGTACTGAAGTATAGGACATTCATGGAAGTAAGTACCCAATATCTAAAAGTTTTGAAATTATTCTGTGTAGGAGATATGATTTTGACAATTGTGGTACCAGACTCATGATGTTATCGAGGAGAGATTAAAAATTTATAAAATATTGATTACAGTCATCATTGAAAAAACTTATTACCCTGTCATTGTGTCTAGAAAGTGCCCGTGTCTTGTGTCCAATTTTAACACTGAGAAGTAGTAACAAAGGTCTACCAAAAAATGTGCACTCAATAATAATTTAGCCATATTAACTATTTATTTATTCACATTGTTAAGAAATGGGAAACTTCTATTTGAATATGTGGAGACAATCCAGTTCAACATTTTCCTACCTTGAATAGTGTAATTATCACTTATGTATAAAAGCAACATACATTCAAAGCAAGTGCCAAGTGCGCGTGGTTACTCACGCTCATGATAAAAATTTATAATTGCTAATTTCTGGGAAATGAAACAATTCTCTTATGTTTTTTGTTAATGTTGAACAAAGCGATCACATTTTTTACCAGGAAAACTACTCAAAGTTCTTTTCCATGTGATACGTGGAAATGCGGTGGTGTACCTTTGAACAAAGAGTATATACTCTTTTGCTTTGAATTAGTTTTGTAAACCTCATTGTGCGGGTAATTAGTCGGTACACATGTTCTTTAATAATAGCCCTGGCAGACTTGGAAACGCGAATCTCCTGGGTTACGACACCGCGTAGTACAAATGAATCATCTTTACATTACGTGAGCTTCAATTACTACGCCAATTATGTTGAAAGTTCTAAATTGCAAAACGCTTTTGTAGGAAAGAAGCCTGCATCCACTTTAATGCTTAGGAAACAATGGACAATTACGGAATATTGTTTAATGCGTTATTCATTTGTTTTATAATTAATTTTAAACTTCCTATCAAGCAGGCCTTCGATTCATCTAACGGAATTGCGAGTTGTTACTATTAACTTACTTTTTAATGAATGAAGAGGTAGTTTCTCTATTATCAAAGTTTCAATTTACGGTCAGTAAGAGTTCGCGGGGGGGTTTTCAAAAAAATGCAAGGTCAATTAATTAAATGACTCCGTTGAGGGGGAGGGGGCAGGTTTATTTTAAAACATGTCTCAAAACCTTATTCGTTCTTTTGAATTTTTAAACCCTTTATATTTTTGCCGCCTGATTTGGTACTGCATCTAGGATAAAGGAGGTCCAAAACCTTCTATCATTGCATATATATACACCTTATATACAATGCTTTTATTTCTTCAAAATCTGGAGATTTTTAAAGTAATGCAAAGAAAATCAGTTAAGCTAGCTGTTGAGAGTTCGTATCTACCGTTTGCTAACGTGCAGTGTTGCCAGATGAGAATTTAGAAAATCTCCAGTGCTGCCGAAAATCGTCTTCACGTTTAAGAGGCGAGTGGAGTAGAAAAGTTGACTATAATGTAGTGCTGGCTCAATCTCTTATTTGGGAGTAATCCATCCGATGTTGGTCGTCGTCGTCGTTCGTTTAATCGTTGTAGCTGCCACGCGGGCAGGTCGGGTTCGATTCCTGCTCCGTCCGTCTATCCGAGGCTTTAACTACTCCTACAGTTTTCAATATACTTAAGTTTGTTCTTATTGAATTTGGTAGCTTATAGCCCTGGCACCTGAACAAGTTTTAACGGTTAATGTGCGCATGCGCATGCTTCTAGTAACAGCAAACATATCCCTTCAGGTGTGCGCATGTGCAGACTGTCTAATGCTAACTTTCTTATTTATTAGGATATTTTTTGAAATTTTAACTACAGATGCTTTTAGTAAAGGCAAACATATCGCATATAGTAACAATCAGATACTTCCCAGTAGTAATGTAGATTTGTGGACAAAATGCGCATAGTCAGTTTCGAGTGTACCATTATATTTTCAACTAAGTGAAGGGATCTGAGTGAAAAGGTTCAGAAGTTTGGAAATGTAAATGTGTCTAGAGATGAAAAAAGTTAATTAATTTTTTCTTAGAAATTACAATATTCAGTCAAGTACCCTACCACAGCCAAGGTCTATTGCTTGATCTATTCAGTAAAATGTCCTGCCAGTTCACTATACTTAAACGTGGAAAAACTGTATATATGCTGTGTGCAATGGTAAGCAGTAAACTACACCACCCTCAAAACACTTGCAGAGCTAGCCCAAACAAATGAAAAATTTCTCCTCGTACACATCTGCTAGATCTAGCATGTCGTGAACCAAAAAAACCTCGCAGAAGACCTAAATCAACTTGTTCAATGTGTCGTTTTGACGATTCACTTTTGCCCTATATCATTTACCTGTGTAACACAACAGACGCGCGCGGCGCGCATCCTAACAGCACACGGTATGCTAGATTTCATAAGTTTTCTAAATATTGAAACACGAATCTTCACTCTTTTGTGTATCAGCCAAATGCATATTTTATCTTGTCATACAGAAAATTGATTGCTCTTTTTAAATATCGTAAAAACATAGGCATTGCATTGGAAAAACAAAAGTTACATCGATTTTCGGTTAAACCGAAAGTGATGTGGGAAGTTTGAATATGCAATCAGATAGATCGTAATGTCACGTATAAAATTACATTTGACAAATTTTTCGTATCTCGCCAAATAAAAGAGATATTGAGGTGACCCTCTTATCTCGAACGCACTGTATATCCTTGTGTTTGCAATAATGGTAGTATAATTGAAATTGACAATAATAATTATTATACAGATGAATCAACTGCATTTAGCTAAATTTTGAGTGTACAGTTACTGAAATGCTGTGCTGCATTTACGTGTATTAACGACATAATTCTCTCTTATGGTTCCACTTGAAATTTATCTTAAACAATAAAACCATTATCATTTGTTTTCAGTGCGGATAAACTGTTGTTTTAGGCAATTAGTCGGTTTATGAATTTGTGATGTACTGCTACATAAAAAGTAATGCATGTTTTAATATTTTCGCAATAGCCAAATTTTTTTAACAACTGTTATATTATTTTAGGGTGGTTACCCAGCAAAACTCAAAAAGGTTCTAATTGTGACGGCGCCTTTATGGTTCAAAGCTCCTTTTAAAATTCTTCGTCTCTTTGTACGGGAAAAGCTTAGAGAGCGAGTATATACGGTGTCGACGGCGCAACTCAGTAGTCACATCCCGAGGGATTCACTTCCCACACAGTTGGGAGGAAACCACAAGCTGGACCATGAAGCCTGGCTGTTACGTTGCTATCAGTCTATGACCACCCGTCCTGAATCACCACAGCCTCAATATGGTAGGTAGTGTTTAAATCTCGTCTGCGTTTAATACGAATTAATTTTTCCAGATGGCACAACGCCATCCCCACAAAAACGTCTTGGAACAACAGAAGATATCAAAATTTCGGCATCGACCAATAACATAAATGATAGTTGGGCGGAAGAAGCCAATCTAAATCCTCCCAGTAGTGCATCTAGTGGTTTTTCCGATGACGATTCCCTCCATGGTGACGGTACCGCATTAACAATGCCCCAATTAGTAGATTATATTAGAGAAAGAGGCAGGTTGGGACTTATACAGGAATATGCGGAAATACGCGTTCGGCCACCCGAAGGGACTTTTAACGTTGCTAAAGTAAAAAATAACCTTCCTAAGAATAGGTATACCGATGTGTTGTGTTACGATCATAGTAGAGTGATTCTCTCCGAAGTTGACGGTGATAAAGACAGTGATTATATACATGCAAATTTTGTAGATGGTTATAAACAAAAAAATGCTTTTATTAGTACTCAAGGTAAGTCACAGTCGGAAGCCGAAATTTATTAATAGCTTGTCTTACTAGGTCCATTACTAAAAACGGCAACAGACTTCTGGAGGATGGTTTGGGAACAACATTGTTTAGTAATTGTGATGACAACTCGTGTTATGGAACGTGGACGTCCTAAATGCCATCAGTATTTCGAAGCGGATGTTGATGGTGAAGCCAGTTATGGACACTTTGTAGTTAAAACTATTTCAATAGAAGCCGATCCAGATTATACAATTTCTACTTTACATCTAACCAATACAAAAGTATGTATATTCTATTTCAGCTTTAGTGCATTGTGGGCTCGTATAACAGTAACTATCTAGGGCCGCCAATAGAGGGGTAAATTTAACATTCATTTTTTTGAGAACAGTGATCTTTAATGAAAATTATTCAAATGTTCCCCTTTTGAATCAAAAAAATAAAGAAAGAGAATCTACAGTTTTTATTCCATTGCATAAAAGTTATTGTTTGGGATATCATTAATTGGCGATTGGCGATAACTACACAATAAATGCAATTGATGAAGAAATTGATTGCCAGTATATGGGCCAATGACTTAGAAACAATAGCAAATAGCATTCCATAATGATGCTAATAATACTGAAGGTCGATATTGTGGCTAATTAATTTTGATCAGGTATGAATATAACGGAACGTTAATTATATAAAGGTTTTACTATGATCTCTATACGTCGAAAGTTTATAGTACCTTAATTTTTGTAAGGATTATTAACTAGGATTGGTTTTTAAAGTACATGTTACCAATAAAATAGGAAGATTAACGCTATTTGAACCCTAGATCAAAGTTTTCCTTATTTTATGGAAAGTGTAAAAGTATAAACAGGCCTGCAAACGCTTCTTTACTGATCTACAGGGTGTTAAAATTTTAAGATTGTTTAAATCTCCTGCAGTTTTTGAGATATTTCGCTCAAATTTGAAATGTAAAGCTAAAGGCCTAATATTAATTGGTCATGTCAATGGTATAGTGAAAATATGCAGCATGTTTTTTTAGGGGTCACGTTCTTTTTTTCGGTGCGCCACTGGCAGACGGTGGAACAAGAATTAAATTTTCTGATTTATTTAGAAACTGTTGGCTTCTTAATTTTTTCGCATTTGTGACCGAGAAAAATCAATCTTCGGTGCTTGGCTAAATGAAAGAGTAATCTAAAAAATGGTCCAGTAGGCCCTAGTGTTATTTGGCTAATCTGTTGTTTTTATTAGTTTTGGCAGTTGGGATCAGGGATTGAAAATTGTATCTTGTGTTTGCACTAAAATTATAAACTTATTAAAATCATATTGGTTATAGTTACCTTTCCAATACGAATAAATCGGATAAGCTATAACGCGTAGGTAGAGGTAGGACTTGAACCCTAAAATTAAAATCCTAAAAGAAAATCAAAGGTAACCCCTCTTTCTTGATAAACTAAAATGCCCATGCCTCTTAAATAAGAGGGTTAATTATAGATGAGTGCAACAATCGACGATGGAAATTGTAATATGACAAATATCAGTCGTGACCTAAAGAAAAGGTACACTTCAATTACAGAAGATGCAAATGGGATACTGAGAAGAAAGAAACGCAAATTATACCCTCACTATTGGTGTTTTTAAGCGAATCCGTTCACTAATTATTCAGGAATTCGTAATTTAATGAATCCAATTGCCAGAGATTAATAAAATATGGCTCATGGCAATTAAAATTCCATGCGTTCTCAACTAACGCCTCAGTTGTTAGTTCAAACGAAGTGCACTTTGTTACAGCTTTCAAAAGAAAAAGTAAGACGAAGGCCGACAACCGATAACCACAAAATGCGCGCTAAGATGACGTGGTTAAAAATTCCAACAATAGATGGAGCCATCAGCCATCAATTCAAAACTTACAAGGATCTTATAAATAAATACACTATGAGCACTAGTAATGCTGGTAATGAAGACAATAAACTGTTACAAAGCACACAGCACAGTTCAATAAACACTCACAAGGGTTTTAATACTAAACAAGTAAACCAAAACTACTACGTGGTGTTGCCAGCGCAACCAACTCGCATAGGCAGATCGATAGACATAGTTTGATAAGTAGACATTTTCAACAAATTGGTGCAGAAATAACGATTTTCACATCTTTTGGTTAAACATTTTTTCGTCTCTAAAAATACACATTGATCACTTCTTGGACATCAAGCATTGGAGTTTAGTCTTCTTTACAAGAAAATTTGTGCCATAAATAAGGATTCAGATCAGATTTTGGGAAAAGTTAATTTTGTGATAGTTGCACACCTGGAATCTATAAGCTTTCCTGGAGCGACAACCCGAAGTCGATACAAGATTTTTTCCCAAGAAAATCGGTACATAAATAACGATTTTGAGATTTTTTGAACAAAAATTCACATGGAACACTTTTTGTACATTGAGCAATCGAGTTTGGTATTTTTTTCAAGCAAATTGGTGCACAAATAAAAATAACGATTTTGACATCTCGCCAAAAATACGCATGGTCACTTCTTGGGCATTGAGCAATGGAGTTTGGTATTTTTCCCAAGAATGTCAAGAGCATAAATAAATTTTGGCTAAAAATATTCTCGGCACCATAAATGCATATGCATCAAGAAATAGAGTTTAGTATTTTCCCCACAAGATTGATGCATAAATAACAATATCAATCGATTTTGACAAATTTTTGATAGTTGCACATCTAGAACACATATGCTTTCTCATAGCACAAATCCAAAGTTGATAAAAGGGCCTGAGCTAAAGTGCGCCATTTTTGTGGGTGGCATTGAATAAGCCAAAAAAAATATAACTAGGTAACATAGGAAAACCTGAAATTGGTCTAAGTTGTGTACACGCCAAAGTGGTTAATTACCACAAATATTCAAGGATGGTTGGCGGCGAGCGGTAAATAATGACCATTTTAAACAAGGAAATCAGTTATATTTACGAACCCTTTGTTTTAGTAGCCATTATAGGAGTAATCTTAACTGTATCATAAAACTGCTGACTGAGACCTTAGGTAAATTAGGTGGCCCTATCCAACGAACCTTTACCCCTTCTCAAGCATTTGAAACCTCTGGGCGTTTGTTTCATAGTTCACTATCAGAGCTTTCCAGAACTTTTTCATGACACTCTAGAAAACTTCTAAATAAAACCCTGAAACATCCTCTAAACACCATTGATTTAGAAGTGTTCCTTTTTTCCTTGGCAACCATATAACTCTTAGAGAAATGGAAAATGTGCGTCTGCCCATTCTGTATTTTTGTTTGTGTGTTTACTGATACAAGAAGAAATTAAAAATTGTACTCTATTTATTAATTTATCTTACAGTTAGAAGAAACACGAGAAATTTCACATTGGCAGTTCACATCATGGCCTGATTATGGGGTGCCACATTCGGCTAGGGCGATGCTAGATTTTCTAGAGCGAGTAAGAAGGCAACAAGCTAATATGGTTCTAGCCCTCGGTGATACGTGGGCGGGCCATCCTCGAGGACCACCAATTGTTGTTCACTGCAGTGCTGGTATTGGACGAACAGGTATGGTAATCTAAGTGTTTGTACTAAACATAAGCCAACAAGCAGAGTCATGATGGCAACTAGGATGTCCAATTTATATTTAGTTCACTGTATCAGACTAACGATTACCTTTTCAATTGCAGGTACATTTTGTACATTAGACATATGCATATCACGTTTAGAAGATGTCGGTACTGTGGACATCCGGGGGACGGTAGAGAAGATACGGTCGCAACGAGCGTATTCCATTCAAATGCCTGATCAGTATGTTTTTTGTCATCTAGCTCTTGTAGAATACGCACAAATGAAGGGCAGTTTACAGTCGGCCGATTTATCTGGCTTTGATCAAGGTGCAGATGAAGATTCAGAGTAATCTTAACCTTGCATCTAATTGTTAAATGTGAACTTTGTAGTTATGATACTTTGGAAGTAAAGAACTGAATTGTGATGTGTAATATTATGTGTTTTTTGAGAGTAAATTGTTTAGTAACATTTTAACTTAATGAACGTGATGATCTTGTTAGGTATTTGATTTATTTTAAATATTGATAATATTTATTTATACCATTAATGTTGTATACCGATTTATTAACTCTTCGCCCTAATTATAATTATTTAAAGTATGTGTTAATATCTTGAATTTTTATTAATTTATTTAATGTTTTGGTGCAAGATACAAAAAAATTGATGTCAATGAAACAATCGGATTTAAGATAAATATACTGTTTAAACTATACTGTAGGCCCAATTTTAACCTAAATGGCAGTTGCCTGAGAAACTTTCCATTTTGAAAACGCAATTCTGTATTGTAAATAGTGCAGGATGCTACTACGAAATTCACATTTCTGCTACATTTTTTGTAATAAATATTGCAAGTAAGTGTAGGTACTATCACATTTCAAAGACGCCTAAAATGATTTCCTATTAAGTGAAATATTTTTTGTTTTAATGTGCAACTGCTGAAGGAACATAAGTCATTCCATGTTTCAGCAGTAACTTTTAATTTACTTAACATATCTCAAATTGTGTACTGCAATTTAGATTTATTAACATAATGGCAACAGACAAAATGAATTTGTATTGCAGCTTTCTTTAAGTATTAATTTATTCTACGTTTAAATAAATTTCGTGAAAAGTGAAGTGAGTATTTCAAACTTGGAATGTGATTGAAGATCTATAATTCAGGGTTTAAAAACTTGTTCTGTAGGGTTAATAATTTATCTTAAGCGAAGCGTAAGCTTTTTTAGGGTACTATTGGTAATATAATAAATTTGAAGACTGCTTGATCTAATTAATTATTGGTATCTTTGTTAATTTAGAATGTAAACCCCATACAATTTTTACGTTACTCTGTAAGTATTACCATAATTTAAAAAAGAACCACAGTGTATTTTTTAATATATCTTAAGTAGTCAATGGTTTATTTATGGTGTTTTCTTGTGCATTTGTACATAGTGTATTTTAGTTGTTTAAAGAATAAAGAAATGCTTTCATTTTATTTTCCAGAACCATCCAATACCCATTTACCTTTCACCACGACTTCATGGCTCTCTCAAAAGGTCCAGTGTTTGTACCAGGTATGGTGATCATTGTGAACAACAATTGTGCATATTATACATACACAACTCCTATAGTCAAAAATTTATATACAGCGATATTTAGTAAGTAGGGATTTACGTGTGTTTTTTCCTATATCTCTTTTTAAAAGACAATTTCTTCTGAAGGGCGCCTAATTTTATGCAGCCAGGTTACAGGTATTAACTATGAATGTATATATGACACAATTTGTTATTTACATTTTACGTAAAATGCTGATACATAGGTATTTGTTTATTAAAGCATTATATGCACCCGTTATTTGAATCACGTTTGTTACACTGTATCACTCGAGCGGGGAGGGGTCCTAATGAACTTTTCTTCTGTTTAGTATGTGGATTTTGGTGGACAGAGTCTTTTTTACGTCTTTTACTCATGAGAGATACCACCCTGTATACACAACTTACGTTGATGCGCAACGCGACTTATTAGAAGGGTGAGAGCACCAACGGTGATTTACAGGGGCGGACTGGGTACTTAAGGGCCAGGTGGAATTGCAAAGGTTACGGGCCATTAAAGTATTAGTGTAGTAATGAAGGTGGCCGTGGAGGGGGGGGGGTAGCTCTGAGGTGCACCATAAAAACAGTGCTCCTTTCTCGAAAATCAATTACCATACAGTTTTTTTTTAAATTGCAGCTGATAATTAAAAGTAACAAAATATAAATACACACGAGGTGCGTCATCTATCATTGTATTTCAGCACTTTCATGCTACGACAAAAAATGATAAATTCATTGCAAAACAGTTCAATTAAAATAGATTTTTTTAACAACCTAATATCAACCCCAATTAGAGAAACGTGTTAATAATTTTGAGCCCCGAAAAAAAATTTTGTCTCAGATCGACCCGGAAATTTTCTTATAGAATGTGGCCTGTAGAATCCATAATTTCAAACAGTTCCAAGATTGGGCTACTAGTTCAAAAGTTACAGCCCCTTTGAATTTTCTTTCGAAATTGGTTTCTAGTCTATAACTTTTGATTGAGAAGTCTGATCGAAAAAGTACGAATTGTTTTGGATTCTACGCACCAAAATTAATAAGAAAAAAGTGTTTTCCCGAGAAATTTTGGTGCAGTCAATTTTTGGTAAAAAAGGAAGGTTATACACTGCCTTTTTTTGAGCCCCGAAGAAAAAATTGTCTCAGATCGACCCGGAAAAAAAATTTTCTTATAGAATGTGGCCCGTAGAATCCATAATTTCGAACAGTTCCAAGTTTGGGCTACTAGTTCAAAAGTTACAGCCCTTTGAATTTTTTTCGAAATTGGTTTCTAGTCTATAACTTTTGATTGAGAAGTCTGATCAAAAAAGTACGAATTGTTTTGGATTCTACGCACCAAAATTAATAAGAAAAAGTGTTTTCCCGAGAAATTTTGGTGCAGTCGATTTTTGGTAAATAAGGAAGGTAATACACTGCCTTTTTTTTGAGCCCCGAAAAAAAAATTGTCTCAGATCGACCCGGAAAAAAAATTTTCTTATAGAATGTGGCCGGTAGAATCCATAATTTCAAACAGTTCCAAGATTGGGCTACTAGTTCAAAAGTTACAGCCCTTTGAATTTTTTTTCGAAATTGGTATCTAGTCTATAACTTTTGATTGAGAAGTCTGATCGAAAAAGTACGAATTGTTTTGGATTCTACGCACCAAAATTAATAAGAAAAAGTGTTTTTCCGAGAAATTTTGGTGCAGTCGATTTTTGGTAAAAAAGGAAGGTTATACACTGCCTTTTTTTGAGCCCCGAAAAAAAAAATTGTCTCAGATCGACCCGGAAAAAAGTTTTCTGATAGAATGTGGCCTGTAGAATCCATAATTTCAAACAGTTCCAAGATTGGGCTACTAGTTCAAAAGTTACAGCCCTTTGAATTTTTTTTTCGAAATTGGTTTCTAGCCTATAACTTTTGATTGAGAAGTCTGATCGAAAAAGTACGAATTGATTTGGATTCTACGCACCCAAATTAATAAGAAAAAGTGTTTTCCCGACAAATTTTGGTGTAGTCGATTTTTGGTAAAAAAAGGAAGGTAATACCTAATACACTGCCTTTTTTGAGCCCCGAAGAAAAAATTGTCTCAGATCGACCCGGAAAAAAAGTTTTCTTATAGAAAATTACCATACAGTTTTTTTTAAATTGCAGCTGATAATTAAAAGTAACAAAATATACAATCCACACGAGGTTCGTCGCCTATCATTGTATTTCAGCACTTTCATGCTACGACAAAAAATGATAAATTCATTGTAAAACACTTCAATTAAAACAGATTTTTTTAACAACCTAATATCAACCCCAATTAGAGAAACGTATTAATAATTTATTAATAGTGCAAGAAACTAAATACAGCACATACTTATAAATTTCCAACGGGCCATTATGACCTACAGGCCAGGTGGCAACCGTCACCCGCCCCCCCGGGTCAGTCCGCCCCTGGTGATTTAGACCGTCCAGGACAAAGGATTGTGTTGTAGACTGGTTGTTGTTATTTAATGCATGTAGTAATTTTTGCATTTCGTTATAATTTATTTGTCTTTAATTCCAATGCAGAATCGCGTGTATGATACTGTTAACATTCTATTGTTTTTAAATCTTTTTCATTTTTGGTGTAAATGTTTGCTTAATTTATGTTTTTCATTACATGGTCTTGGCCCCAAGTTTAATTTTATCAATTTTGATCATTCTTTTAAACATGTGGAAATTATCGAATTGTTTGGAGTTTGATGTGTGTATTGCACACATTGACATGATAACTGTAACACTTTCTGCTTTGAACAGACGATCACGGGGGTGGAAAAAAAGCATTACGCGGATCACTATGTAATTGGGCGCGAGCCTGTTGAGGGCCCAGAAAGAGGGGGATAATAAACAACTGTATGGTTACGACACCTAATGCCTCGCCTAATGCTGTCACTGTTCTCGATTGTCAACTATAGCTTAGGAATTCTCGCATGAGGGCCCATTGTTACCCGTTCGAGGAGTTAGACTCTGTCTACAGAAAAACTCTGGTTTAGAATATATATGCGATGTATGAGTTGCGATTCACGAATTTCCGCATGAACAGAAAGGTTTTTGCGCACAAAAGATAAGCCACCTGTTCTATATAGCTACCTAATTTACTTAAAAAAATAAATAAATGTACAAGTTATCGTAATTAACAGATTCAGTAGCGCACGAACGTAGTGGCAGTCGGGGGAACGAACCGAAGGGAGGGCCAGACGGACGGACGGACGGACTCAAGCGAACGGTCTCGCGCCTGGTCGAGACCTCGGGTAAACGCAACCGGAGAAACGGCAGCTCCAGGAATCGGACGGGTTCAGAAAATGATGTCTGAAACAGGAAAGGTTGCATTTAAAATTTAAAAATCCACGGTAACTACATATTATCACGACAATTATGGTTGCTAAAGACTTTCAGACTGCGCTTAAATTTGTCGGTGCAAATGGCCATTAATAATGTTAATGACAGGAACTGCTGTCTACAATGAATGAACAGATTCTACTTTTGTTCAGTGTATTCGTGGACACATTGTATGTAAACGTGGGCTATAATAACGTAACATCCTATATAATGAAAGTAAAGCGCATGCGAATGGCGCAAGGTCACTTTCTGTAGTTTTGGTTGCATACACCTCACAAATGCTAGTTCAAAGGGGGTAATATGCTTGACAGGTGAAATAATAAAAATAATGGCAGAAACTGAACCGGACAGCAATAATCGAAGGGTTGAAAATGTAAAGGTAATTGCGAGCGGTCCGCGTGTGGTTACGATAAAAAAAACCGAAACGGGATTTGGCTTTAACGTGCGCGGTCAAGTGAGTGAAGGTGGTCAGTTAAGAAGTATCAATGGGGAATTGTACGCCCCTTTGCAACATGTCAGTGCCGTCCTTGACCGGGGAGCTGCAGAACAGGCCGGAATTTGCAAAGGGGATCGAATTTTAGAAGTGTAAGAGCCTTTCACCTTTGCCATTTACTTCCTAGTTGGAGTATTGATTTTTTTATTTACTTATTTGACAGGTTATGAAAACACAAACTCCAATGTTTATTTTCATCCCAGTTCTAATTTTATTTTTGTTTTGACCATCGTTAACCAACGTGTACAGTAATTGCGTTCTAAACCTGACTAAGCATCCAAAAATGGGTGGAATAATCTCTGCATAAAAATAAATTATTATCTGATGATTACAGCCCTGAAATTAGAAGTGTATCAGTGAAAAAGCACTTAGTTATTTAAAAAAAGAAATTATTTATGCTGCTATTCACTGACTACATGTATATAACAGTTATCAGCAGAGTACAATTGCGAATCACAACCTCTGTAGCATTCTGTATAAACCGGCAGTATTGTCGAATCAATCGGTGCTAATGAACTTCCCTGAAATCCCAAAAATACCTATATTGATTTATAATAATGCATGTTTTTGTTGTATTTCCCAAAAAGATCAATAGTCCTTTGCTTTGATTGTTTGTCTGTTGTCGTGCCACCTAATTCTGTTTTTTCTAGCTTGTGAAGCCCCATTGTACACTCGGCTTGCTTGGACTTTTTAATAGATAGATCAACCTCAAGATCAATAAATTATATGAATCTCATAAACTGCATGGCCGTAACTGCTTTGGACTGGTGCAGGCCTGTACGCCAATCGTTGCAGAGCTGAATGCTTTATTTCTATCTCCATTACCTGATTATTTAATTGTACCTCGAGTTGTACCTTTGCAAATGTAGTATGTACCTACCCGTAGATCTACTCTATATAATGGCTTGAGGCTACTTCAACCCTCACAAGCTGCTTGGCATCTCATGCGCGCTTTCCAGATATTGTACCTTGTAGCATGGTGTAGGAATATAAGGTAGGAGCATGGGTATACTGATTAGTGATTACCTATCTTGTACTCTTTATCATTAATAGAGGATTTTAAAATTAAGTACCATAAATCACAAATGCTATGAAATTGTCAATTGTATTTTTAGTGAGCATGGTGTATGATGTGTTGCCTATAATTGGAACACTTGAGCTGTATTCTTTTTACCACTTTTAAGTGAGCGTCTCAGCTTATCTCAGTTACTAATTGAGAAAAGTTATTCTTTTTAGCTGTCAACAACTGAGACGAACTAAGACATTTTACCTCCCCCTTTACCCCAACTGAGCTTGCTGTTAGGTAGAGTTTTAAATTGAGCCGGATTGGAATTTTAAGTTTGAGGTTATAATTGTGAAAATGTCAACAATAAACTTTAGTACCCATTCATTCAATGCAGTGTATATTATTTTCAGTTAGTTGTGTTGTGACTATTAACATTTAAAAAAGACAAAGAATTAATTATCACTCATCAACAAACATTTTAAGGATATGTTTTCTTGCTTGTACCAAAAAGATATTCTTTTTAGCGAGCGATTGACTCAGATAAATTCAGCTCAGTTTGTCTTAGTTAAGTTAGTCGATTTCCTCACTTATAATGTAAAAAGAATACACCTTTGACTATGTCTGTAAGTAAGCATAATTTTCTAATTGTCTAAACAGCATTTTATTGACCTCTTAATTCTGGGACTGTTTTGCGATTAAATTGGTTTTGTAATTTTTACGGTTTCCGAGATACCCATGCTGTTTATTTTCATCTTGGACACATGGTATATTGGCCCTTATTGTCGATTTAGGGGAAGATAATATTACCTTACTCACCTTACTGGATACAAAAACATAACCTCTAGTGTTGGAGGTACTACACTACACTACATAGCAACCAACAAAAAAGATCTCGAAAAAGATACTAGAATGTAATTTATATTTTTACTTTTTTTTTACGTATTGAGATATTATTCCATCATGAAATTTGAATTGCCTAAAATGTCAATGGAGTCATGTAAAACTGATAACTTTTAGTTTTTTAAAACACTTCAATGGTTTTTGTTTGTTTGTGTGTTAGTTGTGAACTTGTCTCACTCGTGCGCGCGCATTGCTAGGGAACGCCCTTAGATTTACCTGAGGATTTACCCCTCTACGTCTACTGCTACAAACGAGAAAATTCTTTTTTCTATTTCGGTGTCACAATGATGATTTTGTACAACTGTTTTCGGCCGAAAACAGTTGTACAAAGACAGTGATTATAGTCGTTTTTTTTGGTAACTCATCTCTTAAGTTGGCAGTTACTAGTTTGTACAAGTAGGTACTTCGTTGGGTACTTCCATATTTGAACTTCAAAATGTCAGTTTTACTACGCTGCCAACCTAAAACTTAACGGCATAAAAAGTGTTTCCAACATAAAACATGTTAGTTCTAATGTTCCCTATAGTTTCTGATAATGATTTTTTTAAATTAAATTAAAGCACCGAAATAGAAAAAATAGTATGAAAAACGCGTGTTACAATGCTTTATTGTAATACTCCTATCTTGCGGACACTCGTGGCAACGCTTCGCGTCGCCACTCGTGCCACAAGATAGTCGTATTACAATAGGTCGCATTGTAACACTTGTCTTTCAATATACTATTTTACCTTTTTAGTGACAGAATATAAAATACTAAAAAGACAATAATAAGAAAAAATTTAAATCCCCATATAGATGAACGTCGGTAGGTACTAATTGAGGTACTAATAAACAACATATCCAACATAGTATTTAATTTTATGTTGCTGCAACAGATAACATTACAAAATTGCTTAGTATCACTGCAAGAATGAATTTTATTACACATTGTCACTAGGAATATAAAATAGGTTTTGTTACGGAATGTACAGTGTGTTCTATTTTGGTTGAGACAGACATTGAGACCGCATTGTATCTCAGTTGCTTTTAAAGATAGAGACTTGCGTTTTCACGACCTTGTGCCACTTTTTTGTGAAATTTTTAATGCCCAATACAGAATCAGTCTAGCAACGTTTGTTCTAAGGTACACAGTGGAAACGAAAACTTTGACTTTTTTGATTATTATATCTTACTACGCACGTAAGAAAGAAAAAACATAAACATCTCCGATTTTTGACATTTTTATGTAGAATCCAGTGGCATAGTTAAAGAAAATGTTTGAACCTTCGTTTCCGAGATTTTACCCAAAGTTGATATTTTTTAAATGCAACACCCTGTATATATAAACGTCAATTTTTTGCTTTGATTTACCTGATTATATTGATGTATCATAACCTATATTTTCTTTAATTTTAGCCATGGATTCGTGGAAATTTTGTTTTGTTTATTGTATTCATGGTATCTGAAGCAGCCGATACCCTCGCCGATACCGATCAATAAAAATGGCTGAAGGTAGAAACATGTTATTTCAAGAATTTGAAAAATATGATAAGATATAATACCATATATTACAAAAATATAGGTTGTGATACATAGATAAGTGCATCAATGTAATCAGGAGAAAGAATGCAAAAATTGACGTTAAGATATGCAGGGTGTTGCATTTAAAAAATACCAACTTTGGGTCAAATGTCAGTGGTCCAAAATTTTTTTTGACTACGCCACTGGAATTTAACTAAAATATCTAAAATAGGCAGTTTTTAGTAACACGACTGATTTATTTTTCTTTGGCGTATATGAGCAAATGGTAGCATCTGGGCTGTATAAAAATTTTATTGCATATTTATAGGCTGGACATTTTTTTCTCACGGTTCCTACTAAAGTCATGTTCTAGGTGTTATCCGTTGTAATGTTCCCTCACCAACATTCTCCATTGTTCCATTTCTTGTATACCAATGAAGTGCTCTTTGGGGACGATACGCATAAATGTTGTTCAGTTGTTCAGAATGAAAAACTGATCAATCGTCCAAAAGTCGTAGGCCTACTTTGATTTTGTGATGTTTTTATTTTTAACTGGATTTTTTTAGGATATCCGAAAAAATGCTAGGTACTAAAACGAGTACTAAAATGTTCAATTTGAAAATTAGTCAGTTTCATGTATACAGTTTAAAAAAATTATCTTGAAGGATGTCTGGCACCCGTCGTGAACAACCCTGTATAGGTAAGGAACTACCACCACCAAATAATTTTTTCCATACTGGTACAGGGTGGTTCAAACAAGGGGTTTTTGTTTCTTTTTTTTTTGAAGATTTTATCACTGAAGTGTATCACCAGCTATTAAAATTGGTATAATCTGACAGGAATTATTTTAGGGGACAAAGATTTCCTTCATTGTCTAAAAATTGTCACGGTTTCTCTTAATTTCTCCAACATTTCTAGCATTGCCTTAAAACACAATACAAACAAACAACAAATTTACACAAAATTTCTTCGAAGAAAGCTTTTATTTCCTTTAAATTTCCCTCGAGACTTCCTTAAATTTCCTCAGAATTATCTCGAAATGCCCTCTTATTTCTTCAAAATTGCCCGAAATTGTTATATTTCCTTTCCTCATTCCTTTGCAATTTGCTTCTATTTCCCAAAATTTCCTATAATTTCTCGCGTGATCAATCCCTTGGATCTCGGTAATGGTGAGAGATACAGTGTAGGTAGGTACGTTAAATGGGGGCAAAGTTGCCCCTTTTTGTGACTAAAAAAACGCATTTCAAATTTTTGAAAATCTGACAATAATTTACATAAGCATCACTGAAAACCTGAAAATGTCACAATTCATTTTCATTTTCCCTATCATGTCATACATTTAATTTAGAAATTTTTCTTTCCCTACTATCCAATTTTTTTTCACATACCTACTTATTTGTTACATCCTGTATTGTTGTACCAGGTGGCTAAATAAGAATGACTTTATTTCAGAAAGTAATATATGACTTTTGGGACAGGGTCGTCCCGAATTAATTTAGTGATTTAATTCGCGAATTAAAAAAAGTCTAAGAATTAATTCAAACTTTTTCTAATGGGCACAAATTGCATTATCTACTACGAATTCCAATATCAGATGACATCTGACAGCGTCTGAATATAATAAACTGCACCGTGCGCGTGCTTTGAGGTCTGGAAGTCAAAAAACGTATATATCGGTACTGTTTTTGAACTCTTTTCTCGAAATTTTTCTTTCCGAATAATATTTTTTGATTATTAAAATACTTGTTTTTTCAAAAATTTTGCTACCCCTCGCAGCTCTGTACGAAGAAAAAAAATAGATTTTTCATCCCCCCAAAAAAAGAGTTTTTTTTTTCGTAAAAATAAAAATAGAAAACGAAAACAGCTTTTCCATAGGCTTTTCCGGTTTTTGTTTGAAAATTTGAAGTAATGTCAAAAAAATGTAGGTACAAAAGTTGTTCATTTTCGCAGTTATTCACTTCCGCTAGATGGCGCTTTAGAATAAGGCAAAGTAAAGTCACTAGATATAGAAAGTACCGCAATCATCCGCCATTTTTGGGCAAATTTGCTGCCAACTTAAAAAAATTGACAATTAAAATCTGAATAGCTGTAATTTTTTATAACCTAACTTCATAGTACTGTCATGTTTTATAAAAATATCATTGAACTATATACTCTGTAACTGGAACGGCATCGAGCGCCAAAATCGCGTGCCGCAATGATTTTAGGCAACCAGCATAACGTAGGTATTCTCATCCTTGTCTGGCACGTTGTTTTGTATTGCATATGTAGGACCGATCACACGTATTTGGTTAAAAATTCATATAAGTAAATAAACTGGGAGGTCGGGGCCTTAGAAAGATAAAGATAAATGCTTGTCGATGCTTTTGTAAGTGCCAATATCTCTATGTTAATGGAATATCTTAAAATATATACTTAATAATGTGGTAAACTGCGCCATTTCTCACTCACACACTCACATACTTGATTCTTGAAGTTACAAAAGTATAATGTCAACTAATGTCATTCATGGTGGCTCGACGCATTCCATTTGCTTATTAACGTAAAATAAAGTTATAAACATTGGTTGTGTTCGTTTGTAACGTACCCTTTACATAATATACTTATTAGCAAGGAGGTACCCAATATATTACAATTGGCGTCGAGATAAAGGTAAATTTAAAAAAGCACTTTTTAAGAATACTTTTTAGAATAAAATGAGTTTAAGAATCATGGTTACTCTAAGAGCAAAAATTCAATTTACTCGTGGTGTTCACCGCATTGCCATTAGAAGGAAACGAATTGACACGAATGTCTTATGCTGGTCTTATGGAACGTTTGTTTCTCGTACACGACTGGAATTTGTCCAACAGCCCGATGGATCCTTTGTTTTCGGAACTACCTTGACACATCCAACGTAACTACCAAATACACCAGTTGTAAGTGTTGGTGGTGCCATCGGCAGTATCGAAGAATTCAGGATAAATACCCATTGGAATATCCACAGTGAGCGGCTTGAGTAATGCATAAGTGCACATTTCGTTGTTGAGCAGCGAAAGGTTTCTGGTGCATCTAACTACGGTAATGGGACCAGAGGGTTTATAAGGCATTGCGCTACTTATATAACCCAGTTTTGTCCCAAGATGAAACGTACGCCGAGTTATGTGAGGTCAGAATTACACCTTCTACAAAAGGTCTCCCATATTTTTCGGAACTTGCCCCAGAAAAACTCAAGACCTGCAAATCCTTCGGAATATTTCGTAGGGAAATAAAAAAGTTTGTAACTATGTGGATGGATATGGATGAAGAAAATGCAAACCGTGATACTTTCTACTCTAACTTTTGTGGTACCTATACCTGTGTGATATGTGTATGCTTTTATATTTTATCTTTACACTTTGACGCCTCCTAATGTACGTTCATTGTGGGCCGAAGGAATCTGTAATAAATAAAAAAATCAATCCTTAAAGTATTTTTCGCCCCATTAGTGAGCAGCCTCAATAATAACGTTGAGTGAAAAATTAAATAATAAGGAACTTCATATTCAAATTAGTAAGTCAAAACGGCTTTATAGGTTTTGGCGGCGTTAACGCTATTCTTCATATGATGCTCTCTAGCTAGTGGAATCCCCTATTGAATTAGTATTAAAGAGTGCGAAAGAAGAATCATCATTCATAAGGACAGTATAAATGAGTGTGAGTGTACATTAGTAAAGAAATCTGAGCGGTGCAAATGCCGTCAAGCGCAAAAATATTAAATGCGCCCGACGAGGTTGAAAAATGTTATCAAAACGTACCCATGAAATTGAATATTTGAATTTTTATTATGAAAATAATTGCACGTATATGCAACACAATTCATGACCATTCTTGCAAATCTCTTAATAACTTAATTTAGACAAAAATAAGGAAAATGTAAGACGTAGTATAAACCATCCCATAAGCCCACATGAGTTAAACAAGGTAAGGGATACCTACCTCTACCCATCTCTCTTTCACAAAAATTCGCCACGGCCCCTGGCAATGGTTGATTTATGGGCGATGCCGTTCCAGTTACAGAGTATATAGTTCAATGAAAAATATATACAGATATCTCCAAACAGTTGGAACAATCCCTAACATTAAAGTTACTAGAATCCGAGCTAGAATCTGGTAACTTCCGCCATTTTTGGGCAAAAATCATGCGTTCTCTCTCTAACACACGAGCCCAATGGATTGCGGTACTTTCTATATTTAGTGACTTTAAGGCAAAGATAATATCTTTAAATAAGGGCATACTTTTTCGTCTATTCCTGCAAAAATTTAAATGTAGATTGTATGCCAACTGATTTCACTTACTGTCATGCTGTTACTGATTTTTAAATTTTTTTAAAAGGTAGATTTTTGTACTGGTCCAAATGAAAAAAAGAAGAGAAATTGATCTGAACTGCTTCCCATTGGATGCTGAGACATGAACCCTTTTAATTTCCTTGAAAATAGTAAATTTGTTTGATAGGTATTCTTGCACGATGAGGGCGTTGTGCGCGGGTGCGCCATCCTGTTGAAACCACCAGTTTCCAGTTTTTTTTTTGTGTGCTGTATATCGTTTATTCGAGGTTGTATTTGTAATAAAAATTGCTACTCAATAGAATGTGTACCTTTGTTTAAGTTGATGATGATTTCTCTGAAACGAAAGGTTGTATTGAAAACCCAACGGTGTCATGTAGACCTCAAAAAGTGGCAATGAGAAAGTGTTTTTTTATTTTTATGTATCTGTTCAAATAACATCAGAAAAAAATAATAACGAAATCGCCAATTTCGGTTTTTCTGCCATATCTTTGGAAGTAATCGAGATTTTCTGGTTTTCTTTACAGCATGATACTTAATAAGTCTTTCTCTCTCTCCTATGCGAGCTTCTATGGTTTCGGAGATCCCCAGGATAGATTATCTTGCATTGCACACAGTGTATGCACTGCCCAATAAATGACAATTTATTAACGATCATTTATAATTTTTTATTGCTGTCTGTCTGTCAATCCGTGTACACGATAGCTTCGTTAGAAACGTCTGCTGCTTTGAAAATTGGTACCATATTGCTTGCCATGTTGTTAAGGCTATAAGAAAGGTCGGTATTGTTTTTCAGCAATGTAGTAAAAATGTTTGGATGCGTGAAAATCTCACGAATCGTTCAGTATTTAGTTGTACCAGGTTTTTATTATATTTGTTGTAAAAAGGAGACAATTTCCATTCCATTTTATCATTCTTCACATAGGTACCTAATCTAACTAAATTATTTTGTTTTAGAAACGGTGTTAATGTTGAAGGTGCTACTCATAAACAAGTCGTGGATCTTATTAAATCTGGCGGCGATGTTTTAACTCTTACTGTTATATCGGTTACACAACAGGTATGATAGTGTAACAGTAACATAACATTACCGTAACTTTCTTTATGTAGGAAGCCGAAAGACTCGAACCTTCGGACGACGGTCAAGGATATCCGTATTTTGATTATAGCGAAAAGCGATCGCTTCCGATTAGTATTCCCGACTACCATTACAACGAAAGAGGCGGCGAACGATATGTTGCTTTTAATATATACATGGCCGGAAGGCATCTATGCTCAAGACGATATAGAGAATTTGCTCAGCTGCACAACAACCTTAAGAAGGAGTTCATAGGTACTTATTCGTACTTTTAGCGCTATTTTTTGAACTTGATTGACAATTCAGGATTTAATTTTCCAAAACTTCCCGGAAAATGGCCATTCATGTTGAGCGAACAACAACTGGACGCCCGCAGGAGGGGATTAGAACAGTACTTAGAAAAAGTGTGCGCTGTGAGAGTAATAGCCGAGTCTGATATTGTACAAGAGTTCCTTACAGATCAAGATGATGATAATAACAGTAGTCCTGTTGATTTGAAAGTAAGTATTATGTTCTTTATAACCACTTTCATAAGTTCTATTTATTTACAGGTATTATTACCGGATAGAGAAGTAGTAACGGTTTCACTGAGAAAAAGTTCCAATGCTGATGAGGTTTTTTCAGCAGTTTGTAAGAAGATTGAGATGAGCAAGGAAACTTCGCAATATTTCTACCTCTTTGAAATAGTCGAATATAACTTTGGTAAATTGCTACCCTAAATTACAGACTCGCCCTTAATTGTTTATTTGTTCAAAGAACGTAAATTACAACCGTCAGAGTACCCGCACAACTTATATATACAAAACTATAGCACAGCAACAAGTACCTGCCTATGTATCAGAAAATGGTTGTTCTCCTTATCTAAAGAATTAGCAATACTCAGAGACCCTCAGGCTACTTCGTATATATTTTGGCAAGTGAGTATTAATATTGACTGCTTAGCAGTTTCAAGTGTTTGGTTTCAGCTATGTTTGTCACTTACATACACACACGCACTACGGTCGTACACATTTTTTAAGTAACTGCATCAGATTGAGAAATTTTATGCTCTTTACAAACATCCTACATTTCAATGCTCTCACTTCTCAAATTGCATGTTAAGTACTGATTTACAATTTCTGAAGCAGTCTGGGGATGGGGTAGGTGTCATGTCGGTTTATATTATTTATAATTTAAGTGAACAAAGCATTTTTTTGGGATGTAATTTTTACCCTTGGTTTATTTGTACTTTTGCTTCCCTCTACTACTTGATTTTTAGACATATTCGCACTTTGTGTAGGTAGTCAGAAATTACGACAACAAGAACATGCAAAAATCTCTCCAAAGCCTCAGTGCATGACAAGCATTATATGGTTCTGTATGCAGAACCGAATCAGTCCCACATACTTCCATCTACTTTCATTTATTTCTAACCACTTCCACATACTTTCATCGAAATTCCTCTTATATGGGGCCAAATAAGCATTCAAGGTATTGTATCTCGGAAACTACTGATTGTACAGAAGTGGTAAAACATGGTCTAAATAAAGTGACCAAAAGAAAGTACTGGAAATTTTAAAAAATCAGATCAAAAGTAAAACGGTAAAAAATTCTTACTTGAGCCCAGGTTCGACCATAGGACAGGGTGGTTCAAATTCGTGACTCGCCAAACTGAAAATGTCTAATTTCGTTTTTACTTTCCCTAGCTTAAAAACAGGGGGAAATGGACGGTTTCCAATTGCACTTTTTTCAGAGAATCTGAATTTGCCTGTGAATTTGTTATCAGAATTTCCATAACATGATAGATGTAGAAGCTACAGGGTACTAAGTACTTTCTTATTTCTTATGGGCGCCATATTGGATGTTTACGGAATGAGATAGAGGACAAAAAAAGAAAAAAATGACGCATTATACTTTTACATAAATTTACAGGAAAAATTTTAAAATCAAATGTACAGGTATCTAGATCTTGCTGAATGAAATGAAAACGAAATTTGACATTTTCAGTTTTTTGACGATCTCATTTGTTTTCAAAGATTTTTCGAAAATTTCAAACACGTTGTTTTAGTCACAAAAAAGGGACAACTTTTGGCTCCATTTATCATCTCACCATTACGAAGATCCCAAACGTTATCATATCTTACTGCCCATGTAAAATAGAACAAGTTAAAAAGTAATCGTAAACGATTTACATAAAGCGCATTTCCACTTGCATTCATTTCCTATTTGTAAGATGCAACTTTTGTTAAAATTGTAAAAATCCGGCCACAAATATGAAAGATAGCGTTGCACATGTGCAATCCATTTTTGACGTGCTACTTCAATTTCAGTTTATAAGAAGAGTTTCATTTCAATGCTTTTCTAAATAAGAAAGTTGGATCTGCGCATGCGCAAACCTAAATTTTGAAGCTAACGTTAGATTTTCCTTTGTTCCAAGTGGTTATGTATCGAATTTCATTTAAATCCCTCCCTAAATAAGAAAGTTGGCACTGCGCATGCGCAAAACCAAATTTTGAAATTGGCGTTAAATTTGCTTTTATTCCAAGTGGCTATGTATTAAATTTCATTTTAATTCTTTTATAATTAAAAAAGTTTGCAATTGTGAATTTTGAATCGATTCGACTCAACTTTTGGCATTGCCTATTATATGGCTAAAGCTATGCCCATATTGAATTTCATGCAATTCAGTTCATCACTAACGGAGATGTAAAAGCGATTGGACATTTCTAAACAAAGTTATCGTTCACACGGACAGATAGAGAGACAGACAGACAAAGGAACAGACGGACACACCAACAGGCAGACGACAGACAGCAATGCAAAATTATAAACGATCTCTAGGATCGTTAATAAACGGCCTAAGTGTAAAATTTAGGAACATGTAAAAAACGGTTTTGTTTTTTTTACAATAACTTTTTTTGTAAGCGGTATAGAAAAAATTCCTTCCTTGGTGCAAGACTTGACACTATAACGAACCAAATAGCGAAAAAAGTAGAGCAATAGCTCTTAAGATAAAAAACTAGTAGCGTCTCAAAGCGAGCGGACGGACGGACAAAGTGGCCACAGTTTTTTTTTATTTTTGTGGAAATGCGCTAAAAAAAAGGTAAAAACTGCTTCTTTTAGATATTTTTACATAGTCCAGTGGCGTGGTGAAAAAATTTTCTGGGCCGCCGTTTCTGAGATTTGACCGAAATTTTTTAAACGTAACACCCTGTATATCCTTTTCATTATTAGTCATTAGTCATTATATTTTTCCTTTGGCATACATATGTACATAGGAGGCGTCAACGAGAAAAAAATAAAATACACACATAAAAATATAAAAAGAAAATCACATATCACACAGCCACAGGTATATCACAGTAGTTAAAGCATTTATTTCTACATCCATCCACATATTCGTCAATGGTGTAGAAGCAGTTGCGTATTAAAAATTTTCTTGTTTCCCTACGAAATATACCCAGGGACTTGCAGGCCTTGAGTTTTTCCGGGAGCAGGTTGTACATGTGGGTTCCGGCAAACATGGGGGACCGTTTGTAGAAGGCGTAATTCGGTTTAGGCTCGTAGAAACTGTCTTTCCCTCGGGTGTCGTGTCCGTGAATCTGGGTGTGTGTCCTGTGCATCCGTTTGTGAGCATGGAAGTTAGTCAGTAGTTTGTATAGGTAGATGGAGGTGACTGTTAATATGCCCTGTTTTTTGAAGGTCTCTCTACATGAATGAATGTTTCGCAGATTAAACATTAGTCGTATGATACATTTTTGCGCCAAGAACAAGCGATTTAATTCTGTGGATTGGCCCCAGGCTATGATATTGTAATTTAGTGCCGAATGAACCAACGCGTAGTAAACACTCAACAGGGAGTTATTATTTAAATAATTCTTTAACGTCATTATTGCAAAGAATGATTTATTTAATTTTTTAACGACTTCATCGATTTGGCTAGTCCATCTTAGGTTAGTGTCCATTACTATACCAAGATATTTAACCGTGGCCGTTGTTGATATTGTATTTGAGATTGATCTTGAGCGATTGCGGAAATCTATTATAGATGTTTTATTTATATTTACTATTAATTTATTTTTATGGCACCATTTATTAAAGTCTTCTATCACTTGTTGGACGAGATCGTTTTTGCGTGACTTCCTTGTTACATTGCTGTACCACAGCATATACTTTTTTATATGTTTATATTATATTACGTATAACATATTTTTTAAATATTTTTATATGACATGCTTCCATCAGCGATTTTTACTGATTGGTCTTAGTTACCGTGGATACAATAAACAAAACAAAGTCTATGAATCCATGGCCCACTATTTAAAAACCGTAAAAAATAAAGGTCTTTATTTTTGGTTCGTGGCTGAAATTTAAAGAACTATAGGTTGTCACATTAATGCAATAAGGGAAAAGAATGCAAAAAAACTGTCGCTAAGATACAGGGTGTTGCATTTAAAAAATAGCGCAACTTTGGGTCAAATCTCAGAAAAGGACGCCTAACAATTTTTTTGACTAAAATAGGCCTTTTTTTTACCTTTTTACAATCTTACATGGGTACTTAGTAAGGTATGATAACATCGCAGAAAATCAAACTTTTCGTTCTCACCCTGAAACAAGCATAGGTGGATGGATTCTGTTTGTGGTATTACAAGTTTCACAAAAAATTGGCAGTCTGAGATACACTGCAGTCAACCAAAATAGGAGACATGGTACATAATCACTTTCCACATTTCCAGCACTTATATATTCAACCACATCACACAGGCAATGGAAATTAACAAGGAACATTTTCAGAAAATTCACTCTCATTTATTTTTAAGCAATCAAGTCCAAAAATTTCCCCCCTCACCTCAAATTACTTTTTTTTTTTCAAAAAATAAACAAAGTTTAGGCTCCCAATTTTTTGATTTTCAAGCAATCAACTTCATAAATGTTTCCCCTTGTGAATTCAGTTTCAACAATTTTGTTTTCAAATGGCAAATATGGGTAGGTCAGGGGTCGGCAACCTGCGGCTCGCGAGCCGGATGCGGCTTTTTTGATATAAAGTTGCGGCTCTCCGCTTGCCGCTCTAAAGAAATTAGTTCATTTGTTCGAAATTCGCGTTTTTAATTAATCTTATTTGTTTACGAAATCAAAAGTACACTTGCAGCAAATAATTATCTAATTTGTGACACTTGTTTACTTTCTGGTATTCTTTTGTTTTTTTTTTATTATAGCAGCCTACTCCACCTAATAGTGGTAGTTCCATTTGAAAAAGAATAGTTATAGCACTTTGAACAAATGGCTTTGAAACAAGTAAAAATATGCAGGATGTTCTATTTAAAAAGATCAGTTATTTATTGACATCGTAAAAATGGGACACCCTGTACATTCAAAAATAATTTTTGTAGATCCGCAACCACCAATATTTTTTACCAGGTATCAGCTATGTAGGAAAAAACGACGACCCCGGGGGTAGGTATGTGTAGATTCTGATAGAATTCCCGCTTTCAACTTTTTTATCTTCTGCCAATCAATTTCAAAAGACGCTGTCTACACAAATTCAACCATTCAACCATATAATTGGCCATTTTCCGAAAAATACAAAAGGAAGATTAGCATAAAATTCCCTCTCTGATTGTTTGATCTTCCAGCAAACATTTAAAAAATTGTTTTTTCACCGATTCAAATTTGGCATTTTTGATTTAATAATGCACACAAGCTCGATGTAAACATCATTGACCTGGCAAGACAAACAGATTTTAATAAAATAGCTTTCATTTTTAGAGGAATTTTTCAAAATTGTATCACTAGCAACGGAGATATAATGTATTTGGGAGACTGAATGGGAACTCACAAAGTGAAGATTAATCTTGTTTGCTAGGTTTTACTATTACTTTGAATTTCCATTTACAGACAAGATTTCATCGAAAAATTCTCCTCCTGAAAATCGTACCCGATCTTGTTTAATTTTTGAAGCAAATTTTAAACAATATCTCTTTGTGAATTTTTGTTCGAAAGTGGCGATGTACACATAAATTGAGCTCGGTAAAGAAAACTGAAATTAGGAAAGTGATAAAGTGGTCTTTATTTCCCCTTGCCTCTCAGATATCAGTGCCCAATTTGGCGCGTTTTCTTAATTTAAAATGGTTTCTGATCTTTACACCCTATAACACACAAGATTGTATCTAATAATAGTTTTCTTATTGCTTGCTCTATTTCTTTACTTTTTTGTTTTGAATTACCTTAAATAACATATAGTAGGATTTTCCTTAGTTTACGCGCACGTCATCAGTGTATTATAACGTCATCACTAAGTATGTTTACATAGCATCATGTAATCAATGGAAGAGAATACGTATGCAGGCAGCCGTGCAGACAGTGTGGCACTGTAGGTAGGTTACCCAATTAGATCAACGACTTCTATTGTTATATTGATCAAAATGTAACAGGTTGTCTATGGCACAATCTTTTTACTAACACAGTGAGCTTTATTTGGACGTAAAGGAGAAATTAAAAAAAATGTTAATTGTTTTTTCGTAATAACAACGCCCGCGTAGAGCTTAGCAGCAGTAGTTTAGAAGTGACAGCAATCTTGATTTTCTAGAGGTTGGTCCGATTTAGAAATTTGTGAAATAGAAGTAACCAGTCACCTCCCTTACTGCTGCGACTGATAAAAGTGGACCACCATTATGTCTTTCTCGTTCAAAATAACGAATAAGATTAGAAATAAGTTGCTACTTTTTCTTGGTAAACCTGATGGCATTTCTGGGGTTATACAACTTTTGGCGCAGTGAGACTTGCGGAAGTTATGCTATGAAACTAACGAATTTTTATCAGCTAATGTAGCAAAACGCGATAACATAATGAAAACGCTAGCAAACAGTTGTCATATTTGACGTGTCGCAATGTAAACCTACTCTACAATTTTTTTAATTTTGTTAATACGTTGGCATTACAATATTCCCCAAAAACATACTTGATGACGTGCGAGCAAACTAAGGAAAATTTATGCTCATTTTTTATACAAAAACTTTTGAAATGTAGTTATGCCCAATTAATAATCATTGAATAGTTTACGATATTTCCATGATATCGCAACAAGACACAGAAAAAATTTAAATTTTAGTTAGTTATCATCAATTTCATTTAATGTTCTGATGAATATGTCACAACTACAGCAGAAATCATCTTGTAGGCTATTGATGAAGTAAACAGAGGTTACATACACGCCGGCGAGAGACTATATCAATTAAAAGCACTGCAGGATAGTACTCGCGCTACGGAGTACTTAAATTTAGCCCGCGAATTGCCCGGATATGGTGATATAGTTTTCCCTCATTGCGCTTGCGATTCACGTAAGGAAGGTCACGTCATTGTCGGGGTGGGTAGCGCAGGAATTAAGCTTCACGCATGTCGAGAGGATGGTACGTTGGAAAGTCAGATCGTTCAACTGCAGTGGGACTGTATGAGGCAGTGGGAAGCGGACGATGAAGGAATGGCGTTTTGTTTACGATATAACAGGCCGGATAAAACTCCGAGATGGCTCAAAATTTTTACTCCTTATGTAAGTGTAAATGTGTCTTGGTGTATTATTAACTCTCATTCTTCCCGCAGTACATGTATCTATTGGATTGTTTCGAAAGAATTTTAGAAGAAAGTAAATGGATGACAGCTGGAGAATGAATATATCAAATTAGTTTCGTAATACTAAATACTTAAGTCACACATTTCGTAAGCACATCTACACATACAACACCGCTCTACTCATCTTTCTCTATAAGATTTCCTTGTTGTACTATAAGTAGTGATTATTCTGTTGTATGTTGTAAATAGTACTCAATTTTAATTTCTTGTTGAACTTATTTTGCAAAGATGATACAATGTTACTTTATAAGATGGTGTATATTTGTTATTTCCATTGAAATATGAAATTCTTACCTTGTGATAGCAACTTAGATCATTATTAAAACAAAATTAGTAAATTATTACTAAGTAGAAAGCTTTAAATTAAACAAAATCTAAGTCTTGTTGAAATTCATTACTTTTCATTACTTGCACCTCTTTCTTGTTTTAAAGTACGAAATTGTTCACCCAGCCCTTTGTTTTTTAACAAATGAAAATTATCATGGGAAATGGTAACGACACCTGTGTTTGTTATAAAATCTGAGGGAATGACAATTGAGTTCAAATGCTAAAGGAAGGCATCCGATTTTCTGATACTTTCAAAAATCGAGTTGCCACAAGCATGGTGTATAGGACAGATTAGTCTGAAAATGCAGTATCCGCAAGGTGACTGCTTTGCGTTTCTATGAATGAAATCTCATGAAAAAACTTTCTACCTATAAAATACAAATTTGAACAGAGCATAACCCAGGTAGAGCTTATACAGCTATTAAAGACCGATTTCCCATATGGGTCAATTTAGAACTCTTATATAAATCTCACACTTTTTTATATTTTGCTTAGATTTCACAGACAAGGGAAGTATTTCTTAGAAATCAGTTTTAGTTTGTATCTTTACATGCATTTATTCAATCTGGACAAACCTAATTCTTTGGATTTACCAGCCAAAATCAGTTTTTGTAGTTAAAATGACTTCGGTTGAAAAATATGACAGTCTGTCCATTCAATAGTTTGTTGCAAAAGCAGAAGAAAACTTGGTAGGTGCAAAATCCAAATCAAGTAAAGCTTATTACACACAATTAGAAAAGTTATTTTCGTGGATGAATAGGAAGCATCTTACCCAGGGGCGGACTGACCTGGGGGGGCGGGTGGCGGTTGCCACCTGGCCTGTAGATCATAATGGCCCGTTGGAAATTTATAAGTATGTGCTGTATTTAGTTTCTTGCACTATTAATAAATTATTAACACGTTTCTCTAATTGGGGTTGATATTAAGTTGTTATAAAAATCTGTTTTAATTGAAGTGTTACAATGAATTTATCATTTTTTGTCGTAGCATGAAAGTGCTGAAATACAATAATAGGCGATGCACCTCGTGTGGATTGTATATTTTGTTACTTTTAATTATCAGCTGCAATTTAAAAAAAAAACTGTATGGTAATCTTCTATAAGAAAATTTCTTTCCGGGTCGATCTGAGACAATTTTTTTTTTCGGGGCTCAAAAAAAGGCAGTGTATAACCTTCCTTTTTTACAAAAATCGGCTACACCAAAAATTCTCGGGAAAACACTTTTTCTTATTAATTTGGGTGCGTAGAATCCAAATCATTTCGTACTTTTTCGATCAGACTTTCAATCAAAAGTTATAGACTAGATACCAATTTCGAAAGAAACTTCAAAGGGCTGTAACTTTTGAACTAGTACCCCAATCTTGGAACTGTTTGAAAGTATGGATTCTACAGGCCCCATTCTATAGGAAAATTTTTTTCCGGGTCGATCTGAGACAATTTTTTCTTCGGGGCTCAAAAAAAGGCAGTGTATTACCTTCCTTTTACCAAAAATCGACTACCAAAAATCGACTACACCAAAATTTCTCGGGAAAACACTTTTTCTTATTAATTTGGGTGCGTAGAATCTAAATCAATTCGTACTTTTTCGATCAGACTTCTCAATCAAAAGTTATAGGCTAGAAACCAATTTCGAAAAAAAATTCAAAGGGCTGTAACTATTGAACTAGTAGCCCAATCTTGGAACTGTTTGAAATTATGGATTCTACAGGCCACATTCTATAAGAAGAATTTTTTTCCGGGTCGATATATGAAGGAAATGTCAAAGGTATTTAAATCTTCTATCCTTTGGTGTATTCATTCAAAACTTTAAACAATGCTGCTAAAGCAGATTTGGCAGCATACCCTATATTACATGCGTTTCTAAAAGCTTCAACCTAAGGGAAATCTTGCATAAGCGACCTAAGTAGATTTTTTATTTCAGCCCCAGATGACGGTTTCTAAGCCATATGTGAAGTAACATTACTTAGCACCTTTAAAGCATGTGTGCCTAATTTTGCACGCGTTTTAGTGTTCAAAAGGAACACTGTGATTCAGGTATAATCAAAAAAACAACTTTTGCTTTTCTGTATTTTTTAATTGCTTCATTACTAATAGATGGCGCCATTACTAATAAATCAAAATGAATGTTTGCCTGTGAAAGATTTTGATATAGTAAAACACTTTAAGATATCCGGGAATGGGGTTTTAAAGGGAACGAGGTATGAGAACGGAAAAAAAAAGGATTTTCCAGGAACGGCAACACAAGAAAAAGGGGATCAAAAATCGAAAAATTTTAGATTGACCAGATTTTCTTATAGATTTTGGCATGTAGAATCTAAACCGACCAGAATTGGACCATTACATTAAAAGCTATACTCCTTTCTTCTGCTTCTTTTAAATCAATTTTTTTATCTTAATTTTTAGTGCAAAGGTCCAATCCACGATAGATTTTCGTTTGTAAAATCCAAAACAGCCAACGGTTTGAGGATTGGCTTTAATGTAGCTGTCCAAACGATAAAATAAGACATTTTGGATTCTACGAAAATTTTTAAGAAAAAGTATTTTCCCAATGAATTTCGGAGTAGCCATTTTTTGGTGAAAATGTGAAAGCGGTCAAATGAGACGAACTTCGGTAGTAAGTCCGCGCACAAATGGCATGAAAAATTAAATAAGCATTAGTGGAATAATGATTATAATTTAATTTACAAGAAATAAGTCATTAAATCAAGTGAGCGGACGAAAGTAGCGGCAATTTGGGTGTTCTGTCGGCGGAACGGACGGACTCGAGCGCCACCAAGGGCACGGCCTCGCTCCTGGTCAAGATCGGCGGGTGGGTCTCGGATGCCTCAGGCAAACTCAAATAGAGTAAAGAGCAAGCGGCGGGCGGCTACTGGTGAATGCTAAAACAAAATTAAAGCGCACACCAATTTCCCTAAGCGGGAACCGAAAATAAAATGATATCTAGGGAAAAGCAAATGTATTTTAACCATCGCCGTACAGCAAATTGATTGGCCTTTTCAAATATCGTAAAAAACATAGGCATTGATTGCATTTGAAAAACAAAAGTTATATCGATTTCCAGTTAAACCTGTGGTGTATCCAGGCCAGTCCAGAGAGACTGCGCAACTCAAGATTTAAATTCAAAACTTTCCCTCCCAACCTAACTGAGCCCCATGGCACATCGTCTAGACAAAGCTACCTAACTGGAATAACCGAATAATAGGACCACTTACTACGTTGTATTTTTAAGAGTCGCTACAAGATATGTGTTGCCTGTCGGAGTGCGGATCAAGTAAAGAATACAAATAAAACAAAAAATAAAAATAAAAACGGAGATTTAATCCAAATAATTCGCATTGCAAGATTAAATTTAGAAAATGGTAGTTCATCGAGTACAAATATAAAAATAGGCTGGGAAAAAAAGAACTGATCAAGAAAAAACCCAGCCAACAAATTAATATTGAACTGTATAGCAAAATTAGTTATCTGTAATGGCATGAATGCATGTTGTCAAGTACAGCAATACAATGTCGAATCCCAGGATCCACTGGAATTCCTAAGTAATGAACACACACACATAACAAACAAGCAATCATTAAAACATTACATTAAATTCATATAATAGGTTTGGATATTGGATGGCCAGTCCAAATCCCACACCGAGTAGTCTTTAGTTGCTCTGGTCATGACATGTCAGCATTTTATGTAATCGCTAGGAGTTGGCCTCTCAGATGAGCCTTTCACATAGGAAGGATACCCCAAATTGTTAACAAAACAAAAGGTCACAACGAGAACATGCCACACACTTTTAGCGAATCCCTGCGCAAGTGAGGCCGCGCCTAGTCAGCGCCCTCATGTACGACTAAGCGGGACCCCAACTCATTCATTCAGACACCTCTGGGGCCAGTCCAACCCACTAGTCTTAAAATGCAGGGTTATAAATTACCGAACTCCACGAGTACTGACAATAACCGATCAAAAGACAAATCATGACAACATAAATAACAGAGTAATACTAACGGCAAACTCGCACGCATACATAATTATAAACAAAAAATACACAATTTATGTAGGCGTTGACAGTCGACATATTTGCACTGGCATAACAAAAACTGACACAAAACCAATATTCGGTCACTACATGTCAGGGATCGACTAATCGAATTGATTAGCAATATTGGCAAGATGGCTCCCCTCGAAGACACAAAAAAACAGTACATAAAATATATATCTCTGCGTATGTCAGTTCTGAACTTTAGCCAGCCTCTGCCACGTCAAATCGAGATATACTATCGGTATCAAATATAGCACAGTACATATTCGAAACAAGTCACCCCGCCAAATATTAATAATCATAATCACCCGGTTCAAATAAATAGTAGGAGCATAATTTTATGTACTATCACATTACAACAATACAAAGGAACATGTCGTGGCAAACATTGGTATCAAGTAATTAATTCACAATGCCAAGTGCAATATGTAACAATCAACCACCTAACGTACGGCACTCGCCCCCAGATGAGGCACCCTGTAAGTACACAGTAACATAATCAGGTAAACAAAAGCGAAATGTGCTGCAATAAATTCAATTATAAATTAAAATGTAGTTCTGCATACTTATATTGGGTATCGCCCCTAAGGGAACATACAGTATCTAAATATAAATAAAAATACGTAAATCGGTCAGTAATTCCCAGTAGGACCAGTATAATTAAAACTGCAATTTGTATCTGGAATGTGTTATAAATGGCAATAATCAATGCTGTACGAGAATAAAGTTAAATTGGCAAATAATCGAACACGATCATATCATTATTAGAGGGATGCAATAGACGTAGAGATACTCACTATTCGCAACATAAAGATTTACTTCTGGTCTCAACAAAAGCACACATATTCTGCCGCATTCTCCCCCTTTTTTTTTTAAACAAATCCTAGACGAAAATTGAACGTGCTCCGAGACGGGTCGATACGGATCATTAAGTTTGCTCGCATAGCGTAATATTTGACACTTTTATTGTAAATTATGGCCCATTTCAATGTAGAGCAGAGAAGAAAAAACACGTGTTCCACGAAAACGAAACAAAGCGCAATCTTGACCTTTTTCGTCGCGCTAGGCTCGGATTCGGGAATATTTAAATCGAATTTTAGCGGGCTAATTCGGTTCCATCACAAACCGGAAGTTTGAAAGTGCATATATATGCAAAATTTTGAGACCTTTACATAAGACATGTTCCTTGGTTCTTATGAATTCAAAAAATAAGTTCCACCAGTGAATGTTGAAGGTCAGGCCGGCTGAGGCTGACCCTTTGCTCTGTCGGAGAGTGGGATAGGTGGAAGAGGAGAGAGAAGCAAGTTAGGGTAAACAGGATTGTATCCTTTATTGAGAGGAACAGGCTGTGAATCTAGTTGAGTAAGAAAGGGGGGGGGGGGGACAATGGGACTGGTGTGCCTAAGTGCTGCCTGGTCGTGCTTCCCTTTTGAATAGAATATTGAAGGAAAGTACAACGATCTGTGTGATCGCTTCTCTACTCAAAACACAGTTAGAAAATTTCACGTTTTTTTGGTGGTCCCCCTTAAAAAATGTTTTAAAAAAATTAGAACCTGAAAAGTATAATCTCAAAGAAATTTATTAATCTTTTATTGTATTCAAACTATTTTCTGTTTGTTTAAAAAAAAACATAAAAAAAGATACATCTCACTTAGAATGCATGCGCATGAATTCAATTAAAGTTCTTGTAGGCCGACCGGTCATGCCTTTATGCAAGTAAGGAATATCAGTCGCCGGACCACAAACACCTGCAATGTCCAGGTGTAGATAATCTACACATTCAGGAACAAACTCTTTTAAGAAGGCGGCTGCTGTACACGAACCTCCACCGACACCTTTTCCAATATTATTTACGTCATACCCGGGTTGTTTGGTTATTTCGGTTTTGTATTGTTTCCAAAACGGAAATCTCCAAACTCGATCGCCTGCGTAAGTCCCCGCTTGCTCCAGTTTTTTGTACAAGTCGTCAGATGTGGAAAACACGCCAGTTGCGCCATCACCAAGCGCCACACGCATCGCACCTGCAAATGTATATGATAAAGGATCTTTCATAATTGATTGACTCACCTGTTAAAGTAGCGACTGACATTATCATCTTTGGATCAAATCCTGCAGCGTAACATAAACCATCAGCTAAAATTAATCTGCCCTCGGCATCGGTATTGTTAACACATATAGTCTTCCCATTTGCCGCTTTGACTATATCACCGGGTTTTGTCGCACTTCCCGAGGGCATATTCTCACAAAGAGGTATAAGTACTTTGACATTAACTTTAACGCGGCAATTTGCAATACACTGCAATGCGGCAACGCACGTCGCCGCCCCGCCCATATCTCCGCGCATTTCATCCATAGCCTTCGATGGTTTCAAACTAATTCCGCCCGTATCAAAAGTTACACCTTTTCCCACTAGCACTATCGGTCGTACTTTTTCGTCCCCACGACTGTAGGATAACTCGACAAACTTCGCAGGTTCGGTGGAACCTTTCGTGACCGATAAAAATGAATTCATGGATTTCTCTTTGATCCAATCCTCATCGTGAACGGCAACGCACACGTCTAGACTTTCAAAAATCTCTTTCACGTTTTCCGCGAATATGGTGGGGGTCATCAAATTTGAGGGCATGTCCGTTAACCTCCTCGCGAGATTTTGCGCATTGGCCTTGGATACTCCGTAATTCCATTCCGAACCCGCGGGGGTGGTTTGCCCTTTGTTTAGTGACAATAAACCAATTTCAGTAGGCGATTGTTTTTTACTTTTGCATTCTTGAAACTTCCACAATCCTAACGTACTGCCTTCAGCTGCTGCTTCGGCGTTGCCCATGTCATCGACAGAAATTGTGTTAATTCCTGCGTTTTGTAACGCCCTACAGCCAGCTGCAAGAAAATTAGGAATCAGTATACTTAGGACTTCTCAATAACTTTATTCTCTGAATAAATTCCATGGATACCATTGTTGATCCAATCGTTGTCAAGGTACTTATTTGCCAAATAAATTTATCGAGAGATTGCTGAAAGTTACCCACGGCTAGCTCAGTAATGTTTTTTATACCCCTTCCCATGCAGAAGTTTGGCCCCTTGTCGCCTCTTAAAACCTGAAGTTCAAAATCTAATGTTCTGGTTTGATTGAACTCTAATAAATATGCATATGACCAATCAAGATACCCAAAAATCCTTTGTTTGCATTCGATTCTTATCAATAAATTTAACACCAATCTTCTCACGCAAATGGTTCTCGTAGGTCGACTCCTTTAGGAATACTAACATTACTTCAAACAAATATAATCTGCAAATGCCTTAAAACTCTTTATACAAATCAGAAAATTACTTAGTTATTAGTTATTGACGTGGGTAATATTCTCTTCTGGTAAGGTTAATGATATATCTTTCCTTGGAAAATGCTATACTTGCTTTAGAAATATGGAAACAGATCGCTTTGATGGTAACCCTTAAATCTTAATTATAATTAATGCAAAGTTTAGCAGAAGAAAAGTTTGTATAAATTGCAAATCCAAGCAAACCGGCTTCAATTTCGCGAAATACAGGAATAATAAACCAATGTTCTGCTGTGTGTTGATATTAATTTTGCCGCGTTATCCAATCACGTCACTTAACTTTGAGGAAGTTGCTTTTAACCAGCCGCTACTGTTAGCGGGCAGAAAAAAACTTCTTTGCACAAAAGTGAACTACATTCCCCCTCAAGGAAATATGCTAAAAACTAAGTGTATTATTTACCAGATGCTGCTATCCGTACTGCTTCCTTGTCTTGATCAATCTGTTCTTGAAAATTGATTCCTTGACATTTTTTGCCTAAACTAACAACCGCCACAGCAGTATAGTGGGAGTCGGGGCCCCAAAATAGAAACGGTTTTCCTGGTTCAAGATGACCATTAACACTTAAAAAAGAAAAAAAAGGTGTTTAAAAAGGAACAATTACCAAATGGTTCATTAATCATTATCCCATAACAGTCGCTCATCATTCACATCATATAAGTGAATTATTCTTAATTTTTATTGCACTCATCTTTCTGACATTAAACCTTATAATTTAAAAAAAGGCAAAACACGTTTGATTGCAGGTAAATATTTGTTGTAACATGCACCTCCTATGTCAATTTGGAATTGATAATGTAGAAAATGCAGCATTTCTAATGCTTCATATACTTTTCTATTACTTGTCTCCGAAACTCATTCAACTAATAGGACTACTAGAAAAATACCGCATTATACCATACACATATTATGCCTAACGCCAATCACCCACACGGGACGGCATACAGCTGAGAATCCAGACTCTCCAAGCTCAAGTTACCAGGACATCTCGCACGCCAACCAACAGCTGCAAGAAACCTCCAACGCACTTGGGCACTACATTTACTCCCCTAATTGCCTTCTCTGTTAGTGTATAACCCTGGGAAGACGGTAATGGCCTCATCCTATTTTTTCTTCTGATAACATAAGCTTTTGGACGATATGTTGCAACTGCATTTTGTGGCCTGGTGTCGACTCCCTTTGAGCAAAAGGCTGTTATAGTGATTATATTAATTAACGTAATGTCACATTACACAATTTCAGCATTTTTTAAATTTTATTTTATAGCATATGACATTTTAATAGGTTTGAATGAGTAGGCTAAGCCGTGATCACTTTAACCGTAAGGGTAGATAAAGTGAAACAAATGATTGTGCATTCTAATGACATCTGTCATTCTTATTTCAAATGCACGATATAAAATGACGTCCAGAACATATGACAATTCTGTTTCTATAGCAACGACGGCAGAACTAAGCTTGCTATTTTTGACGTCTCTAAATTAAATTCAGAATTGTCAGAAGCTTTACAATGATTTATATGGCTTCTCCTATAAAATAAAGTTTTGTATTATACACGACGATAAATGGAAACTAACCATTTCGTGAATATCCCTTTATCGTCTTTTATAATAAGTAACTATTGTTACCCTTTGCCGACTTCTAAAGGATGTGACCCATAAAAAGTTATAGTTTATACTTACTCTTCTCTTGCAGTAGACATCAATAATTTAACCGATAAAATCTAAACCACTATTTCTGTTGGGCGAATACAATTTTGTTTCCAAAAATCAAGGGTAGCTTTGAAACTTTGCCTTTATTTGTAAAGTGCTCTTTGGGGACGGGATACGGGCAAATGTTATTAAGAAAAGTTGTTCGGGATGCAAAACTGAGTAGACATGGAAAATTCCAAAGTTCTAGGCGTACCTTAATTTGATTGATGTTTTGTTTTTTTAACTGGATTTTTTTAAGCAAATCCGAAAAAATGTTACTTAAAAAAAGGGTTGCAAATAGAATATAATGACCGTGTAGTAAATTTGAAGCCAATAGTAACATTTTTTCGGATGTCCTTAAAAAATCCAGTTCAAAAATAAAAAATCAAAGTTTCTCATTCCGAGCAACTTTCCTTAAAAACATTTGTGCGTATCTCGTCCTCAAAGAGCACTTTACTGGTATGCAAAAAACGATTTTTGGAAATTCCAAAGGCAGCTTTGATTTTTCGAAACTAAAATGATGTCAAAAATTAGTTTACTCACAATCGGTTAGTATTATCTGAATTCCTAACCTTCATAGCGGTTGCGAAGCGACTCATTACTCACCTTAGCCGGGAAAGTAACTTTCCCGGCTAGCTGTCACTTTCCCGGCTAGCATCTGTCACTTTCCTTACCTGCAAATGCTATTCATATTATCCTTATATGAAACTTATACTAATAGTGACACCGCCAATGTAACCATTAATGTTTACAACAATAGCAAATTACGAAGAAGAACGAAACTATTTGCTATTGTTGTAAACATTAATGGTTACATTGGCGGTGTCACTATTATTGACAGTTAAAGTAACACCTTGTTGAATTATATACTTTACCTTAAATGATCGATTGTGAGTAAAATAGTATACAAACCTCGCTGGTCAGTGGTTCATAACCAACCCCTCGCGCTTATACCTCACCTCCGCGCTTCGCGCGTCGGTGAGGTACCTTAAGCCCTCGGGGTAGGTAATGAACCACCTCCCAGCTCGGTATGTAATCTACTATTCCAACCAAGTAGGGCTGACCCCCAGAAGCTCAACATTTTTTCTCTTTTACATCATTTCAAATCGCAGTATGACTAATAGATGGCGCCAAAGCGAGATCTACTATGGCTCTAGAAGAATCCATTTCTCTATCGAACTCGACAGGTTCAGCGTTTACACTAGAAATAAATATACCACACGAACGTATAATCTCTCTTTGTATGTGATGAATTTATCTGTTACCGTTTTTGTTGAATATTAATTGGTGCGTTGCCATAATATAATGTAATGGGGTTGTAGGTTCACTTTATTGCTAAGCAAGTTATAAAGGAAACACATTCAATAAGTTAAAAATATAAGAGTCTATTAGAAGATTATTATATAACAATTCAGTCTACTCAACAACAGTGTAAAGGTATATTGATCGCTAAGTACTTTCCAACAGCTCAAATTTAATATCAACATTGCATACAATAATCTTCAGCTTTGTGCAAATTTCTGTTTTAAAATCCTCTACGTCACCTCATGGATAAAAAAGTAAAACAAACTTTTCCATCATGAAATGATCACATGTTTAGGTTTTTTGGGAAACAACACTGACATTTTAATCCGTAGTGTTTGTGGGTATGACGGTGGTAATTCGCGAACTTGATTAAGGGTGTAATATGTCAGTGTTCTTACCGTAAATATTTATACAAACATAATAATACCACGTTCCTGCTTACAAACTAATATAATTTACAAATGTTTTCTACAAAATATAATTTTTATTTTAAATGTACATCTTAAGAAACACAAATTAAATTTTTGGCAACATTAAATGTGGACAAATACAAATTTTACTCTTTAATAAGTCAGCACCATTAATAAAAGTTAAGTAGTTTATTGATTGGCTGTTGCTTCAACACAAAGAAAACTGAAAGCTCACTATATACAATCAATATTTGTGTAACTACCTTTTAAAACATTCAGTTTTCTTTAATAGTCTTTCTATTTACAAGGTGTTACCGAACAACATTAAATCTTTCAACAAATATAGAGTAGTGTAAATATTTAATAATGTCGACATTTATGGTCCTTCTAAATATTTTGGCACATAAGAAACATTGATATTGCTACAAACACTAAATACAGATAATGAGCAAAATTACGATTTGTGTAAAGCATCCCACATGTAAGTAGTACCTAGTATGTACACGAATAAAAATCACATTATATATTAAATTTTGTGCGTGCTTTTACTAATGAAACACATTTAAGATCTTAGATGAATCTAAACACATTTAACTAACTTACACTTCTGCTTCTCTGTAATTTGTACTAAAGTGTTTTAGTCGATTGTCCGAGAAAAAATGGTGCAGAATAAACCTCAGGTTTTAACCATCGATGGTTATGAAAGCTTAAAATCCGAATTGTAGTTAGTTATTGTCAAATTTGTGAAATTTTCTTATATGAGTCTAGGGCCGTTCCCTAGGTATGGCGAGCTCAGCATCGGTTTGCGCGCGCACCTTGTGTCATAAGTTCGTGACTGACACACAAGCCGACAAGAAAATAACCATAGAAAAGTGTTTTAAAAAAACTATCAGCCACATTATTTTTAAAGTACAGGGAGAGTCTTCAAATGAATCAATTTGACTTGAAGAAAATACAGCAGACAGCTCCCTCAAGAGCACACAGTCTGAAAAGCTCAAACCAATACGTTTACTCACTAAATACAATGGACTGAGTTTAAGTGAGTTTGTGCGAAAATAAGCAACATCTACAGTGCGTCCTACTTTGGTTGCCCATGTAAAATAGTAAAAAGTTAGATACTGTCTGTTTTAAATATTTTTACGTAGAATCTTGGGGCGTAGTAAAAAAAAATGTTGGACCACCTTTTTCGAGATTTGACCCATATACCCTGTATATGTTAGGGTACCTAATTATATATATTTTTCAAATTTTGACTGTCAGCCATTTTTATTGATTGGTATAGATTGCCTTAGTTGCCATGGATACAATAAGCGAAACAATATCTCCATGAATCCATGGCATACTAAGAAAATTGCGATACATCAATCAGAAAAAAGAATGTAAAAAATTGACGTTAAAATATACAGGGTGTTGCATTTACAAGATACCTACTTTTGGTGAAATTTCTGAAAAGCTGGTCCAAAACTTTTTCTTGACTACGCCACCTTTTTTCCATCTTACATGGCTAGTAGTAAAGTATGATAACATCCCAAAAAGTTTCGTTTTTACCCTGTATCTCAGAAACAAACATAGGTGCATTGATTCTGTTTGTGGTATTAAAAGTTTTACAGAAAAGTGGCACAGATCGCGAATACCCCAAGTCTTTATCTTTAAGAACAGCTGAGTCTCAACCGAAATAGAACACACGCTACAGTCGAGTAGCATCAGCTCAATTAGAAACCTGTTAAAGCCATGGGGCATGGCTGAAGAGAATTATAATTTTATTCCCTTAAGAATGAGAGTGACAAAACATACAGTATACAAAAATTTCATAAATTTGACCAACAATAAAACACACAAGATGCAAGCAGAGATCATTTTACTTATTTAACTATACACTTACTTGATGAAGGGGGGGGGGGGGCTGATTCTACATACCAGGGTAAAACTGTGCTGATTAAAACTAATATTGCACCCTTCAAATTTTCATATTTTAATACACTGAATTTCTCTTAAGCTACATTCGAATTACTGTGGAATCCTCTATCTATTTCCCCCATCATTAATTACATAACCCGCCGTTTAAAATTAGTTACAATTTACAAAAGTATTTCGCAGTTTATCACAATTTCTTTTACAAATTAACATTTTTGTTTATAAAAATAAGTTTTATTCCAATTCAGCCTTTTCGAAGAATTCCAAAACGAAATGTTTAAACTAAGAGACAATCGACATTCATTATTTTTTTTTACACTAGCTCGAGTATGTTAATAGTACCTTGACTATTCGCCGCGACGACAACATTAGAATGCTGTTTCCAACAAACGGCCGAAACAAATTCGTTAGATTCATCTTCTCGCCTTTCCTTTTCTAATATACCGCGTGCTGCCTCAAATTTAAAATTAAATAGTTTTTTCGTTAAACCCTTGTAATAAACGTATAACGCGTTATTTTCAGAACCGCACGCGACGTAATCGCCATCTGTGGCTAGACCGACAAAATTCTTTTCATTTATGTGACCGACAAAGGAACGTAAACAGTACGGAGTATTAATATTCCACATTTTCAATTGAGAATCTGTAGATGCGGACACAATTTCCTCGCTGTTCAAAAACTTAACATAACTAACTGCCTTCTTATGACCTTTAAACACGCTCACCGCCTCCTTCATGTAGCGCATATCATAGTAATGAACGCAATGATCTGCACTACCAAAGGCGAGATGGTACGAACTACGCGGGTTAAATTTCACGCAACAAACATTCGCTTTGGCCTCCAAAGTTGCGATTGAGTGTTCAAAATTAAGCGAGTAAAGCTTAACGCGCGCATCGTCCGAGCCGGATGCTATCAAACGAGTTTCGACTTCGTTGAAATCGACACTCCAACAACGCTTTTCATGTTCTTGGTATGTCTTTGTACGCTGCCCAGTAGCTGCATCCCATATTGTCACAGTTCCTTCGTAATCGCTTGATGCCAGTGTACCTAAATTAAAGCGGAGTTAATGATAAAATCAAAAACACAGTGATTTATTAGATAAACGTTACATGTTTTTTTTAAGACGCCATCATCAGGCATTGTGCCTTCGTAGAGACAACGTAAGGTAGAAATAGGGGAATTGTGGGCGTGTACAGACAACATATAGAGCATAATCACAGCTTACTTACTATCCAGCGCAGCGCTTATGCCCCGCCTCTTGGGGTAAAAGACTGCATTGCCTGTTTGGCGTGCAATCAAGCCCAGCGTTGCCACGTTGGCCATTTTCCCGAATTCAATTCAATTAGGCAATAAAATTTATTAAACACCTTACCCTACTTTCATTGCAATATTACGTAACACTGTACAGCAAATTCTAAACGTTCACATTACAATCAAAGCTTATGAGGATAGTCTTTGTTACAATACAGCACAAAAATCACCTACTACGGTACTGTGAAGCTACCGTGGGATGAAAATTCGTTTAATCCGGCCCCGACTTTTACCCCAAGCGCGAGAAAGTGCGCACCATTCCATCTCGCTTGGTTGTAGACCGCCAGATCAAAGGCGCCGCTAGAGAGTTGCGGAGCTGGATAGTAAGTAAGCTGTAGCATAATTATGAGCCATTCAGCAAAACATACAGTCGGTTCTTGGGTGGCGTCTGGGCGTGGCCCGAGTATTTAATAATAATAATAGATGGTAGAGTAGTTTGAACTACTAAGAGCAGAGCATTTTTGAGGGTGAAAATTCGCACCATTAGCAAAAGATCTCGATGATGTTAGGACAAACATATACTACCAATTTGGATTTGTGTCATAAAAGTTATTAAAACAATATAGTATGGTTACCTGAGAAATCCCAATAGCATCATTAATGACTAGTCTGTTCTTGCTACAAAAAATGACAGGACAGATAAATTTTTTCGTATAGCTGTGGGCAAGAGAAAAGACATCCTATCCCTATGTATTCATACCTACTAAAAAAGAGCAATTACAGCTTTCTGTAAGATCTGTCCTGAGATCTTGATCTCTGGAATGGACGGATGGAATTGAAGGTAGTACTTTTTTTCAGAGAATCTGAATATGTTATCAAAATTTCCATAGCACGCTAGGTGTAGAAGCTACACGCTACTTTCTTATTTCTTATGGGCGCCATAGTGGATTTTTACGAAATGAGAACAAAAAATGAATATGACGCGTCACACTATACTTTTTTTTACATAACTTTACAAGAAACATTTCAAAATCAAAAGTTTTGCTCTATTTCTTAACTCATCCACGGGTAACTAGACCTTACTGAATCAACACGGCTATGATGGCAATGCATTCAAATGAATGTCTTTTATTGTCTTTATCTCATTCCGTAAAAATCCAATGTGGTGCCCATAAAAACTAAGAAAGTAGTAGCCTCGAGTCCCTACATTTAGCATGCTATGGAAATTCTTATACACATATTTTTGTGAACGTCCCGCTCTAGTCCAACTGAGAGGATCCATGTTGGGGGGTATCCTTGCCGGACATGGCTACGATTAGAGCCGCATCCTCTTCCAGCATCCTTAAATTCATCTTACGTGTGCGATGGCTTGAGTGACGTTGAGGGGTCGAACGACTCTAGTCAGGGAGGTAGTACAAATGGCCCGAATTTTAGACCCAAGTACGCGTCCACCCTCCTATTGTAATCCAGATCCAGGTAACAGATTTAGATTGTAAGAAAAAAAAACCCATACAAGGTGCTAACGGAAACCGTCTATTTCCGACCGTTTCAGCTAGGAAAAATGAAAACGAAATTTGACATTCTCAGTTTTTCCGTGATATCTCAGTTATTTTCATAGATTTTTCAACTATTTCAAAAGCGTTTTTTTAGTCAATTTTAGTAAAAAAAAAAGAGTGTAACGAGATTATTAACGCTTCTAGCGTGTCTGTCCGTCCGTCCGTTAGCACGATATATCGAAAATAGATGGACCAAGACCAATTACGATGAAATTTTGCAGATGGATTCTTTATCAAATTTGTAGATCGGAGTTGGTGAATTGGCTTTGTAGGCAAAACAATAAGGAAGGCCCTTTTGAGATCTTTAGTTATGAACCGCGAATTTAATGAAATTCAAAACCTGTAGCCATACCCAGGACCTCGTTTGCTATATTTGTTTAATTAACAAGGAGGCTTTGGAAATCGAAAAACACTGGATAATTAGAAATGGTTGAATTACAAAAAACAGGTACATAAAAGATTAATACCGACTGCTTATATCGAAAGAAAGGTGATCAAATCCTACATTTGCTGCAATAAAAAAAATTTGGTAGTTCCATTTAAAAAATCAAGTTACTGGTGCCGACACATAAGAAGGCGAGAGCGGTGGTGCCGACCCGTGTGGTGCAGTTGAGTTGCAGATCGGCTGCGGTACTAAGGGGCCCTGGTTCGCATCCGGGTTCGGGCATGGATATTTGTAAATGTATAGTGGGTTGGGTTGGTAGAGCAGCCTTGGCTGAAAGTGAAACCCCGCCCACTCAAAAATAAAGGCAAACATAAATAAATAAAAATTAATAGAAGCGTCATGTTTCGCCTTCTTATGTACCAGTACCCAGTATCTCTGTTTGAAATTTTGAAAATTGAGTCATTTCTTTTAACACAAAAAAAAATATGGTTAACTTTAACCGTTCGTCGTATGTTAGTGCATTTTATGATGATTTAGTAACACTGCAGAGTTACGGACGAAATTGAAGGTGTTCTTGGAATAATAGGGGAGGTAGAAGACCTTTCTTTTTCTTGTGAAGAGAACTAGCTCTGCTTTTGTTGGGTTTAGGGACAAGGAGTGTTCCCTACACCACTCTTTGGTTACTCTAAGGCAGGGGTCAGCAACCTGCGGCTCTTTTGATACAAAGCTGCGGCTCTCCTTATCTAAAGAAATTAGTTCATTTGTTTGAAAGTCGCCTTTTTAATTAATCTTATTTGTTTACGAAATCAAAAGTACACTTGCAGCAAATAATTATTTAATTTGTGACACTTGTTTACTTTCTGGTATTCTTTTGTTTTTTTTTTGTTATAGCAGCCTACTCCGATGTATAAACACGTAATTAAGTAATGAGTAGGTATTTTTGTGAAAAATATTGAATAACAAAAACTGCGGGGTTTAAGCACAGGGCACCCCTTATAAACATTGAAGAGAACACAAAAGACAATCGAATAGCGAAATAAAATAGTTGTAGTTTCATTTGAAAAAGAATAGTTATAGCACTTTGAACAAATGGCATTGAACCAAGTAAAAATATGCAGGATGTTCTATTTAAAAATCAGTTATTTATTGACGTCGTAAAAATGAGACACCCTGTACATTCAAAGATAATTTCTGTAGATCCGCAACCACCAGGTATTAGCTATGTAGGAAAAACCGGCGCACTGTTGCAGGACCCTGTATATAGCCGAATACTATAATATTGAATCAAAAAAATTTTGTGGCTCTTTAAACACTGGGAAATTTTGTAAATTGTAATTTTTGGCTCTTCCGTTTCAATAGGTTGCCGACCCTCGTGCCGACCCCTGCTCTAAGGCAATCAGACTGCATAGAACTAGACGAATGTTAATGCCCGCGATGCTGGTGCGCGGTCGGCGACCGTGGCTCTCGTTTTTGATACGCTCACGGCCTTTCTGCGAATTGTTTGTGCCATACAAACACTCGAGCTGTTGAACGCGTCTCTTCCTTATCTGTTTCGTAAATTCCCGGAAAATGTCGACTGCACTGACGCCTTCCTGAGCGAGAAACTTAATAATAATAATGCGCTGCGCAACAGAGACGTGCAGTTCTTTCTCAAATATAATTATAACTGATAACTACACAACGGACAAAGCCGATTCCTCCACTCCTGATATCCCCACCCAAGACCTTTAGAGTGCGGGATGTTACCCCAGGCAATTTTTATCTCGCTCCATTGTTTAGGTATGTATACACGGTGTCCATTTTTCGAGTGCCACTATGGGGATCTCGCTTATCTTAAGAGATAGAAACTTGGTTAAATTAGGGCAAAGTTGCGAATTTTCGTGCTGAATAATAATCTAAAAAGAAATTTATAATATCTTCAATAGTTTGGAAAATATGGCAAAAAATCGAAAATTTCTGATTTTCATTTTTAACTTTTTCATGGTAAACTAATTGTACTAGACATTTCTAATTAACACATTATTCAGACCCTTTTTAATGGAGATTTCGAATATGGCATCCCGTTTTTAATAACTTTCAAGATAACGGAGAAACACGTGGCAACTTTAGTTTTTTTTATGGGCACCGTTTTGGATTTTAACGTTTTGAGATTAGGTCTTTTTTTCACTTTACAACGATATATCACACATGGTGGTTCAGAATCACATTTTTTCTAAAAATACAATTTTCATTTTATGCAAAAACAAAACGTTCTTCTGTTGTGAACAAAATGTTGACCTATTTCAAGCAGTGTCATTTACGTTTGTGTTAGTTTTATTGCTAAAATATTATTTATTCTTATGTATTTTGTTCTATTTTGAATTATAATTTTCTTGCAAAACGAAGGTTCAATTCTGTTCATATGAAAATCGAAAACATTCCCTGATGCCAACGCTGCAACCGGACATATGCATCAAACTGTCAAACTTTTGTTCACAATAAAAGAACGTTTTGTTTTTCCAAAGCACTCTTCCCAAAAAAATAAAAATTGTATATTAGGAAAAATGTGATACTGAACCACCATGTGTGATATATTGTCGTAAAGAGAAAAAATGACGTAATCTTAAAATCTCAAAATTAAAAATGGCGCCCATAAGAAAAACTAAAGTTGCCACGTGTTTCTCTGTCATCTTAAAAGTTATTTAAACCGAGATGTCACATTCGAAATCTCCATTGAAAAGTGTTCGAATAATGTGTTAATTAGAAATGTCTAGCACGACTAGTTTATCATGAAAAAATTAAAAACGAAAATCAGAAAGTTTCGTTTTTTTGTGATATTTTCAGAACTATTGATGATGTTTTAAATTTCTTTTCAGATGGTTATTCAGCAAGGAAATTCGCAACTTTGCCCCCATTTAACCAACCCCCATAGTGGCACTCGAAAAATGGACACCGTGTATATCTGAAAGCGGTACAGCCCGTATATATTCTCACTAGGTTGATGACAATAATATCCAGCATCCCTTGCAGGAGGGCTCGTATTATGCCGCCTCATCCTGGTGAAATGTATGCTGAGAACGATTTCTCCGCCCAGGTCATCCTCGCCTGACTTGCAACCACCTAGTTATTCTCTGTGGCAATGAAGGGATCAGTCAGGGTGTGGCGCTGTGGTGACTCCGCTGGCAGGATTATAATATGAACCTTTCGTTAGAATTTTATTTAGGCGAGATGCAGAGGAGGTGGATTCTATAGAGGTGCAAAAGCTCTTCCATGCCTTTCTCTGACGCCTCCTAATATCCTTCCTATATAGCCTTAGGTTAACCTCATAGGCCTCCTCATCTCGCTCTTCTTCTTCTTATTCATTATTTCATTTCATTTCATTATTGAACAGCTTGCCCAACTAAGTTTTCTGCTTTTCGAGAGTCCTGCACCACCAGGGATGGTTATGGGGCATCTTGGCAGTCCTCAGAGGACATGTCTGTTCAAATGACTCCGCAATCGAGTTGATAAGAAGATCTACTTTATTTTGTAAGTCGGCAGGACTCGAAAGGCGGTCCCCGAAAGGATGCTCTATAAGTTTTTCTCCAAGGAGATGTTTGTAACCTGAATCTCTGTTACCTTGGGGTTGCGATAACACTTAGACGGCTCCCAAAATAACTGTAAGCTATTTTAATTTTGTTTATTTGTATAAAGTAGGTCGGTTATTTTTAGGAATTTTCAAAAGGATTTTGTTGGAAGTAATGTTAATATTCCCAAAGGAATCGACCTATGCGAATCATTTGCAAGAACAGATCTTTATTATATTTATGAATAAGAAACAAAAGAGTTTGGATATTTTGTTTCATTGATTGGAAAATGCATTTAATTTCTGTGATACCATTCCTTTGGTTGGATTAAAATTTTGTTTAGCATTCAGAGGAGTGCGTATGTTTTGGACATGAGCATGTACCAGTAATTTATTATGTGGTAAAGACAAGGTTAAATATCAATTTTAGTTAGGTAAGCAGAAAATTTAGCATTGACACGTTTTTGTAATTGTATTTCAAGTCGATACTTTAAATCAAGTAACGTGAAAAGATACATGGAATTTGATCACCTTTGTTTTACTTAATACAGGGTCCGGCAATGAAACGGGAAGATTTGGGGTGGGGCTTGCAGTGGGCGGTGAAGTGGTAGGGAGGACAGTCACAGACTTGTCGGGACCCGAGTGGCTTGCCATTTAGTCTACAATGGAGCGTTGGACGGGTGAGCATCGCGGTTACGCAATTAAGGCTTATTACCAAAATGGCGAGAGTTTAGTGCAAACGCGTCGAGATTTTAGAAGGCATTTTAACATACCGCGTAACCAACCGGTTCCGTCAGACCATGCGATTCGAATGTGGCTAAACAACCTCGAGCAAACTGGATCGACGTCTAGAGAAAGAGGTGGTAGTGCCAGAACGATTCGAACCCCTGAAAATATTGAACGTGTTCGACTCCATGAATGCATACGTGTCAACGGAGGCCATTTGACAGATGTAATTTTCAAAAAATAATGTTTTTTAACATTGTATATCAAATGGCTACTCTTTTATTTCCCAGAATGGTATTACTAATTACAAAAAAAATATTTTTTCGATAATAAAATTATTTACGAAATCTTCCCGTTTCATTGCCGAACCCTGTACTTCTGTGAACTTCCTTTTAATGCCAGTTTCTGTATTTTCTAACAGTATCTCCTATTGCCTTAATACTGCCCCCAATCCCCCTGCTTAATTTGCAATATAAAGAACTTGACTTTTTTTGCTTGAGATGCGTAATTTGAGATCAGGTGGATATGTACAGGGTGGCCAAATAAGAATGCGAGGTACTGTATCTGGGAACCTGTCCATCGTAGAGGCTTGTGATATAAAATTTATTATTAAAACGGCCACGAGAAATACCTGGAAAATATCTTTAAGTTTCTGCAATGGCCGCTAGGGGGCTTAACTGCAATCTGAAATCTAAAAAAGTGATTTTTCTGTGAATTCCGCTATATTAACCTAACAAAAAAATGTCCGGTCTTTGAAGTTGACGATAATCTGAACCTTTTTTGTTTGACAATTTTTCCTGTATCTCTAAAAATGAAGTGGTGGGGGTATTCAAAGGTTTCCGTAAAGAACACCCTGTATTTTCGAAACGACTGAGCCGATTTCAACAAACTCGGGTTAATTGAAAAGAGTTATTCTTCGGCTACAAATATTATAATATTTGAAGTTTTGTTAGTTTCACATATCGCCGCTTGAGGGCTTTTTTAGACATTCCGACAGAAATGGTAGTATAATATTTGTAGGTGAAGAGTAGCTCTTTTGAACTAACCCGACTTTGTTTAAATCGGCTCAGCCGTTTCGAAGATACAGGGTGTTCTTTACAGAAACCTTTGAATACCCCCCACCACTTCATTTTTAGAGATACAGGAAAAATTGTCAAACAAAAATTGTTCAGATTATCGTCAACTTCAAAGACCGGACATTTTTTTGTTAGGTTAATATAGCGGAATTCACAGAAACATCACTTTTTTAGATTCCAGATTGCAGTTACGCCCCCTAGCGGCCATTTCAGAAACTTAAAAATATTTTCCAGGTTTTTCTTGTGGCCATTTTAGTAATAAATTTTTTTACCGCAAGCCTCTACGATGGATAGATTCTCAGATACAGTACTTCGCATTCTTAATTGGCCACCCTGTACTACGCAACTTGGTGGTATGTTGTATTGTACACATTTCTGTGAGTTCTAAGCAAGGTCCTTGAATTTAAGGGAAACTGGACTGAAAATGAGACATCAGTAGTTCAGAGTTAGAGGACCTTGAAAGAAATAACAAATCCAAAATATGATGGCACTGCCAAAAGAAGAAGGGGGCATACAATGATTACAAGAACTCTCCACTATTGTTTGTAGTGAGATAAATATTAAGTTGTGTATAGGTACCCAATTATAACCAAGTCCTTCACGGAGGAGCAAGATTCTCTTGCAATATCTGAGGCTTTAGCCGATTTAAAATACAATCAGAGAACACTTTGAAAAGTTGTATTTATTGTAAGATATGCTTACCTTTATGATAACTATTCCAGCTCACACACGAGATCTTCGAGTTGGACACCATTTCCACACAAGGATAGTGCAGATCAACCGTAGCTCGCAACACGGCACCATAATCGAACACTTTAATACGTTTCGTGACGCCGGCAATTGCGAAAAATTCATTGTCTTTATCAAATTCAATACTAGAAACTATGGTCGAGTTATTAAATAAATCGCTAGAATAATTTAAGGTGGCTAACAGTCGTAGGCTGTTATATCTTGAAAACTTTATTAAATTTTCTCTAAACTCGTCTAAGTCGGTAGTCGAATCTGCCTCCGACTTTTTCGTCTTATCGCCGCCGTCTTTGTCAAGAAACAAATCTTTGGAACGCGACGAAAAATAACACTGGACGAAGTCGTCGAAATGGGCGTGCATTCGTCGCCTTCTCATGGCCAAAGACGATAACCCGACGTGTTTGCTGCCGGAATCGCTATTACTCGGCTCGTCTCTTTTTGTAGAGCCAATATTATCGATTATGTCCATCATTTCCTTTTTCATTGCGCTAACCGCGACCGCGTCTCCTTCTTTGACGGACGCAACGGCTCGCTCGACGTCTTCCAACGTCGGGCATTTATTATGAACCTCTTTCAAAATTCGCTCCACTTCTTGAACGTCACTCTTAATAATGTTAATCTCTTTTAGAATTTGATTGTTTTGTTCCTCTTTCTGTTGCAAAAGGTGCTTTAAAAATTCCAATAGCAGTTTATTCTGAGCGGCGCAGGACTCCGCCTCTAGCAATTGCTTACGTTGCGTTAAAACTTCCAACATTACGTTAACGTCCGGTAGTGTTAGATTTTGAGATTCTGTAGCTACAAAATCTCGTAAGCCGTCGGCGGGTCCCGGAAATTCCCCGGAACTATCCCGACTCATTCCCAGCGCTTCCAAACCGTTAATGCGCACCTTATGCTTTTTAACTAAATCGTTTAACAAATAATTAGGGAAAATCATATCTTCGCCGGTAATCGGAGAATTGCACTTTGGACAACGTTTTGACGTTTCGATAGCTCGCATGATACAGTCGTAACAAAATGTATGGCCGCATTTTGTCATGTGCGCTTCTTCGATTAAATTAAAGCATATAGAGCAGAGCAGGTCGGAGTTTTTTTCTTCCAGCGACCCGCTCGCGGTAGGTCGCTGCCGTTTGGGCGTTCGAATAGAGGAACGATTCGTTGGCACATTGCTGCCGCTATGCGAGGATGCGGAACTGCTGCGACCGTCTCTACTGCTCGCCATTCTTTTCGTGTTATATACGAGTCGTTTTTTAAATATTATTGGAAGATGGTGACCGACCTGAAACAATTCGTCGGTAACAGCTAAGACTATTATCTGCCCACAAAAAAATAACAAACAATAGCTACTACATTACATTTACATGATGAGATCTTTGTTACGAGGAAATTGAGTTTTAAGATTCTTAACTTTGGATGTTGAGCGCAAATTGTTACCACCAAATTGTAAAAAATTTAAAAACAAGTTTTTTTTCTGACTTAAATAATAAACAATTTTTAACACTTTGGCGTAGTAGGCGTTGACAAAATGTCAAAATAATTCATGGATGGTACGTTTAAAAGAATCATATTGTGCCATTTGTAATAAAAAAAATGCTACGCAATACAGTATGAACTTCTTTTCTGGTCCATATAAAAATATGCAGTTGATGATGGTTTCTCGAAGACGAAACGTCGCTGTAAAAATCTGTGGGCACCATCTTGTAGAGCGTACAAAATGCCTATGAAGCCATGTCTTTTGTTTTTTGATGTCTTTTCAAACAGGGCCAGAAAAAATAAAAATGGATTTCGAATTTTTCCGAAAATCTTTGAACTAATTGGAATTTTCGACTTTTTAAAACATCATTTTACCTAAGGAATACGCAACTTTTTTCTAATTTAACTGACTGTGTATCTCTTATGGTTTTAGATTCTCCATGTTGTTCAATCTTATCTTGGACAGAGTGTATAGGTACCTAAATAATGGGCAATTTTTTTTACTGAAGTATATTTTCCTAAAATGTTTACAAAACTCAAACGAATTTAAAAACCATTTGATGTAGTAGTATGGTTTCGATGATCTGAGTCTCCACAGTCAGAAAACTACCGAGCCAGGGACCAGGAGCTCAGACAGTACATAGAACTAAGGAAGATTTTAGATGAAACGGTTTCATATACACTGTGTTTGAGAGAAAAAGTTCACCTCAATATCTACGTAAATTGGCGAGATTCGAAAAAATGGGCAAACATAATTTTGTATGTGACATGACAATGTACCCGATGGCATAATGAAATTTCCAGTGTCACTTCCGGTCAAATTGGAAATCGATGCAACTTTACTCTTTCACATGTTATACCTATGTTTCTTTAAGATCTTTGAGAAGAGCAATCATTTGCCGTACGACTAGAAAATGCATATGCTAGATACAAAAAAAAATATGGAAAAAATTCGTGATTCAATATTTGGAAAATTTGTAAAATCTAGCGTGCCGTGTGTTGTCAGTTGATTCGCCAAATAAAAGAGATATTGAGGTGACCCTCTACTTATCTCGAACACAGTGTATATAGAGTGAGGTAACATATTTTTTAAAACTGGAAACATAAGGTTTGAAATTTTACAGGATCAAGAGATACTTGGGGGGGGGGGGGAATTGTATGAACCTAATATTGTTGTATGAGTGACTTTCCTGTGAGATTTCATACCCGGCCAACGTATCAAGACCACACAATATGCATTTCCTTTGAAAAGTTGGATATGCAAACATCGCTCGACACTTTTTCGCTTCTTGGACTTGTACAGGGTGACCCATTTTCGATAATTCCCCATAATTGTTAAAGAAAACCAGGTGCCAAATGTTTTTGACAGTCTTACATCTCTTGTGCCTAAACTACACTGGCAAAATTTTAACGAAATTAAAATAACCGTTTTTTTTTGTAAGAAAACCTACCATAATTTCTGAAAGTTGTACAGGGTGGCCAACTAAGAATGCGAAGTACTGTATCTGAGAATCTATCCATCGTAGAGGCTTGCGGTAAAAAAATTTATGACTAAAACGGCCGCGAGAAAAACTTGGAAAATATTTTTAAGTTTATGAAGTGGCCGCTAGGGGGCGTAACTGCAATCTGGAATCTAAAAAAGTGATGTTTCTGTGAATTCCACTATATTAACCTAACAAACAAATTTCCGGTCTTTGAAGTCGACGATAATCTGAACAATTTTTGTTTGACAATTTTTCCTGTATCTCCGTAAAGAACACCCTGTATCTTCTAAACGGCTGAGCCGATTTAAACAAACTCAGGTTAGTTCAAAAGAGCTATCCTTCAGGTACAAAATTATACTATGTGAAGTTTTGTTAGTTCCACATATCACCGCTTGAGGGCTTTTTTCGACATTCCGACAGAAATGGTTAATTTTCTCAAAAAAATTAAATGAATTGGTTCGATTGGTCTCAATATCTTGAGATCTATATTTATATCGTGATGACCAGCATTTCGAGCATTTACGGCGGCATTAAAAGCTCCCTTTTTTAAATCGATCCACCTTAGGGCCACAAATTATATAATAAAAATAATTTCGAAAAAATTAGCTTAAAAAAATAAAATTTTGAGAGTATAAAATTTTCTTTGGCCTAAATTTTAGGTTAGTAACAAGATGTCGAGCTGCGGTTTTCGCGAGCTTGTTTAGGCATCATTTACTACTTTTTCATGAAAAAAAATCAAACCAACGCATTTAATTTTTTTGAGAAAATTAACCATTTCTGTCGGAATGTCGAAAAAAGCCCCCAAGCGGAGATATGTGAAACTAACATAACTTCAAATATTTAAATATTTGTAGCCGAAGAATAACTTTTTTCAATTAACACGAGATTGTTAAAATCGGCACAGCCGTTTTGAAGATACAGAGTGTTCTTTACGGAAACCTTTGAATACCCCCCACCACTTAATTTTAAGAGATACAGGAAAAATTGTCAAACAAAAAAGGTTCAGATTATCGTCAACTTCAAAGACCGGACATTTTTTGTTAGGTTAATATAGCGGAATTCACATAAAAATCACTTTTTTAGATCCCAGATTGCAGTTACGCCCCCTAGCGGCCATTGCAGAAACTTACAAATATTTTCCAGGTTTTGCTCGTGGCCGTTTTAGTAATAAATTTTTTACCGCAAGCCTCTGCGATGGACAGGCTCCCAGATACAGTACCTCGCATTCTTACTTGGCCACCCTGTACACAGAAAAAGAAGGTCTCCGATAATCTCGCGTATAATTGTTGAATAAACTGCCGTATTCAATTACAAAGGGGTAGGAAGCCAACTTCATTTTTTTAGTAGAGCAACCTGTAGATTTTATTATAAAAAGATAGCTAATTCGATTCTCTTTTCAAAAATATAATACTAACAAAATTCAAAAATTCTTTTTGAATCATTTGAACCTTTTTGAAAATCTTTTTGATTTTTTTAAATCACTTGAATTCCTGGTGTATTCTTTTTTTGAAAAGAGTTAATATGCTTTTTTTTTTAATATATGCAGGGTGTGCCAAAATGAGGTTGTGTCCCATAACTTTTTTATTTGATCCTGTATACTTATTTTGGAAATTGCAGATGATTCAATAATCAATATAAAGAAACTGTAATAACAGATGTTTTGTATCTCTTTTAAATAAGAAAATATAGGGTAATTCTAAAAATAACAATTTTTTGATTTTCCCTCGTGCCTATATTACTTTTTTGATAGAATAATTACGGAAGTGAATTTAGTCAAATTTTTGTGGCCAAGAAATTGTTGCAGAATAGATTTAGATTTCCAGATTGTTCTGTTCATTTAGATTAGCGCAAATATAATTTTTGACAATCTCAATTTAAACTTCCCAACTCTTCTGTAATAATTAATTGACACTTTTATTTTTTAACGTAAAAAAAAATTTCCTGGAAAATATGTCCAATAGGTATTCTCGCACAATTGGGGCGTTGTGCGCGGGTGCACCATCCTGTTGAAAGCAACAGTTTCCAACTTTTGTTTTTCTTGTGTGTCACATATATGGTTGAAATCGAAATAAAAACTGCTACTCAATACAGTTTGTACTTTTCTTACGGTCCATATAAAAAAAATAAAGTTGATGATTTTTCCGAAACGAAACGTTGTATTGAAAATCTCTCAACGGTGTCCTGTAGAGCTCAAAAAGTGGCAATGAGAAAGTGTTTTCTATTTTTTATATCTCTTCAAATAGCATTAGAAAAAAAAAAAAGAAATTGGCAAATTTCAGTTTTTCTTGCATATCTTGGGAAGTAATTTGCTTTTATTAGATCACTTATTGTTAAAATTTCAAAAAAATATCTCGAGAAGTGCGAAAGTTGACATTACACAGTCTGCGCATACGCATAGTTGATTTTTACTATATATTCTTTACTCTAGTCTTTACTTTACTACTTTTTTAGACATAGAACCGTATTCTGTTAACGAGTTTTTAGAAGCAATTGTTAATGTTCGTGTTGTGTCAACGTAGCATTGCGCAGTGTGCGCCATCTTGATTTTTACTATATCCGATGTGTTTACCTTTACTAGAAACATCTGTGGTTAAAATTAAAAAAATATATCTCTATAAATAAGAAAGTCGAATTATAGTCAAGACTGGATATTGGATCAGGTGCCAGCAATAAAAAAAATGAACTAAATATATTGAAAACTGTAGGACGGACAGAGAAAGTGGCTGTAATAGAGCACCCAACTTGGAAAATGCGCTAAAAAAGGGTTGCCAAAGGTGATCCATCCCCAAAATCCTCATCCCAAAGTCAGAATTTAACATGCTTCCTTTTGATGAAGGCAGCCCTGAGGAATACCCGTCTACCCACCCCTGCCCTTACATACAGAAATAGTTTTTTAAACAATCTACCCTATTTTTAATGTTTGATCATTTCTTCTGAATTTAGTTTGACATTCATGTGGATCACGTATATGATTTTGTGTCACCAATGTGCACGTTAACAGATGGTTGCAATGTATTGCTGACTCGTAGTCATTTTGCACATTAAAATAAAAAAAAGCTTGTCAACTTCCGACAATCTTTTAACATGCATCATATTTGAATTTTATAACGAATGAGGAGTTTGTATAGCAAATTACAGTGAATAATGATTTTGGTTTGGCCATTTAAATATTACTTATTGCCTGCATGACAATAACGCAAACCACAACCATTACATCGACTATTTTATTGTGAAATTCTGTTGGGTGTATCACAATTATCTCACCATGTAAAAACCAAAAAGAAAGACAAAGTTTCAGGTCAGTTACGCCATCAAACGAAAGTTGACAAACAAAAAGTAATTCATACACACATCCTAACGATCACACCAAGTATTCTACAAACAGTGGCATATTGCTTACAATTGCAGAGCTTCAGAGATCTTCCCATCCACATGTTGATTGTATTTGGAGGCGCTCGGCGACAACTCAAACCCTTCTTTATTTTTTTCACTATACAATCCGAGAACTAAACCTCTCTGAAAAATAAGAGCACCTAAAGAACTTGCTTCTACAGATCAAAAGGATACTTACTCTTGTGGAATTAAAACGAGTTTGTCTAATGTTAACAGAGCTTAACCTAACAAATCTGGAACATTTGAAAAAAACTGCCATTATGTAAATGGTGATATTTATAATAGAAATTCCGCGTTAATTAAACGTTCAAAATGTGCATTTCTCTTAAAATTATATTTCAAAAACCACCAAAAGTATGAATAAATTGCAATAAACAAAGTTCACAGAGAAAATTGATTTTGTTTTGACATCTGATCACACTGTTGCCAATCCAACCTGAGGAAAAAACAATATACAGGGTCAGATAATACTGTCATACAGAGAAGTTTACAGTGACTGTATTAGGACAGTGGTAGTTCTGTTCTCCAAAGCTAAGTAATCCTAACAAACTCTGGAGATGGTCTCTGGAATGGTCGTAGAGAGGTTTTTAAAAGACCATTGGGCTGAACTGCTCTAGAAAGGACCTTGGGACTTCTAGGAAAGCTTTAAAAAAATGGAGCTCTGGAAAGCACATAAAAATTAATCAATGCGCTTCAACCCAAACCAAAAATAAAATGCACGCCACTGGCTAATTGAAAATCAAAATTTAGCTAACTTCATAGATGTTGATATAAAATGGTTTAGGAGCCAAATTTTGAATTATTAATGGACACGTACAATTTGGCCAAGTATGTAATAATTTAGTGCTCATTACGTAAATATCTTATTTTTTTTTTAGAAAACTAGGTTTAGTGGAAATAATATCGACAAAGAAAGATGCGGATGGTAAAATCGAACAGCCTTTCTCCTACATATTTGTACTAGATTTCGAAGCAACTTGCTGGGATAAACATGACGTGAATAAAAGACCATTCGAGATAATCGAATTTTCAGTAGTATTATACAGTATATCGCAAAATAAAGTTGTGCAAAGTTTTCAACAGTACGTTATGCCGACCGAGAGTCCCAAGTTGAGCGAATTCTGTAAAAACTTCACCAACATAACGCAAGAACAGGTTGATAATGGCGTGCCGTTGGGTACATGTTTGATGTTATTCAAAAAATGGCTAAACGAACAAGCGTGTTGCTATAAATTATCAGTTTTTGGAACCAATGAGCCTAATCTTCATAGGGCAGTGTTTGCAACCTGGTCCGATTGGGATTTGAAGACATGTTTAGCTAATGAATGTAAAAGGAAGAGAATTAAGAAGCCAGAGATTTTCAATGCATGGGTCGACGTCCGATTGTTGTACATGGTGAGGGAATATATTTGTTATCCACCAATAACACTATATTCATAGGAACATTATGGTCGTCGCCCTAAAGGGTTAAATGGAGCTCTCACTGAGATTGGATTGCGGTTTATCGGTAATGAGCACTGCGGCTTAGATGATGCACATAATACAGCGATTCTTGTTGGTCGAATGATTCAAGATGGGGTTTTGGTAAGAGTTACAAAAGATTTATCATTATAATACAATATTAAATAAATAAAATTGACTTATTATTTATTCATTGCTTAAGTTAAAGTTTGACAATTAAAATAGGAAACAAAAACATTCCTATCCACTTAGCCAACAATTAAATTATAAACACCTACATAAATTGATTCATGGGATCTTCTTCTCTTCTACGCTTTAGGAAATATGCTTCCATTTCATCATCAGTTGGTTTTTTCACATCAAACATACTGTTATATGGACGCTTTCTCTCGTCCAGTTGCAACAATCGTTCAGCATCAGCCTGACTTTCTTCTTCTGCCTTTAAAGCATCTGAAAGGCCACTTTTTTTCTCGACTTTATTCTTCTTTTTCTTTTTGTCTTTCATTTTCTTCTTTTTATTTTTCTTCTTTTCGCTCTTCTTTTTATTCTTATCGGTTTCTTCATCACTACTACTGTTACTAGACGAAGACTGATCCGATTTCTCTAAGTTACTTTCAATAGAATGTGGTGGTGCAAGAGACTCCCTTAATATTCCCGCTTCACCCAAACAGTAAGAGTTTTTGAGAAAAGAATGACAGCACTTATAACCCCATTGGCTCGCCTTCCAGTATGAACCCCAGACAGTGGTGTGATTATTAATGTAAACGTCTTCTTCATATTTAGATTTAACAACTTGCTTCTCTTGACCCTTGATTACTTTTCCTGACCGCGAGTATTCGACATAATCTTCCGTTTGTGCCAGTAGAAGTGACTTTGGTGGAACTTGAAGATGCTCTTCACCTCCGTACCGTTCCAAAACATCTTTTTGAACTTGCGTCTTAATTTGATCTTTTTTCTTGTCATATTCTTGCTGCAGCATTTCTAATTTGGTGGGTTCCGCTAGTAAATGCACATCAACCCCTTTTTCGTATGCTTCCCACGCGAACAGTTGAGCTTTGGCGTGCTTTTGCGTATCTCCCGTAAACCGGACAAAATTTTCTCCAACAGATCTGCAAATAAGTATATAATACATTCGACATTAGGGACACTGAGAAATAGTGTGCATTTAAGGATTTTATATGGAATGTTATAAATGATAGATTAATAATGGGTGGGTTCATTTGCATGTTAATCTCTACAATACCTTGGAATATGAATGGATTAAAAGCACCTACTGACAGCAGACGCGGAGAGCCCAAGCAAATCATGAATTAGGTAAAAAATACACAAATAGATCAATTAATTACTTACAACTCATCTATTTTTTTATTAGGATTTTCTCTCATTGATCTTGTTTTGGGATCATAATATGCAGAGTTAGGATCCAAGTTTCTTAAATACTTGGCGGTATCTTCACGTATACGCAAATTTCTCACTGTAATCCTTTGTTTGCTGTCCACCTTAGTACCAGGCATGTCCACTTCATCCACATATTTATCTTCATCCTCCTCTTCGTCTTCTTCACTTGAAGCTTCATTTGCGTTAAGTTTATCGGCACGAAGTTGTCTCTTGGCCTCTTCGACCTTTTGAAACTCTTCAATTATCGCCTTATGTTCAGAGGGATCGTAACCACTCCACCGATCACGCTTGCCATCATAACTTAGTGCCAACTTTGATTGCACATACTCGTCCGGTGCTATATTGGCACCGGAAAATTTCGCACCCACCTTACGAGGGCGATCCATGCAATCCTTCTTTTTGTGTGTCATGGCACCGCAGTTTTCGCATGCTCCTTTACGATATTTTACGGTAACCTTGCTCTGAAAATCTAAAAGTTAGAATCTGATCGTTTAAGAGTTTGTCACCTACAGTGTCCACTCCACGTTTATACCATTCGTCAAACTCCGAAAACGTTTTCTGTTTCTCTGGTTGGGGACGTTGATGTTTCAAGGTAGGGCCAGTTGCGCTGTAATACCAAGGGGCGGTCGATATATACTGAGGAATGTGGGGATTTATATCTTTCCCTTCTTCATCTACAGCAGCTGGTGCGGTACCTGCTTTTCGAGCTTCCTCTAATTCCTTCGCCTTGCGCCAATCCTCCCTCGATTTCTTTTTGGGTTCATCTTCCAGTTCGACTCGTGATCTCAAAATTTGAGAGACGGTCATACCGGTTGTATTTGTCGCCATTTCAGACAATTTTATATTTTAATTTTGCGCATTTATGTTTTTTCATTTAACCTATAAATGTTATGAAAGGCAAAATGATATGACAGTTAAAATACAAAACAAAAGAACTATTCTACTTACTTTGAACTACTATATACAGTATGTTCCTATTGATATCATTAATTGGAGGTGGCGATACAAAAAGTTCGTACTGTGCACAACCTATTTCTTTTTCTATCAACCTCTTTGTGAATTGTGCCCCATGTATTTAATTTGATACCAACCAATAATAGAACAGCCTATTTCAATTATGGTTTCAAGAAATGGTGCAACCTGTTGGTTATATACACCAAGCTTGATTTTTACTAGGTATTTATATTTATATTATATCCCAAAATTTACCAAAAAATATTATTTGGCGAAGTATGCTTACATGAGTGCTACGCACAGTTCAATAGAGGTCATGTTTTGTCTTGCTCCGCTTTTAGGATTGGTAAAGCCCTTTTCATGCATAGGAACTTTGTGGAGTAGGGATGGCGCCTCGATCTTAACGGCATTCCTAGTGGCTGGTCGTTTGCGAGGGCGTCCACTCCGGCGAATCTGGGATCCTTCCCGTGGTCCACAGGAGCTTGATATTGATATGATATATTTCTAGGGAGACGTCCTGGCTCTTCGACAGCCGTTACGTCATAGGTGATATGTCCGTTCTTTTTAGTGATGAGACAAGGGCCGTCTCGACGAGGTGCGAATTTTGCTGTGACCCATACATAGCAATGGTCATGGCGATGCTTTGGAATCTATAATTTCTTTATAGTAATCTTGGCGGTGTTCGTGCATCTCTTTTCTGTCACATGCCTCAAAGAATCGCTGATTCTCAACAGCCAAGGGGCGATTTCCACCATGAAGTCTTACCCAGGTTTCGTGTGACGTCGCTGTTTTACTAAATCAGAAACCTTCGCGGGCATACGTCCAAACCATTCTCCAATTTTTCGAACCCGGACCGTCCATTTTAGTCCAGTCAATTTGTACTTTGCGATTACAAAAGGTCCGGTAGAAGATTTTATTTTTCCGACTTGTTTAAATGGTAAAGAGAGAGAGAAAAATCCAAGTTTGCCAATTCGACTGACGTCGGGAGAAATTTCTGTGGTCAAAAATCTGAAAAAGTCTCTGCTTATTTTCGATTTTTCCCAAATAACCCTCCAACGGCAATACTTAGGTAAAATCATCCTTTATTAAAAACTGTAGTGTATAAAAGTACCTTTAATTTGATTTAGGAGATACGCTTTAAAGTTTCGTGTTTATAGTAATTTTTGAAAATAAACCATCTTTTACGATGGGAGAACTTTATAACACCTTGGATGGAAGGACGATGTCTGGCATGGGACTTTACTTGTGTTGATACCTTATGTCCTTCATATCTCTTCTCCTCGGTGAAGAAAGCAGGTTCTGCAGCCGCTTTAGCTGAACGCAGAAAGAAAAATACTTACGCTGCTTTAGAACCTACATTTATTTTTAACGGATTCGCTGTAGAAACCATGGGTCCGTGGGGAAATGAAGCCAAAATGATGACAGCGGCAATTGGTAAAAGACTCAGGCAAAAAACAGGAGAGTCCCGCTCAACCTAGTTTATTTACCAACGGATAGGTATAGAAATTCAAAAAGGCAATGCCGAATGTGTTTTTTTTTAATATTTATAAATAGCGGAACCAATGAAAATGAAGTTCTTATAATGTGTCACTGCGCAGTACGTAATCACTCATAAATAACATTTTCCTGCTAACCTACAATTGTGCAGTGTATATGTTGGCGGTAGTTCTTTTCTTTTTGTCTAAGAGCATAGTAGTGAACTTTGGACATTTTAACACAATGTAAAATAAAAGTGAGGTTAAGACTCTTTCAAACTTATAAGCAAAATTGAACACGCCCAGCACACACCGCAACTTAACTTTGCTATAAAAATGTTTTATACTTATAAACTTCTATTATAAGGAAAAATGGCCGTCTAACATAACGGAAAATGCTGTTCGCAACCCGGCTAATCTTTCTTGATATAAATTCTACTGGTAATCGCACTATAATAGCATCTAGAACAGTTTTGACAACTACGACAAACTGCATTTTTAGAGAAATCATCTACATTTTGTTTTTTATCTGCATCGTTCGGAAGCAATGCGGTGGACGGTCGCCAATTTTTATACATTTTTTTTCAATAAATCTCAATTGTTTTGAATTCGACCGTTTGTAACGGGGCAAAATGTTTCAATACGGCACTGTTAGCCTTCATGTTTATTGTACTTTTTGTATTTCAATGTGTTGCGATAATTTGTTAAAATGGAGATTTATATTTTGTATGCTATATCAGAAAATTATGTGTCAATTTAAATTTTAGTAAAAGTAAATCCAGATAAAGTTTGTTTTTGTTTGTTCAAAGAAAATTTCTCTTATTTCCGGAACCGATGGTCATTTCCAGTATAAGTAAAAATTTAATAGTGTTGTTTCATTTGATTTGCGTATTTACGGAACTTCAAGATTTTGATAAGTCATTGCCAAGATTTTCCAGCGTTTCGGAACCCAGCTGGACTCTTGAGATTCAATTTTCTTTAATTATAAAAAATAAAGGTTGTTGGGAGATGGTAATAACGGGTGTCCCAAAATTAACGCAAGATTTGAATTTGCCGCCATTTGTGCGGTGAAGTGTTGGCAACCCTGAAAAAAAAGCAATTTGACAGCTAACAGTATAGGGTTATTAAAAATGGAGCGTTACACGATAGAACAACGTGTCTTCATTATTAAAGAATATTTCAAAAATAGTGAAAGCTTGGCGGCTGCAGTTCGAAAATTTCATACAAAATATGGTCGGAATAGTGTTTTAACTTCGTCAACTGTGAAGAGATTAATTGAAAAATTCATGGAGACTGGATCCGTTGGAGACGCCAAACACACTGGTCGTCCAAAAACAAGCCGTTCGAATGTGAACACTATTCCGACCATATTTTGTATGAAATTTTCGAACTGCAGCCGCCAAGCTTTCACTATTTTTGAAATATTCTTTAATAATGAAGACACGTTGTTCTATCGTGTAACGCTCCATTTTTAATAACCCTATACTGTTAGCTGTCAAATTGCTTTTTTTCAGGGTTGCCAACACTTCACCGCACAAATGGCGGCAAATTCAAATCTTGCGTTAATTTTGGGACACCCGTTATTAGGAGCAGAGATACAAAAAAATATATTGCGGCTAATGACGCCATTTTGACGGCCACCATTTTGGTTTCCTGCACGGATTTTCGAGTGGCTCCCATCTCAAAAGTTGCCTTTTGGTATTAACTGTTACCACAGAAAGTGGCATATTCCAATCAAAAAGTGTAGTATTTTCCCCATTCTAGCCATGCATCGACGTACTAAGGTATGTCTCGTTCAGAGGATTCATTTTGCCTTTGTGTGTACTCTCCTTCGACAAACCGTTTCGCTCATAAATTATGCCATCACCAAAAGATATATTTCTTCCAGACGTCCCAATCGCCTTTTGTGAGTACCATTTCCAGACAATATCCGCTCTTGAGATATAAGTAATTATAAGCGATCACGATAATGGGCCGAGGAGGAAGTCTATGATTGGTAAAAGGTAATTCCTTTCATTAGAGTACCATGAAGGATAAAACAAGTCCCTCCTTAACCCCCCCCCCCACCTTTGATAAGGGGTTAGAATGAAAGGCGGGAACTGGTAGAAAACAGTTACTTTTTCCCTTTTAATTAGAATACCATGGAAGATAATACCCCCATCCCGCCGGTCACCCAGTGACGGAGTCACGCAGTCGATGAGACCTTTCATTAGAATACCATGAAGGATAGAACGTGTATTTACCCCCTCTCCCTCCACCATTCTCAAAATTTTGACATGACGTCACTAGACGCATATAGGTACATTCAAAATCTGAGTGGTCCCACATTTCTTTTAATTCTTAAAAAATGCGCTAAAAATGTTATTTTTAAAAATTACTATAAGCACGAAACTTTAAATTAGTGTATCTCCTAAACTATACATGTTAGGGGGCCAAATAAAATACCAAATTGAAGGTACTTTTATACACTACAGTTTTTAATAATGGATGATTTTACCTAAGTATTACCGTTGGTGAGTTAAATAAAAAAAACGAAAAAAGTCAGAAATTCTTGCAGATTTTTGACCACAGATATTTCTCCCGACGTCAGTCACATTGGCAAACTTGGATTTTTCTCTCTCTTTACTATTTAAACAAGTTTGAAAAACAAAATCTTCTACCGGACCTTTTGTAACCATTTAGCATTTTTACGTCTAATATATTTGACTGGACTATTTTCTACAAATCATATTCTAACGACATTTGGCATCGACCTGCTTTTTTTAAGCGCATTATTAAAAAAAAAATGCGCTATTGTGGCAGCTTTGTCCGTCCGTCGGTCGGTCTCTACGGCCTTGTCGATACTAAACCTTTATCTTAAGAGATACCTACTGTTTGAATTTGTTCTCTATTTGGTTCGTTATGGTGTCGAGGCTTGCACCAAGGAACGAAATTTTGATTCTTTGTGGCCGGATTTTTTTGATTGAGTGGTTGAACGCATTCGGCTGGAGTAACCAATTTTTTCAGAGAAAGACCGTGGAAAAGCGCTTTTTGTAAATCGTTTTGTTTGTACGTGCAGGCCGCAGAGAACTTCTCGTTGAACATTGCTGAACTGTACCTATGTACCATTCCACATCTAAGTTCAAAATTTTAATGAGTCATGCTACTAATAGAAAAAAAAAAACGGAAAAATTGCGTATAATAGCACCTTCCTCGTTGGGAAAGTGTGCTAAAAAGTGATTCATGCTACACAGCGTTTGCGAAACAAATAAAGTACCTACAATGAAACTAAATTTGTAGATGATGTTCCTCCGTCACTGGTTTCCAAAAGGCCTATATAACATTATCGCATTTTTTTTACTAAAAATTAACTTTCCTATATCAAGTCAATGTGAAATTCTTAAAAGGCCATAACACCCAGCTGGTATTGAAATACTGTACTGGTGGATGTTATAAATTGACTGGTTGATTGGAATGATGTAGATAGAACCAGAAATTGCATCAGCCAATTCTTTGCAATAAATTGTCAAGTATATAGGTGGGTAGGTGTCTGTAAGTATTCTTACATTCCAACTACTTTTTATTATAAAATTCATATATTACAGTTACAGTCACTGATAATGTATGTAGGTAGGTAATGGAAAAGTTTTCACAATGATCTTTAAAAGTTATTATGAAGACGAAGAGAGGAATCGCTTTAAAAAATAATTAAAGCCGGCAGATGACCAATCTGTCAAAGTTTTATTAGTCGCTAATACCCCATGAATTCTTGCAAATTAAACTTGAACCCTAAATAATTGCAATTCCCACTAATAATTTGTAAGTGCCAAACACTGTGATTTCCAAAAATTTAAATGTAGCAAACGCGATAGGTACCAGAACGAGCACTCGTTTTAACACGCTTTAGAATCAGACGATGGACATGCAAGTTGATATAGTAGTTGGATAAGGGTCCTTGTGGGACGACCAGTCATTCTTCCTTTTGTTAAATAAGTTAATAGCTTGTCCTCGCATTTCATTCCAACTCCTGTTATATCCATGTGAATCCAATCAACGCAGGAAATAAATTCATTGAGAAATGCCGCTGCAAGGCAAGGAGCGCCGTCGCCGTGACCTTTGTTATCAACATCGTGCGATGGAAACCTGGTGACTTGGTGCGTGAAGTACTTCCACAGAGGCATTCGCCAAACTCGATCACCGGTGATAACGCTCGCTTTTTCAAGTTGGCCCCACATGGTTTGAGAGTTACAGAACACTGCGGTAGCTCCTGATCCTAGCGATTTTGTGGTCCCCTCGGTCATAGACGTAACGTCGATGATCAACCTCGGTTTATGCGTTTGCTGACCATATACTAATCCATCTGCCAAAAGCAAACGACCTTCCTGATTGGTCGCCTGAATTTTAATCGTTTTTCCATTTAATCCGGTCACTATGTCGCCGCATTTCATGGCCATTCCACTTGGCATATTCTCGCATAAGGGAATCACAGCGTTAATGTTAAGAGGTAAACTAAGCGCATTAGCGGCGCGAATTGCCGCAATGACACACGCAGCTCCGCATACATCGGCACGATGAGTTGACATATTAGCGCAAGGTTTCAGGCACAGTCCTCCGCTGTCGTACGTAATTCCTTTGCCTACAAGTAGGATTGGTTTCTGTTCTGGGGGGCCACCGCAATAATGAATATCCAAAAATATCGGAGGCTCACAAGAACCACGCGCAACTGCCAAAAACCCGAACATTCGCTTCGACTCTATCCACTCTTTGTCTCGCACTTCCACCTTAATACCGCACGGACATAACTCGTTAACGGTCTCCTGCGCAAAGTGCAAGGGAGTCATTTGATTTGCAGGCGTATCGCACAGTCGACGAGCTAAATTTTGGGATTCCGCTTTAAAAAGGCCCCTCTGCCATGTGTCCGCATCCGAGCTGTCAAATAATTCCAAAGATGGAATCGCCCTCCAATGTTCTTTGCTTCTATTCTCCTGATACCTCCAAACCGCCAACGCCGCACCTTCCGCCGCTTGCTCCGGCTTTCCAAAACTCTCCACCAGTATCCGTTTAACCCCTTGCTGCGTTAACTTTCGCGCACCAATCCCCGCACCGAGCCTTACGTTTTCTAATCCCTGATCGATTACTTCCAGTTGATTATAGCCGGCATTCTCCTTTCCAACATTAACGACCGCAATTGACCAAAAGTCTTTGTTTATGTTATTGAAGACTTTCAATCTTCGGTCAACAATTTCCTCTCGTGCTCTGAAAGATATTGCAGCTCTATAATAGCCCTGACCCACTGTGCACTTACCCCTTTACATATTCCAAGAGTTTCCCAGATAAATGCTCGTCAAATTTCTTTCCGGACGTTGTTAAACTCAGTTCGTTATTTTCACCCTCATATACACCCAAAATTAAACCTTTCTATAATTCACAAGTTGCAATAAATACAGCTCGAACTCACTTAATACCTTTTCGGTCACATCGTGATCCGTTGAAAAGCTTCTTTCATAATTTGTTATTTTCTTGGCGCGTAAGACTCTGTGTAGTGTGTTGTTTAACAAATACCGCATTACAGTGAGTACAGCAAATTTTAAATTTAGAAATTAAGGGTTTGACAACAAATTTATAAAAAAAAATTTGCAAACTATTTTTGGTTGACTAGGTAACCCACGATCATATGTTTATCATGAAAAACCTTGGTAGGTTCGATTTTCTCAATTAATTTGTGTGTACTTAATGGCTTTGAGTAATATCTCGCTGGTGTCACAATCAGTGTTGGGAAAATCTTCAGGACAGGCGCTTCTGTTTTTGCTTAAATTTCGATTCGAAAACGCGTATTTCGCGCGGCGTAGGAATCTTGAAACTATTTTTATAAAGTCAGAAAGGGCAGGAGCAAAGGATTATGTAAAACCAAAAGCTCTATCTTTCTATATGGTGTAGTTCCTGGGAAAAAATTCAAGGATACAAGTTTGTTCTCAAACGATACATTGTAGACCTTCGATTTATTTGGAAAAATGTCTACCTTGATCCATCTACTAACCTATAATTTTTATTATATCGCAAAATAATAAACTTTCGTGGGAAACGTTTCTTCCTTACACTTACCATTTTTTGAAGACACTCTTCGGAAAGCGCGATTTTTACTTTGAGTTAGGAAGCTGTTCTGTCAAGAATTTGGCAGATTTTTTTTCACTTCAGAAATGCTGTGTGAATACATTTTTGCTAGACTCTATTATTTGTTATTTTTTTTATTAACAAAATATTTGAGTTTGTTTATAATAAACTTGCTATGCAATTGTGTCAGTAGGTACCATAGATCATGTCAAGTAATCAATAAATTATTACTAAATCACGTTTTAGGTCCCAACAGGTCTTTTTAGGTGATTTACAGATCGTATTTCGAGTCTATACACCCTTGCACATCTTGTATATTTTCCCCGATAACCGACCGTCTCTAGATTTATTAGCGATCCTGTACAATAATTGTTATACAGAGTGGTCCAACGAGAAGTATACAGAGGGCTTTTAGGGTATTAAATTTGAAAATTCCGAAAAATCCTCGAACACGTCAATTTTGTATTCGAGGGGGACAACTTTTGGAATACAAATCACGAACCCAAATCTTCACCCCTCTACGTAGGGAGCTAAACCCCTAAAATTTTAAATGGAATCCTATGGCAAATGGCACATTATTTGAAAGCCAATTTAATCGTGATTACTAATCTGCTTTGCTTTTTAAATTCTATTGATTCGTTTCTGAGATATTCGCATTTGAAATGGTTTCTTCTAAAAAACAACACAAATGCGATCTAAGTCACCTTGTATTAAAAAAGGTTTAAATTGTGCAAAAAATAACAAATAACTTTAAACAGACAACATTTATTTCAATAAATGCTCGAATTGCCTTCCGCCTGCTTCCATGCAATAATAAAGATTTGCTTCAAAACGCTGCCGTAGATGTTGCAAGATTTCAGGGGTAATCGCTCGAAATTGTTGAGTTATACCATAGTGTATTCTATTCTTCCCGAGATTCTTTTCCACTATGGTTATACGTGCTCGCAACCCTTGTAATGTTCCGGGCGGAGTAGCATAAACTTTATTCTTTAAATATCCCCACAAGAAGTAATCTAAAGGACTGAAATCAGGGGAAAAAACCATTTCAAATGCGAATATCTCCGGAACGAATCAATAGAATTTAAAAAGCAAAGCAGATTAGTAAACACGATTAAATTGGCTTTCAAATAATGTGCCATTTGCCATAGGACTCCATTTAAAATTTTAGGGGTTAAACTCCCTCCGTAAAGGGGTGAAGACTTGGGTTCGTGATTTGTATTCCAAAAGTTGTCCCCCTCGAATACAAAATTGACGTGTTCGAGGATTTTTCGGAATTTTCAAATTTAATACCCTAAAAGCCCTCTGTATACTTCTCGCTGGGCCACTCTGTATATTTAAAATTTCGCGAGAGTTGTGAAAATGTTAATTTTTCTAATTGAAAATTTAGTATCAACAATGCCTTCCGCAGTCGGCTGGTTATGATAATTATTTATACTGTTTCTAATTAACCAATTAATTGGTCTATGGTATTACGTATTTTTGAGCCAAATAAATGTGTTTAATTTTTTATTCTACTTGTACTTTATCAAAAACATTCAATTACCCCCATTTGTTTTTGTCTTTTTTACCTATTTGTTCGAAATCAAAGTAGGATACATATAAGATTTGAACAATTAACTGTTAACTTTAACTTGCGTTAAATTTTCGAAAATGTAACGTTTTAACGTTTATCGAAGTTAACTTTTCAACTAGGAGATTATGAATTGCAAATTTTATAGGGAAAAAAAAATTTTTTTTTAGTAATTTTTCCCGCAAATTCAGTTATTATTGTTTAAAAACAATATAAAAAATCATTTTCTGAAATTGGGATGTTTCTGATTTTGAATAATTTTTTATTTTTACAAATGGGTCATTTTCGTACTAAAAAAACACGCATTAAAAAAGCTGTTACTGATAAGAAGTTGGAGGATGGTGGCTAAGCTAACGAGTGGGGGGGGGGGGGGATGTAAAGGGCTCCGGCTTATAACCTGAAGATGATGTTTTTGGATTTAAAAGATGATGAGGATTTTGATTTTCGCATGCTTTCACCTTATCTCATTGAATATTGATTCCCGAAAAAGTATATAATTGTATATGGGTCTCTGTTTACAAGTTATTTACGAAAAACAAAAAGGGAGCTTATACCCCCTCCCCCTACCATCAGTACACTTTTAATTTTTGTTTGTAATCGTCACGTCCGATCCAGGGGCGTATTAATGGTCAATAACGCCCTAAGCCCTAACGGATTCTGTGCCCTATATGAGACAAAAGATTTTTAATAGTCATAATAATAATCCAACTTTGACGAAATTATCAAGACAAAATAAAATAAGTACAATTACATAGAAAAAGCGTACTGTAACGTATTTATTTATTTACAATTAATTAACAATAAATTTATGACAGTCTTGAGAAGAATTGAGTTATAACAGATAAAATATTATTTACCACATAATTTATAACAGCGCGAGCTATTTACTACTTCGGCGTTAAAATTGGAACCGACTGAAACACAATTCGATTTGCTTATATAGATATAGCGCATTAGCCCCTATTTTTGGAAAGTTTCCGAACGCTTCCCAACGAGTATTCTAGAATATTCTCGAACAAAACACGCCATATTTCCCGGAAAGAGTGCCTCCCATCGTTATCACTGTAAATACAAACGTTCACATCCGCTTTCCTTTCTTGTCGCCGATGACTAATCTTTTATGGCGCCTCGGTCTTCTTGTACTCCCAATTCAGGTAGTATAGGTATAATATATAAGTAGGTACGTAGTTATACAGGGTTTCCGGGACGGAGCTATAAGTTTCAAATGAGTGAAGCAAAAACCTGAAAATTTCGGGATTTCGAGATAACGGGTCACACAAATTACATTTTACATGGTTTAAAATTTCATACACTGGGGAGTTTTGTTGGGGGGGGGGGGGTGATAACCCTAACATTTTTAGATTCAGCCCTTGTCCAGTTTCACCAATCTTAGACCACTCGATGAAATAAATTTAGAAACAAATAAATGATTTGAAGAAACCACCAATATCACTAGGGATCTGCTTCAAAGTACAGTGGACTAAAAGGGCTGGTTAGCATTGAAGGAGGAGTCCATGGCCAGGGAGTCAATTATTTCAAGAACGCATTGTCTACCCATCAGGTTTAAAATGGGGTTGGATTTAGCGGATGGTGAAAAATACCTACTTCAATTGCTGCAAACAAGAATTCATGGTCAGGTTTCTATAAAACACGTAGGTACCCGCGCAGAGGGCATATGCTAATTTCCTTAGACCAGTTTCGAGCATTCTGATGGCCACTCCGAATTAGGTTTTCTTGCAGTTTTCCTAGTTGGAGTAGTATAGAATAACTTAAGACCTTCTGCAGAGGCACCTCTAAAAAGCATTATGCGGGTCACTCTGTAATTCGGCACAAGCCTGTTGAGGGCCCAGAACAAGAGAGGGATAATAAATAAATAAAAGCTGCGAATTAACAGTAAGAAATTCTAATATTAGATTATTCAATGATCAAGAGTAGTCCTCTAGCCATGCTTCTTATGCTTTCTCTACTTTGCCCATCATCAACACAGTACATACAGAACGGAGTATGTAAAGTTGCCTATAGTCAATCCCCAAATTTCGCTCTCTCGAGGTAAATTTTTAAGTCGTTTTTCCAAGATAACTTTCTATAAATAAAGTTGGAACAATTTTCAAAATTGCTATAAGTTCGTAATGTTAATATCTAAGCCAGGAAAAGTTGTTTCCTTTTTTCTTTTTCAAAATATGGCACCCTAACAGCCTTCGACGTTGCCCCTAAAAAAAAGATTATTTGAAAACATTTTAAGAAATCCCGGCGTTATTGTCTACCTTTCACAGGAATATTCGACCCCTTCTGCTTAGGCGCGAGATCCTTCGAAAGTTTTAAAAATTGACGGAATGCTCTAAATAAATTTGGAGGCGACATATCGGTTAATATTTCCCTGAAGCCAAAAAATCAATCTTGATTGTGAATAATTTTGAAAAAGATGAAGTTCATCAGTTGTAAAATATTAAGTATTATTCACCAAGGCAGAGGTCTTTATTAGAGAGAGTAGTTCATTGATAATAAAATAAAATAAATAGTTTAACTTTTCAATTGAAAATGTTTCAAAAACTAAGAAGCCCACAAATAAAAATTCCTTAAAAGTCCTCGTCTGAGATTGAAGGGATAGCACTGAAGAAGCCTTTTACAATCTATTAGGTATAAATCGAGGGGTAAACCGCGATGGGAAATCAGTGTACACGTTTGAGGAAATCTATGGGAAATCATAGGAATTCCGGAGGAACTCCTAGGAAAGCTAAGAAATCCAAGGAATTCCATGTGTATTCAGGAGGAATTCCAAGGAAATCACAGGAACTCCGAGGAAATCAAGGGAACTCTAAAGAAATCTAAGGAACTCGTGCTGCATTTTATTATTTAATTTGGTCTTAACTAATTTTTTTATTTGTTTATGGTATTTTTCTCATTTAATAATGAGTTTTTCTCATTGCAAATAGGTCTATTAAAATATAAAATAGTGTTTCGTCTAAGGTCGTGTCTTTATCCGTCCGTCCGTCCGCTAACTTTGCGACGCTACTATAGTTCTTTATCTTAAGAGCTATTGTTCTACTTTTTTCGCTATTTGGTTCGTTATGGTGTCGAGTCTTGTACCAAGGAAGGAATTTTTCTGTACCGCTTACAAAAAAAGTTATTGTAAAAAAACAAAAAACCGTTTTTTACATGTTCCATAATTTTACCCTTTTGCCGTTTATTAACGATCCTAGAGATCGTTTATAATTTTTCATTGCTATCTATCGCCTGCCGGTTGGTCTCTCCGTCTGTTCCTTTGTCTGTCTGTCCATCTATCTGTCCGTGTGAACGATAACTTTGTTTAGAAATGTTCGATCGCTTTTACATCTCCGTTAGTGATGAACTGAATTGCATGAAATTCAATATGGGCATAGCTTTAGCCATATAATACGCAATGCCAAAAGTTGAATCGAATCGATTCAAAATTCACAGTGCCCTTTTCGCATCTCGACCATAAACCGAATTGCAAACTTTTTTACTTATAAAAGTATTTGAATGAAATTTGATACATAGGCACTATAAAGGAAAATCAAACGGCCAATTTCAAAATTTGGTTTTGCGCATGCGCAGTGCCAACTTTTTTATTTATGGAAGAATTTAAACGAAATTTGATACATAGGCACTTGGTATAAAGGAAAATCAAACGCCAATTTCAAAATTTGGTTTTGCGCATGCGCAGTGCCAACTTTTTTATTTATGGAAGAATTTAAACGAAATTTGATACATATGCACTTCGAATAAAGGAAAATCAAACGCCAAGTTCAAAATTTGGTTTTGCGCATGCGCAGTGCCAACTTTTTTATTTATGGAAGAATTTAAACGAAATTTGATACTTGGGCGCTTGGAACAAAGGAAAATCTAACATTAGTTTTAAAATTTAGGTTTGCGCATGCGCAGTTCCAACTTTCTTATTTAGAAAAGCATTGATATGAAATTCTTCTCATAAACTGAAATTGAAGTAGCACGTCAAAAATGGATTGCCCATGTGCAACGCTATCTTTCATATTTGTGGCCGGATTTTTACGATTTTAAAAGAAGTTGCATCTTACAAATGGGAAATGAATGCAAGTGGAAATGCGCTTTATGTAAATCGTTTACGATTACTTTTTAAGTTGACACTTGACACTTTTATATTTGTTTATGTTTTTACCTCGGGTTTTACTTACCAGGAAATTGTTAAATCAACGGAATAACAATGAAATAATTAAAAAACTTTAAAAAATCAGAGGAACTCACAGGAACTCCAAAAGAAAATCGAGGGAACTCCAAGGAAATCAGAGGTATTCCGTGGAAGTTGGAGGAACTCGGAGGAAATCAGGAAAACTCCGAAGAAATCAAATGAACTCTGAAGAACTCGAAGGAACTCAGAGGAAATCTAATATTTATAGGAAATCAGTGTACAAAATTTGGGTTGCGGTTTACCCCTCGGTATAAATACAATTTTAAGAGAAAAATTTCCACCTAAATTACTTGGTGGTCTAATATGTTAGGTAGGTACCTACCTTAAGTAATGATGAAACATACTTGCATATTTTCCTTGCCTGCTAAAGTGCTATGGAGGTCTTGCAATCAATAATCTTTTGATGATGGCTCAGCGTCTGTTGTAAAAACAGAATTAGCAATCACCATATAGTCCAGGCAATATAGAACATATGAGGACCTTAGCTTGCAATATTAATGGTAGTTCTGAACATCGGCTTACTTTATGTTTTTTTGGTTGCTGAATCCAAATTTTTAACTTTTCATCAAAAATTCCCTCCGCAACCCTCCCAAATCTTGAAAATAAGAAAAAAATATGTTAAGAAATCGTTTTTTTGTGGTTTCACGATTAAAATACCTACAAATTTGAAATGTAATAGAGTATGCAACCAAACACGCCCTAAAACAGGTTTGCGTACTACGCACGTAGGGGGCGCTGGCGTGCGTTGAAGTATGCTCATTGGCGGTTCAAGAACACTTCACTCAATTAACAAGCCATTACCCACCTGTTCGCTCCCCCTCCCTTCTATAATCTCTCTTATTTTTCAGCATCTGGAAGTCAACCCTCAACCTCCAACTTTTCCCCACCTATTTTCAGACAAGTTCAGAATTAAGAACACATCCACATATATTTAAAAATATAGACTTTTATTACTAAAAATAAATTAAATTATTAAAAAAAAGTTTAAATTAGGTACTCTTTACCGTTTAACCGCAGCTGATGGCGAACAAGATTTAATTTGTTTCAAAGTCCCGTTTTTAAAGTAGATTGATTGATCCATCGTTGAAGGAAGACCAAAAAGGAAGTTTGGAAAAGACCAATCTGACAAATCTTCCGTGTTTTCGGAATCTAGAAAAGCTGGACTGTGGCCAAAAATCACAGACGTAAAGTCACAGCCGCTGAAAGCGTGTAAAAATAGTACCTACCTATATTTGTAGCCACTGTGCTTTCTTCAAGACCAAAGGGGCGAGTAGATCTGTTGTGAAACTTGCCGTTCTCGGGCTTCATGAAGTAAATATTGGCGTATTGAGCAAGTACAGTTAATAGAACTAATAAACCTATATCTTTGCCGACAATAATCACCATTTCAATTGCTGTAGGTAGGTATTAAGGATGAGACAGTCTACGTTATCGTCCTGACGTGCGTGCGGCACCTAAGACGCGAACGCCCTACTCATTCGCCCTACATCAAAATATCATATGATCTTTTTTGTCGCAAATTTTGTCTACTTTCCGAATTTCCAGATAGTTTTTCTCTGAAATACACAAAATAACGGTATTTAAAAAAAAAATTTTTTCAAAATTTGGGGGGTTGTGGGGGGAATTTTTGGTGGGAAGTTGAAAATTCGGATTCATAGGCACAGAAAACATAAAACAAGCCTATGTCCAGAACTACTAGGAATTTTGCATCCTAAAATTATATATTTCCTGGACTAATATTGTATTTTTTGGGGAAGAAACAAATATGATAGAAGCATGGCACTATGATTTTCAAAATGAAGCCAACGTGGAGTTGAAAAAACAGACAAATCTATGTTCCCAATAGTTCCAAGAAAGCAGGATCACTGATTTGTCACCTTTTGAATTTCGAGATGTGGTAGAGGTACTTGTAGGAAACCTCTGTTTCTATGCCTGATTCCTGTGATGCATGCGGCAGTTCTAACTTTGATATGGACCATGCTCCGATGTAAAACTGGCGTGCGAATTTCAGTAGGAAATGTACAATAAAAGTTCAAAACATAATTTACCAATATTGTCTGGACCAAGACCGTGAAAGAGCCCATATTATTGTCAGAAGATGGATGTCTGAGAGGCGATGTAGCCTGCAAAGGAGTTTGGGAACCAGTGACACAGTTGCTATCTCTTACAGTGGCTGCTCTCCGTCTGATCTATCATCACATCTGCATAGGAGCAGTTGTCTACCTAAAGCTAATGATTTTATTGAAAATTTGGCAGAGGCATTATTCGAAAAATGGAAGAAACCAAAAAGTTACGATCTCGCCCTTTACGTGTCCTGCTGAGTTAGTAGCATATATAAATCCAGGGCCAGAGTTAGCGGAGGAAGTGGGCAATATGCAATACACAAATTGATTTTTTCTCTTAAATAAGTTACACAGTTCAAGAAAGTTCATTTTATTTACGTCTACTAAGTATATTCAGTCTGAAATTTATAAAAGGAACTTAATACTACAGTATTATGGAACAAAGCACATTAAATAAATTGCAACTCGTGTCCCTATAATTTGTAATACTGATAAAATAGCACAGCCAATTGACTGAAAAATAGATAAATGTATAATCATACATTGTAATGAATGTAAAAGTTTTGGATTATAACATCCATTCGATATAGTCTCGAATAAATACATTACAACCATTGCACGCGATCCAAACCTACTTAACTTTCTAATATTACAAAAGCAAATACGTAACTGACCAAATTTTTGTTGCTCCATACATGCTACAATGATTGCACTCTTCTCTTACAATTACTTAATCTAAATAAACGTTTGCCTCTTTAAAAAGAAAAATTTGCTCCATCCAAATGATGGAAGTGGGCGATTTAGTATGGCAAAGTAATTGATACAACACAACTGCCAGACTTAGCAATTGAGAGCATATATTTTTCAAAACACATGCCATTCTGCACTTATCAAACAGTTTTATAACTGTTTTATCACACGTGCAGCTTTTCAACCACTAAATCGTGCTAATTAAATTTTAGGCTGAAATTTAATTTTGGTTTGTTCACGAAAATAACTAAGAGCTTGGATATGTTCAGGATGATCCATAGGAACGTAAGCTTCGGGCACGCATAATTTGGAGCAATTTGTGTAAAAATTTTTGTAACCGCCCTCCAAAAGGTACATTTCTGGGTAGGACAAATTTGGATAGGATTCTTCGTTTAGTTTTCTATCAAAATTGCGCAAAAAGCGGCACATTGATGGTGCACGTGAGCTAGAGAATTCGCAATGAAATATTAGAACGTATCGTTTATCTTTATCTATGACAGTCTTATTTAATAGGTTTTCAATAATCATAGTTTGCGTGTATAAATTGATAGCACCACTAATGTGACCCCCCGTAAATTCGTAGGGATAACGACAGTCGATAATTGTAAAAGTGAGATCATGAGAAAAGTCACCCTTAAGTAGTTGTGACATGGTTGTTACCGATATAGTTTTGAGATCAGGATGCTGTCCGGAGATAAGGGGCAGGTAGTGTGATTTACTGAAGTCTCCAATCAAATTTGCGTCTGTGACCGACCGCAGTAAGGCACTCTTGATGTCTTCAGGATTAGAAGGTGTGACGTTTCTAACCTTCGGATTTTTCTCAATTTCCGCATTGTTGTCGGAACGTGGCCGCTTCGACTGCTTCAATTTCACGTACTGCTTACTGGTGGGCGTTACCGCTACATCAGAGTGGGTCGGAGTTAAAGCTTTTGAATCTACACTGCTCGTTAACAACTCATTAAAATCCATCGGCAACTTCACGACCGTCGGTGATAGTTCATTGAGGCATAAGTTGAACGTTTCTTGATCAAACGAATTGTCTAAATTTGGCCATGGGGAGCTATCGACTTGTATGTCAAACGTACATTCTCTTGCAGGTAGTTCCTCGCTAGTTCCGTAGGCCGAATCGGTCGAACGTATTTCACTACGGCCGTCTTCCGTTTCGGGGGAATCAAATAACGAAACATCTAACGATTCAGTCTGCCTTAAGCTGCCGTAAGAGCCTACATTTGAATTGTGGGGGTCTTCTTCTTCTACATAAGAGTTGTTATTGTTGTTTAATCTCCAAACTTGATCCATTCTATAAGTAATATGGCACAGGTACACAACTTAATTGTACGTTTTAGACTAAAATATAGAACGAAAGATGATTAGTTTCTTTGGGAAACTTCTTCAAAAGTTTTACTCCCAACTCCAACCTTTTCGCTAAAGATTCCCGCGCTTCTCTAACTTTTTGGTGTGGTCAGACCAGCCTGTATCTCAAGTCACTAAAAGTAGTTCATTTGTCTTCAATACCATCCAGTGGCGGAGTTATAGTTTTTCCAGACTTGCGGTAGTGTTGCGCAAAACAGCATTTACATTTGTCATAAGAACATTAAAAAAATGATCACAGACACACTACACCTGAGTAACGTTGGGAAATTAGAAACTAGATACATTAGACCTTTCACTTGCTGTCCTCGAGGTTGTTTAAAAAAATAATTGAGCTTGCGATAGGGTGCCTCATTTTAGGATTAGGTAAGGTGGTAACATGACTGCCTCAAATCAAGAAAAACGCAAACCAATTTTCTTATAAATGTAGGGAAATGTTCTAATGATTTTTAAAAAGTAATGGCATGCTATGCCCCCACAATATTTTTAAGTAGGTATGATATTTGCTTGTGTTGCGGGTATGCAGCTGGAATCGATTTTTACCGCCCACACGTTACTAATGGACACGTTTAGTATACTAATGGAGGTATTACATTGGGGTAAAAAATGGCCCTCCGCTTGTTTGACGGAAATCAATCAACTTCTATGTTCCAAATGTTATATCATCAAGAACTCGAAATTTATTTCATATCCCCCGCGGCCCCGCGTCAACACAGATTATTGTAAAAACACTGCATTGCTAGCAGCATTACATCTTTATAATAGTGTGCATTTATGGAATAACACCATAGATATTTTTTATATGACCCTAAGGCAGATTGCAAGATCGTGTGACAATATTCAAGAACTGTAAAAAAAATGTTCACAGCATTTTTTTTTATTTTTTCTTTGTTTCCCTTTTTTTTATTTTAATACTCTTAACATATTTTTTTTTATATTCCTTATAATTTCGAATAGTTTCTTTTTAATTAATACATGAACATTGTTATTGGGGCAATCGGTTATGTTCATAGATAAAATAAATAAATATGCCTTTTAAGTCACCAGGAATCCGAATCAAACAAAATCTTGATTATGTTTGTCTATCGGGTTTTCATTTTAAAATGAACCACCGAGTGCAATGTGTTTGTGGGACTTTAAATATCTTTGTATCTTTGTTTGATGTTGTTTACAGAATCGATAAGCTTCCCTTCCCCCCCCCCCTTTAAATGCACATAAAAGTGTAATCTCTCTCCGTCCATATTATTAATGCTTAATTATAAATAAGTATAAATGTACATAAATAAAGTATATCTCCTCTTCGTTATAAAGTACATACATCCCTTTGAATTTTCTTTCGAAATTGGTTTCTAGTCTATAACTTTTGATTGAGAAGTCTGATCGAAAAAGTACGAATTGTTTTGGATTCTACCCATCAAAATTAATAAGAAAAAGTGTTTTCCCGTGAAATTTTGGTGCAGTCGATTTTTGGTAAAAAAGGAAGGTTACACACTGCCTTTTTTTGAGCCCCGAAGAAAAAATTGTCTCAGATCGACCCGGAAACAAAATTTTCTTATAGAATGTGGCCTGTAGAATCCATAATTTCAAACAGTTCCAAGATTGGGTTACTAGTTCAAAAGTTACAGCCCTTTGAATTTTCTTTTGAAATTGGTTTCTAGTCTATAACTTTTGATTGAGAAGTCTGATCGAAAAAGTACGAATTGATTTGGATTCTACGCACCCAAATTAATAAGAAAAAATGTTTTCCCGAGAAATTTTGGTGTAGTCGATTTTTGGTAAAAAAGGAAGGTTATACACTGCCTTTTTTTGAGCCCCGAAAAAAAAATTGTCTCTGATCGACCCGGAAAAAACATTTTCTTATAGAATGTGGCCTGTAGAATCCATAATTTCAAACAGTTCCAAGATTGGGCTACTAGTTCAAAAGTTACAGCCCTTTGAATTTTTTTGCGAAATTGGTTTCTAGTCTATAACTTTTGATTGAGAAGTCTGATCGAAAAAGTACGAATTGTTTTGGATTCTACGCACCAAAAATAATAAGAAAAAGTGTTTTCCCGAGAAATTTTGGTGTAGTCGATTTTTGGTAAAAAAGGAAGGTTATACACTGCCTTTTTTTGAGCCCCGAACAAAAAATTGTCTCAGATCGACCCGGAAAAAAAATTTTCTTATAGAATGTGGCCTGTAGAATCCATAATTTCAAACAGTTCCAAGATTGGGCTACTAGTTCCAAAGTTACAAAGATTATAAAGATCTTCTTTATTAAAAAACTCACTTCTATTATAATGATTCGACTATTGCGAGGGCAATAATTTTTGTGATACCTACTTCAAACATTTTTGTTGCCTTATTGTTTGATATTGTTTACAGGTCCACAAAGTACTCTTTAAGTGCACATAAAAGTATAATATCTCCCCTCATTTCAAAAATTATATTTATTTAATAAAAAATCGCTTGTGCATATAACGATTCGTTTATTGTATATATGCTGTAACTTTTGGAGTAGGTACATACATCGAGTAGGTACATTTGTTTCCTTGCTTGATTTTGTTTACTGCCCCTTTTTAAGTGTACATAAAAGTGTAATAATCTCCCCCCGTCTCACGATTCATCTAATAGGTACTACAGCTGTAATTTTTGGGGCACTTCAAACATCGTTGTTCCTTGATTTGAGATTGTTTACAAGATTCACAAATCATTCATAAATAAAAGCAAAATAAAATAAAATAAAATAAAATAAAAATCTTTAGTGCACATAAAAGTATAACTTCCCCTCGGTTCAAAAGTGCACGTAAAGGTATAGCCTCTCTTTCTCTCCCTCAACAATTATAAAAGTTGTATAAAGACTCACCTTTACATAACGATTCGTGTATTCCAAAGGTTGTAATTTTTGTGATACCATGTACTTAATTATTTTTAGTCTATGGTGGTACATATCTTTCTTGTACTGGGTTCAAAAGTAACTTGTATGTAGAATCCTAAGTTGGGTAGTACTTATTGCGTCCTAGAATCATATATCTATTTCAAGTTGTTTGAGTTTTACATAATAGAGCTTGGAACCCGATCAGCTAACCTAAACTTACTCTCTACAAAAGTAGCACAATTAGGCCGCCATTTTGATTCCAAAATTACGCGGTAAATTTCAAATGTTGGACTAATGTTGCAATTTAGTCAAAAAACGACCTTCACACCCAAGTTATGAAATGAGTCGCTACCCTCTAGTATGGAAAACTAAGAAAATAAGGAGTTTTAATTCTTGTCGAAATGTTTGTCCTTTTTAAAAATTCAGTATTCCAATTGGTTTGGTAGGGTTCAATTACCTACCTACATCCTGGTTTGAAAACACCAAATGGGTACCTACTCAATTCGATCCAGAAGAGCTTACATACATATAAGTAGGCGGCATTTAATGAGATACAGATAATCAATTTTTTTTGCTTCTCTGCATCAACAACTTATTGTTGTATATCAAGGTCGGCCATTATCCTGAAATTAGCTTCACATAAATTAATCTTTTTTACCTGCATACATTAGCGTATTTGTCCAGTTATAAATAGCTTATGGTATAACTTATTATACCTACTCCATGTCAATGAACAATTTGATGACACTGCTTTTGCTGCATTGTCTTCCGAACACCTGACTATTAGGGACACCTTTGCCTGAAAGGTAGTCGCCATTAAATTTTAAACAAACTACTTTGTAGCGCTAAAAGGCGTAAACGAATCTAGATTTACATTTAATAACTGAAATAGAAATAGTCTCCAAAATGTCACTCGAGTATTGATTTTCTAGTAGGTACCTATAGGTACAATCGTAAAACCTTTCAACATCAAATACCTTTTTGCATATTAGCCTATAGCCTTCATATTGGATAACGTACAAGGTTCATTACTGAAAATCCGTTGGAGACTGCATAAGATTCTTTGGTGCGAAATAGGTATACCTAGGTCATTTTTGAAAAATGTAATAGTAATGTGTCCAAAATGAAATAGGCATTTTGCTTGACCTTTGAGTATCATAGAACTATGGGTAAAGATAATTCATTATAATAACAAGTTATACACTTGAAATGCATAAGCCACATGGACTTTTTTTCTGAATAAAAATGTGGAATATCTTATCAGACGTACAACGGAAGTAGGGAAGTACGGCAGAATTAAAATAATTAGCAATTTCCAATAAATTAATTTGAGATCACGAGGTTGGCGAGTGATGGTATTGGAAAAACGTGTAAAAAAAGTATATATGCGACTAATCAAGAAAATTTAAATCATTTCTTGAAATTGAAAAATTTTTCTTATAATAATTCGCGCTCTGAAAAACCCTTTCGGTATATTTTGACAGGGAAATTTTGATTGTTTAACCTTAGGAATCAGACACAAACTCGAGTAAACAACTAAAAAATTCTTGTTAGTGACGTCATTAGAAATGCTAAATAAAAGGGGCCTGCAGGTGTGGTGAAACTATCAGTCTAGCTTCACTGGTTGTATAGGTACATCCTATCTTAACTAAATACAATTTTTCTCCACTTATGTGTCAATGAAAAGTAAAATTTTACCATACGAGTCGGTTCGCACTGTAATAGTCAGGTAAATATCTAATTTTCTATTTTGGTCACTTATGGGACCTTTTTGTGCATTGCTATATTGATTATATTTCATTACAGATTGGATAAAAACCTTTGTGTGAAGGGCAGTCGTCAAGGAAACGCAGGAAATCACTTAGAACTCAAAGTTCTCACGCAAATACATCACGTCCCTTAGAAAAAAAGAAGGCAATCAAAAAGAAATGGTTCAAGAACACGAAACCTCACAAACGAGAAATTTGAGCTGCAATAATGCTCACGCTTGGGACAACACAGCCAGGTACATAATCAGCTTTAATAATCACCGATAGTTATTTAACAAACTTCTCCGTTAACAGAAAAACGGGATTCCAAGCGATCCAAAGCAAAGAGCAAGAAAAGAAGATGGCGGAGAAAAGGAGAGAGAACCCTTGGGGGCCTACATTTAAGGATAGAAATCACTTCAACAACTTACATCATTGTTAATTTATAATACTAACGACCTAATTATTTATTTATGCATTGATAGATACATTTTAAATAAACTACCTACATCTATAATCATGTTGTATGTTTCTATCTACGAAACGAATGGGTGAAGCTGTTCCTTTTTCTTAGCTTTATATGTTGTGTATAATACCTCCCCCAACAACCACAACGATGCAAGTGTGAATCCTAAAATTGTACAAATTGAGAACAGTTCTAAATCTAGCGTTATTTGGGCGACGTGCAATACGGATAACATGTTGCACATTTTTGATTATGTCTTACCTAATAGCAGCACAAAGAAACTTCCTTGCATGTCATCCAAGTTTACAGTATGATTTGTAACTTCTGTGACTCGTGTTACTTGAAAACATTTGTCTTTCTTGGGTAAGTAATTTTGATACCATTTGTCGATTAGACCAACTTGATGTAATCGCTTAATTCTGAAAAAAACATTGCTAAATAATTTAAAAAAATAGTGCCTAAAGTAAATTGGAGGGTCCTGATCAATTTTCGATGACATCAAATGGAAATTTTTAATTTTTTGAAATGGCATGAAAGTAGAGCTAGTAATTACATCCATTATTAATAAAAACTGATTCAACCCAACAGATTTTTTCATGTAAAACCAAAATAGACCTAGAGCCACTTGTATCTAGTTTTTTTTTCATAATCTGTTCATGAACAATAAATTTAAAATAAATGACAAAGGGTGCAAGTTCAGGGACTGATACGTATCACTCCTGCACTTTGACCCAAATCAAAATGAAGAAGAAAATAAACATAATATATTCCGGTTTGTTCATAAAACATCCAGGTTGTTGAAGCTAATAATTCGGGAAATTGGCACTTTGGTATTTTTAATTTTCAAGAGCCATCTGAGGTATTTAAAGGAATTGAAGGAACAATTGATAGAGACGTCCACGGTAGTAATTGTGCTTTATTGTGACTGTCGTAATTGTTGTTTACTGGCAGATTTAAATAAAATTAAAAAAAAGAGGTTTTCGCCCTAAAGTCACATAACGAACTATTTATGTGTACAAAGGAAAATAAGTTAAGGCATTATAGTCCAGGAAATAGAGACTCAAAATGGACCATTTCCTGCAAAACGAGAAGTAGTTCCAATTTTTTTTGCATGTCATGAAAGAATATCTGGTGGTTAAGAATCCAAGTTTTCGACCTCCCACCCCCTGTGCTTCCCCCGTACCACCCTTAAAACCAAAGAAATTTGGTTGGTTTTTTAGTTTTTCAATCATATCTTTTTATAGATTCATTTTACAAAAAAAAATATTGTTATCAGAAATTGTAGACTATAAAATTCTACACAACTTTGATATACACTACTTTTTTGTGAAATGTTTATTAAACACGATATAGAGCTTCAGAGTTGCTTATATTTTTAAGAATTCTAAAATTTGTATGTAGATGTTTTAACCAAATTTTATACTTCATCTTTATAATTAAGAGTTTTATTAGAAAATATCTTAAACTTATCGTGGTATAAATCCCCCTGCGCTACACCGTTACCAAAGGCGATGTATAATAATTCAACCTTCAACCCTTGCTAGTGGGGATATTTGAATCACTGTGAAATTGTAGGGCTTTCTAATATACGTTTGAAACAAAAAAATTATCTCACTTCAGTTCAGCTTCATCCTTAAAATCCTTCATCCCCCATCCCCCGCCCCCCTCCCCCCATCCGCGGTAGGAATAGATATTTAAAGAGGAATAGAACACATATGTAATAAGCGTTGTACTCTCTGACTAACTTTACAAGAGCGTTTAAATATCCATTTTTACCGCGCGGGGGGGGGGTGAAACTGAACTGAAGTGAGACAAGTTTTTAATTTCAAAAGTATATTAGAAAGCGCTACAATCTCACAGTGATTCAAATACCCCATTAGCAAGGGTTGAAAGTTGAATTATTATGCATCCCCTTTGGTAAGGGTGCAGGGTAGAGGGATTTAGGTGCAGGGTAGAGGGATTTATACCACGATAAATTCAAGATATTTTCTCATAAAACTCTTAATTATAGAGATAAAGTATGAAATTTGGTTAAAACATCTACATAGAAATTTCAGAATTCTTCAAAATATAACCAACTCTCAAGCTCTATATCTTTTTTAATAAACATTTCACACAAAAGTAGTGTATATCAAAGTTCTCTAGAATTTTATGGTCTCCATTTTCTGATAACAATATTTTTTTCTAAAGTGAACCATTAAAAAGACGTGATTGAAAAACTAAGAAACCAACCAAATTTCAGGGGTTTTGAGGGTGGTACGGGGAAAGCACAAGGGGTGGGAGGTCGAAAACTTAGATTCTTAACCACCAGATGACTGTCTATGACATGCAAAAGAAATTGGAACTACTTCTCATTTTGCAAGTTAAAACCCTCTATTCCCTGGACTATTAATATTGTTATAGATAAGAAACTTAGCACTGCGCAGTTTGCGCATGCGTACACCTGATGTTTAAAATATACGATATGTTTGCCTTTACTAGAAGAATCTTTGGTTAAAAATTCAAAAAATATCTCTTTAAATAAGAAAGTCGATATTGCACAGTTTACGTCTGCGCACATCTGATTTTTACAATAGCTTGTCTTTACTAGAATCATCTGCATACTTTAATACTTTTATACTTCGGCATATGCCTGGCGTAGCCGCCTCTCCCAGAATTTAGCCAACTGTCGTGGGGATGTGAACTAAATATATTGAAAACTGTAGTGGTTAAGGCCTCGGACGGACGGACGTACGAAGAAAGATCTAGTGGTATTTTGCAAGCATAATATGATTGTAATTACCTATGGTTTATTCGGGATATCAATAATTAGCTAGCATATTAAAAACAGGAACAAAAAAACATAATTTATAGCTGAAAATGAATTAATGTCAATCGAAAATACGAAAAATTTGAATATTTAGTTAATTTTAATATCACACAAACATACAAAGGATATTTATTCTTCATAAATATTGATTGAAAAACAAATATTTTTTTCCTCGCAGTTGACCCACCTATATGCTAATAAGGGAATTATTTAAAGCTCAGTTACCTTTCAGACTTTAGATTTTTGGACAATTCATGGTTATCCACAAAAAAATTGATGAAAAACCAATGGTGGTTTGATTTTTTGAACAATATTTTTCTCGTCATATTAGAAGCAATAAGAAACATCATACAGGGTGTTAATTAAGTACTTGTACAAACTTTAAAGGTGAATCTTCGGGATACTGGATGTATCACGAATTACGTCCAATTGCCATGTTATTTAACAAAAATATAAGCAAAAACCAAATAAAATAGGTAGTTTTTTTTGGACGCCCTGTATCTTAGAAATCAGCCGTTGCGAACCCATATGTTCATATGAACTTTTTATTTTAAAATTAGTCGAAGATTCACCTTTAAAGTTTGTGCTTCAAAAAGTCAAACGTTTTTCACCAATTTTCCACCAATTGCCGAAGAAAAAAATAAACAACGTGTAAAGCGGATCTAGAAAAGCGACAGAGCGATGTGATTCTACGGGATCATTCGATTTGACCCATTGGCCCATATGAATAAAAAGGAGCATTTGCTTATAGGTACTTGAAAAATTCAAAGTAAATACTCGTAAGCGCCCCCTCAAACTGGGCGACTTAGCAGCGCTACTTAGCCACGGAATGGGACGCAGTGCAAAACTTCGGAGCAGCCCAGGGTGAAAGGGCACTTACGAGTATTTACTGTGAATTTTGCAAGTATAAGCATATGCTCCCTTTTATTCATATGGACCATTTTCTTTCCATCCCCATACTCCACACCTCTTTTCTCATTGCGTCAAAAAGGTATTTTCTTAATCTGAAAATATTTTTAAAATTCCTCTCTCCTACTCCCCACACCTGTCTCATCGGCACCCCTCCCTTTGGTCTTAATTCCCTTATTTGTACGTTTGTCCAATTATTTCGTTGCGTTTGATATCCTAGGTATTTAAATTCTCTTACTTGCTCGGTTGCTCCACACTTGCCTCCCCAAATCGCATCATCTTCGTTTTTTCGACATTTAATTCCATTCCTTTTCTTTTCTAGTACCTCTCTATCCTTTTTAGCATTTACTTCATCTGTTTTTCCTCTGTTGCAAATAATACTGTGCCATCCGCGTAAGCCAAGTCTTCCCACCACGACTCCTCCACTTTGACCGTCTTAATATTTTCTCCATATCCCTTATATAGAAATTAAATAAAGTTGAACTTAGTGGGCATCCTGGTCTCAATCCTTTTATTGTCCTTCCTCCTTCCATCCGTCGTTACCCTACTTCTTGTTTCTCCATATAACTCCCTAATTCTGTTCTTTAAATTTTTGTCTATTATTTCGTCCTCATTTCCCATAATTTTCCTTTTCTACTCTGCCAATCGCTGCTCTTATGTCCATGAAAAGCACTATTACCTTTCCGCCCTTTTTTCCAGTTACTTTTCTACCGTTCTGTGTAATAAATATACACAGTCGATCGTTTCCCTCCCTTTTCTAAAACCCATTTGTGTTTCCTCTGACGCCCTCTTCTCTTTTTCACCTTGCATTCAGTACCATCGCTTAGATAAGTCGCCACCGTCGTCGTTATTGAGATTCCCCTATAATTTTCCATACAGCCCTTGTCCTCTCTATTGTAAATCGGCACAATTTAACCCTTCCTTCCATTCTTCCGGTAGCCTTCCTTTTCTTCAGCCTCTTTAATCGTTGCTCCATCTCTTTTCTTGATATTTCGTCTCCTTCCACCTCTTCTCTTCCCTCATCCTATATCCTATACCCTTTCTCCTGATTCCCTTGTAGTACCTTAATAAAGTGGTGCTGCCAGTCCTCTATTTGTATTTCTCTCCCACTAAATGTGTTTTCCCCATTCTTCTCTGTTTTTATTTCCCGGATTTGCTCTTCATATTCTTTCTGTTCCTTCATCTTTTTCTCTTTAAATATTTCTTTGTACCAGTTCTTTGTTCTCTCTTTCTTGCTCTCTCCATCATTGTTCTGTATCTGTTTTTTTCTTCTGTACACTCTTTCTCTCACCACTCCTTTTTGTTATCTCTGCCTTCTTCTTCCTTTATCTGTTTCCATGTTACTGTCTTTTTAATACTCTTCTTTATATTTTCACACTCCTCCTCTGTGCTTTCTCTCCTATTTCAAATACTGGCTTCTCTAGTCTCCTTCTATAATCCTCCACCGTGTCTTTTGTCCATAATTGCGTCTCGATTTGTCTTTGAATCTTTCCATGTCTTGCTCTTTTTATTTTTCCTGTTGGCCTTATTTCCATCCGATTCTGTCCTTGTCCTACCGTAAAATCTTCTATTGCTTCCAAAATTTTTTTAATTTATACAAACACAAACGGAGGTTTCCGGCGAATAAAATTGGCATTTCGATTAATAAAAAAACTCTAATTAGAAAACGAAAATTAAGCAGTTTCGGGGTTTAGCTTTGAAATCGGTTGGTCTCGCGGTTGGTCTTTTAAGTGTTTTAGTAATAACTCGAATTGCGAAAGGGGAAAGCTAGTCTGAATGCAGTCGATATAAGTAAAAAGTTCATTGCCCGATCATACCCATACAACAAAAGGTAATCGTACGAAGAAGATCCAAGAATTTCTCCAGGAGATTCAATTTTTCGTTTGTACATTGTCCAGCTTTTTAAGGCGTCACCTTTTGAAGAAGGGCCGTGCCATTTTGTACCATCGATTTTAGAAAACGCTATAATGAAAGTAAGGTGAAATAAAGATCGAATCCCTTTAAGAAATTGCATTGCATTTTTATTGAAGATAGTCAGATAATTCTTAAAAGAATCGATCTTGGTAAATTTGGCGATTTTGGGCTTTGTAGGATTTTGTATCATATTTATTTACTACGCGTGGACTCAAATAATATTGTAACGGAAACGCTCCAGACATGACGTCGCCTTTGGAGCTCTGGAATTTTCTACGCGCGCGATAGTGGGATTTGTGTAGGAATATTCGAGAATGTACGCGGATGTTCTGGACTTACATTGCTTGCGTGTATAAATGGTTGCGGACCGAACATCGCGGCAGTTTTTACTACCGAACGAGATCGAGCGCGGAAATATAAATTGCGAAGTGTGTGTGATATAAATAATCGATATAAATTGTACGGTTTTTATAGTGTTTTAGTTTTGTTTAATAAATATTGATTTAAATCGAACCCGAATTTATAAATAACGTTACAATATCTTTCGCTGGGAAGCCATAACTTCGCCACCGCTGTCGTGGCAACACCCCAATTCTCGTAGAACCAAAAAATACCCGACTCTTTAGCGCATTTTCTAAGTTGGGTCCGCTAAAGCAGTCACTTTCTTTGTCCGTCTGTCTGGTCGTCGGTCTGAGGCCTTAACTACTCCTACAGATTTCAATAGGTATATTTAATTCGTTCTTTCTGACGGATAATGTGAGTATGCGCATGCTGCGCAATATCACCTTTCTTATTTATGAATAGATTCTGTTGACTGTTAACCACATATACGTCTAGTAAAGGCAAACATATCGCATATAGTAAAAATCAGATGTGCGCATGCGCAAACTGCGCAATACCAACTTTCTTACTTGTGGAGGTATTTACTTGAAATGTTAACCAAAGATGCTTTTAGTAAAAGCAAACGTATCGCATGCTGTAAACATCAGATTAGTTTGCACATGCGCAGGATGCGCAATATCAACTGTCCTATTTATCGGGATATCTTTTTAATCATAGATGCTTCCGTTAAAGGGGGCACCTACTACAATTCAATGAAATTCTTTAACCATCTCCCAGAAAGTATTAAACTGACTAGGGATATTAACGAATTTAAAAGAAGACTAAAACAATTTTTAATAAACATGGAACCCTATTCCATTAACGAATTTTTAGAATAGTAGGTAAATGTAATACATTAGGACGTATTTCTTCTTATGCATTGAAAAGACTTCATTTGTATATACTAAGAAATAAAGAAGTATTATTATTATTATTATTATGGTCGGTGTTTCTTGTGAGAACTCAGGTCTAGCCTGGTTAACTAATCGCACGGATTAAAAATTTATTATTATTATTATTATTATTAAAGGCAAACATATCTCATATTGTAAACATTAGAACATGCGCATGCGCAGGCTATGCGCATTCTGCGCAGTGCCAACTTTCTTATTTATGAAGATATTTCTTTGAAATATTAACCATAGATGCTTTTAGTAAAGAAAAACATAGCCATAGACTTGGGAGGTACTGATAAATGCATAGAAAATGCGCTAAAGTGACTAAGGCGAAAACCCTTTTACTAATATAGCAGCGTTTTCGCTTACAAAAACTGAGCGACTTTATACTATAAAGGTGAAAAACATTTTCAGACGTCGTTTTTTACTACGCCCGTGGAAGCTTATGGGATATTAGATTGGTGCGCTCGGAGTAACTTTTCGGGAGCCACTCTTCCTGGGAGAATTTTTCAAAAGCGAGTCTGAGTTTAAATTAAAGAGTAGCTCATACTTGATTTAAAGAAGTTAATTGGGTTGAGGAAAGAGTGAAAATAATAAATATATACTTTACTTACTCATCATTTATAAGAGTAAGATATGGGGTGTCTGGTGCCATTACCATAGCGATTTTTTCGTCAAATAAATCCTCTCTCCCTGCCAACAGAGACAAACAAATCATTTTCCCAGTTCACCCGTTATTAATTAACACGTAAATGGGTTAAAAAGTGAACGCACCTAACGTTAAATCGCATCTGTCAGTTACAAGATATTGCTTTTTCATGAAATAGATCAGCTTCGTTTTCCAATCGAAATACACGTGTCTTCCTTGCTCTACTTCATAAAACATTTTATCATAGTCGATTTGATCCTTCATCATTCCACGGTAGAGCTCTCGCAGTTTAGGCAACGGAGATTCCTGAAAAGCATTGTAATATTTTGTGGCACAGTACGTGACTTTCGACCTTTGCCAACTTCAAAAAATAGCTTCCTTTCGCGGTGCTCCAGGTAACTGTGTCCCTTTGGGCCAGCAGTCATCCACCGTGGTAATTGGGATGTCAATTTTTGGAAATGTTAGAAACGCGACCAAGTTTCCGCAATACGTTGTGGCGACGACGAGCACAACCAGCCACCAGGTGCCTACAATCAATCTTGCGCTGTCGGCGTATGGTAGGTGCATCCCGCCTAAAAATTACCTATTTTACTATTGGTCGATTCTTGTCCTCTAAGTCAAAAAAGTGGAAACAACAGAACTAATCATTTTTTGAATTGTTTTTGGTTTTCAATGATATGTAGGTAAGCTGCACATTTACCTTGTTGGAGTAGGGCTCCATACATGTACCATAAACAGTTTTGGGGTGACGATAATCCTTTTCCTCTCGGAATTCCCTTGTAGTCATACACCGGGCTGGCATTATGTATGAAATAGAGTATAGGCCCCATAATCATTACGGAAGCTGCCAGACACAGCCACGTCTAAAGAATGATATGATGTGATTTCCCTTCATAGTTTTGCAGTACCATGCAACTTACCGTTGGAGTAAAAGGGTACATAAACAATAAAGCTCTGCTTAGTTTTCGAGGGCGCGAAGCTAAAAATGTGTATGTCTGTATACTGATTGGATAAGTAAAATTAACAAGTCTCTCAGATGCAGCAGTAATTGTAAAGCCACCTGCTCCCAGAGCTACCTCCTTCGATGTTACCTTTTTGAGTATTTCAGGGGGAATATTGGCCGTGACAAGATCGGTCATTTCTAGTACGTTGTATTTTTCGCGGTGCAGAAAGTCCTTGTCTTTAACTAAAGTTTCTGAAGATTCTGCTTCAGTAGCATGTACAGTGTAGGTAAAGTTTAAATTGCGCGACAATTCTTTTATGATGTCGAAAACTAACCCGCCAAATTCCGTTACGGTTCCGTTTTCGTTCAACTTCAAAATTTGCCAAGGAGGATTCTGTAAATTGAGACCATTTAGGTACATGTAAATAGTTTTGCGAATGGAGCAAGTTATGTTACATCTCAAGATTGCAAAACCCATTCCGAGATAAACTTAATGCCGAAATATCATTAATTATTTATTATTAATGATTAACGAGCACTCCGAAAATTAAAAAGTGAATGGATAAATACCAACCCGTTTTGGTAAATAAAATAAATAAATTTCGCGATGTGTATACGTGAGAAATGTAACGTTTTGCGGCAGAGTAAACAATTATGACGTCAAAAAAAGCGGTTCTAACATTTAATCCAAATAACTATCTAAAATCACGCGATGGAGAATGTGTGGGCAGAAATCATAGAATTTAAATTGGTACCATCTATGCGAAATCTAACATGTAGATAACCCGTACTTTTAAAGCAACTCCTTGTAGATACTTTTACCCTCATCTAAACTCAATTTATTACCTTTTAAACTTAGGCACAGTTTTATTAATTTACGAACAGGCTGAAGAGGTTGATATGCTCAATTTTGTTCAGAGAGGAAATAAAAAAGCCCCCGCGGCACCTGATCTGTCTGCATCTCCATTAGACTGGGGGCAGCTCATAATTCTTTGCAGATGTTTTCCATTCTTCGCTTGTAAATTGGGATCCAGAGTCGAAGACCACGACCCAAAGGGGGCAAAACCATCCCTTCATTTTTTTTATTAGTTCTGTCACAGACGTAGTTGTGACGTTGATAATATCCAAATACCTCGAATATTAGTCCATCACAGCCAGATATGTTGTATCTACCCTTTTGGAATTCTAAATATTCTACAGCTATTTTTTGTCGAGGATAGATACAAAGGAGTAGAGGAAGGGATCATTTTCTTGGTATATTGGCGTCTATGCTTGGCACAAATGTTACAATTTTCTACCACAAAAGGCCGTGTTGATTTTGCTGACATTCCACTGTGTTGACTCTACTGCTATTAATTGTGGTGTGATGCGTATCATCTACCATATGTTCCACCACAAAAGGACAAGTTTTTGTCAATTTCAGAATTTCAGATTTGTTCTTGGGCTCTGTAGAATTAAAATGGTGCAGTTTGTATTCATTTTCATCTCTCCTTACACATTTCATAGTTACATTTGTGCATAGTTTGAACTCATTTGCGCATCAATGGTATCCCCTCTTAGACTTTGACTTTAAATTTCAAAACAATTTTTTCCACAGTTTGCATTCATTTGCTGAGAGGAGAAGGGAGGTTGACTCGATGACGGAAAGGTGTAAGTTGTCCCTAGGTACAGTACTATATTCAAAGAATACAAAAAACTTATTGAATATTTTCAAATACTTCGGATAAAAAAGACTTCTTAGAAGACAGTAAAAAATAGATATTTTGCAATCTGAGAAAGAATCAACACCGGTTAAATTATTTTTCGAACGCAAACCCATTCACATAAAATTGAATATCAGGAACTTACGTGATAAGATATCATAGGCAAATTTTTCCTACGGAATCCATGCGCTACATGCGGAAATAGTTGATCATCTAATGATGGACCGTCGCTAAGCCGCCATGTTCCGACTTTAATGAGTTTGTCCTCAGCTCGTAGTACACGTTTCTCATACTCTTTACCCCAAGTCTCTCCTGCCTCAATTCTCCACCTGGTGCAATTGTCGCAGATTCCTTCATCTAATATTAGTTTCTATAAGAGAACCTATGATTTATACTCTTCCAAACAATGTTTCATCCAGAGCTGGGCAGTATTCGATTTTGTAAATACTTTTTAGTATTCAAATCCTTTAAAGTATTCAAATACTTTGTAATTAAATACTTTTATGGAAGCAGTATTTGTATTTCTAACTCAAATACTTTCACAAATATTTAGTATACTTTGAAAAGTATTTGGATACTTCGTAAAGTATTCGAATACTTCGCATAGTATTTGAATACTTATTGCCTGTAATCGATTACCAAACCTTTTTTCCAACTTAATCAAGTATTTGCCGAAGTTATATTAATTTCATTAAACTTCCTTTTTTTTTACAAAAAAATTGTTCGGGTCGATCTGAGACAATTTTTCTATCGAGCCTCAAAAAAAGGCAGTGTATACACTTCCTTTTTTACCAAAAATCGACTACACCAAAATTTCTCGGGAAAACACCTTTTCTTTTTAATTTCGGTGCGTAGAATTCAAAACAATTCGTATTTTTTCGATTAGACTTCTCTTTAAAAAGTTATAGACTAGAAACCAATTTCGAAAGAAAATTCAAAGGTCTGTAACTTTTGAACTAGTAGCCCAATCTTGGAACTGTTTGAAGTTATGGAATCTACAGGATTCATTCTATAAGAAAATTTTTTTTCCGGGTCGATCTGAGACAATTTTTCTTTCGGGCCTTAAAAAAAGGCAGTGTATAACCTTCCTTTTTTTACCAAAAATCCACTACACCAAAATTTCTCGGGAAAACACTTTTTCTTATTAATTTTGGTGCGTAGAATCCAAAACAATTCGTACTTTTTCGATCAGGCTTCTCTTTAAAAAGTTATCGACTAGAAACCAATTTCGAATGAAAATTCAAAGGGCTGTAACTTTTGAACTAGTAGCCCAATCTTGGAACTGTTTGAAATAATGGATTCTACAGGTCTCATTCTATAAGAACATTTTTTTTCCGGGTCGATCTGAGACAATTTTTTTTCGCGGGCCTCAAAAAAAGGCAGTGTATAACCTTCTTTTTTTACCAAAAATCGACTACACCAAAATTTCTCGGGAAAACACTTTTTCTTATTAATTTTGGTGCGTAGAATCCAAAACAATTGCTACTTTTTCGATCAAACTTCTCAATAGAAAGTTATAGACTAGAAACCAATTTTGAAAGAAAATTCAAAGGGCTGTAACTTTTGAACTAATAGCCCAATCTTGGAACTGTTTAAAGTTATGGAATCTACAGGCCTCATTCTATAAGAAAATTTTTTTCCGGGTCTATCTGAGACAATTTTTCTTTCGGGCCTCAAAAAAAGGCAGTGTATAACCTTCCTTTTTTATCAAAAATCGACTACACCAAAATTTCTCGGGAAAACACTTTTTCTTATTAATTTTGGTGCGTAGAATCCAAAACAATTGCTACTTTTTCGATCAAACTTCTCAATAGAAAGTTATAGACTAGAAACCAATTTTGAAAGAAAATTCAAAGGGCTGTAACTTTTGAACTAATAAATAAATAAATAAATAATAATATATTTACGGAATTCAGACATATATATATAGCCCAATCTTGGAACTGTTTGAAATTATGGATCCTACAGGCTTCGTTCTATAAGAAAATTTTCAATCCGGGTCGATCTGAGACAATTTTTTTATCGGGCCTCAAAAAAAGGCAGTGTATAACCTTCCTTTTTTTTACCAAAAATCGACTACACCAAAATTTCTCGGGAAAACACTTTTTCTTATTAATTTTGGTGCGTAGAATTCAAACAATCGTACTTTTTCGATCAAACTTCTCAATAGAAAAGTTATAGACTAGAAACCAATTTGAAAAAAATTAAAGGGCTGTAACTTTTGAAACTTAAACTAAATAAATAAATAATAATATATTCTACGGAATTCAGACAATATATATATAGCCATCTTGGAACTGTTTTGAAATTATGGATCTACAGGCTTCGTTCTATAAGAAAATTTTTTTTCCGGGTCGATCTGAGACAATTTTTTTTTCGGGCCTCAAAAAAAGGCAGTGTACAACCTTCCTTTTTTACCAAAATCGACTACACCAAAATTTCTCGGGAAAACGCTTTTTCTTATTAATTTTGGTGCGTAGAATCCAAAACAATTCGTACTTTTTCGATCAGACTTCTCAATAAAAAGTTATAGACTAGAAACCAATTTCGAAAGAGAATTCAAAGGGCTGTAACTTTTGAACTAGTAGCCCAATCTTGGAACTGTTTAAAATTATGGATTCCACAGGCCTCTTTCTATAAGAAAAATTTTTTTCCGGGTCGATCTGAGACAATTTTTCTATCGAGCCTCAAAAAAAGGCAGTGTATAACCTTCCTTTTTTACCAAAAATCGACTACACCAAAATTTCTCGGGAAAACACTTTTTCTTATTAATTTTGGTGCGTAGAATCCAAACAATTCGTACTTTTTCGATCAGACTTCTCAATCAAAAGTTATGGACTAGAAACCAATTTCGAAAGAAAATTCAAAGGGCTGTAACTTTTGAACTAGTAGCCCAATCTTGAAACTGTTTGAAATTATGGATTCTACAGGCCACATTCTATAAGAAAATTTTTTTCCGGGTCGATCTGAGACAATTTTTTTTCGGGCTCGAAAAAAAGGGCAGTGTATACACTTCCTTTTTTACCAAAAATCGACTGCACCAAAATTTCTCGGGAAAAGACTTTTTCTTATTAATTTTGGTGCGTAGAATCCAAAACAATTCGTATTTTTTCGATCAGACTTCTCAATCAAAAGTTATAGACTAGAAACCAATTTCAAAAGAAAATTCAAAGGGCTGTAACTTTTGAACTAGTAGCCCAATCTTGGAACTGTTTGAAATTATGGATTCCACAGGCCTCTTTCTATAAGAAACATTTTTTTCCGGGTCGATCTGAGACAATTTTTCTATCGAGCCTCAAAAAAAGGCAGTGTATACACTTCCTTTTTTACCAAAAATCGACTACACCAAAATTTCTCGGGAAAACACCTTTTCTTTTTAATTTTGGTGCGTAGAATTCAAAACAATTCGTATTTTTTCGATTAGACTTCTCTTTAAAAAGTTATAGACTAGAAACCAATTTCGAAAGAAAATTCAAAGGTCTGTAACTTTTGAACTAGTAGCCCAATCTTGGAACTGTTTGAAGTTATGGAATCTACAGGATTCATTCTATAAGAAAATTTTTTTTCCGGGTCGATCTGAGACAATTTTTCTTTCGGGCCTTAAAAAAAGGCAGTGTATAACCTTCCTTTTTTTTACCAAAAATCCACTACACCAAAATTTCTCGGGAAAACACTTTTTCTTATTAATTTTGGTGCGTAGAATCCAAAACAATTCGTACTTTTTCGATCAGGCTTCTCTTTAAAAAGTTATCGACTAGAAACCAATTTCGAATGAAAATTCAAAGGGCTGTAACTTTTGAACTAGTAGCCCAATCTTGGAACTGTTTGAAATAATGGATTCTACAGGTCTCATTCTATAAGAACATTTTTTTTCCGGGTCGATCTGAGACAATTTTTTTATCGGGCCTCAAAAAAAGGCAGTGTACAACCTTCCTTTTTTTACCAAAAATCGACTACACCAAAATTTCTCGGGAAAACACTTTTTCTTATTAATTTTTGTGCGTATAGAATCCAAAACAATTCGATCTCAGACAATTTTTTCTGGCCTTAGAAAAAGGCAGTACTTTTAAGTTATTCAAATATTTGAGAACAATTTAGAAATGTTTAGGGAAAGTTTCCATTGTCACAAAATCAATTATAAAAATCCGATACATCTGAATACCGAACTCGATAGTCTACGTAACTTAAAAACAATAGGGACCTTTCTTATATCCTTAACACCATGTGTACGCTTTGAAAACTGGTACACGTATTCTTAAGGATATAACTGGTATAAGAAAGGTCCTGGTAGGTACCTCCTATATAATAATAATAATACGCTTTTACACCCCTTAAATTTGTATATAACAATAGAAATATAAAAAAAGCTAACCCCATACAAAGTATAACTTGATTTTTTAAGTAGTATTAAGACTTTTATCTAGTAGTATACTATTTTAAATTTCAAAGTATTACAATACTTTTGAAAGCATTCGAATACATTCTAAAGTATTTGAATACTTATTTTTTTAAGTATTTGAATACTTTTCAATGTATCTGTATCTAGTATTCGCTTGTGCTAGACGTAATAGTTATTTGTTTCATTAGTACAAAAAATGTCAGTTTTCGGGACGAGGAAGATAGTTGCTGGACGACGCGTTAGCGGAGTCCAACACCTTCCGACCTGCAATGTAAAACGATGTCAATGTGACATATCTCCGTGATTGTAATTTTTTAATTGGCCAACTTTCAAGGTCAATTTCTCTTTGGTACTAGGACCAAAAGTATCCACTTTTTGTACAGTTGCCATGGTGAAAGCGATTAACCCGCAAAACGTCAATTTTAGGTACCGAACATTGTCACAAAATAGCGTCTTATTCAGGTGGTTGGAGAAAAAAGTATTTAGTATTCAAATACCTTTGATTTGTGTAAAGTATTTACTATTTGGTATTCAAATACTTTTTAAAAGTATTCTGCCCAGCTCTGGTTTCATCTTACTTGAACGTTTTGCAAAAGAAAAAGTCTTCTTTCCAATTTAGTTGGCCTAATAGCCTCCCATTCTTCATCTGAAACCTGAATGGCCGATTCCGTCTCTTGCAAAATTGCATTTTCCAAAGATTTAGTGAACATCTGCAGCAACTCCTCCACGTGACATTGAAGTCCGCCCTAAACTGATCAGTAGTCGATACCATAACGGCCACGCTACTTACAACGCATGACGGATGTGACATTGTCGTATTGTAAACAAAAGCAATGTTGTCTCCTTCTCTGAGCCAGTCGGTTACATAAGAAATATCATTGTTCTTCCAATCAGTGTCGCTGATAACGAAAAGCCACTGATTTTTCGCAGTTGTCAGACCAAGTGTTTTAGACGCGTTCATCACCATTTGCACCGTATCTATACTTACAATTGCTAAAAAGTTGGTTCCCACCGAATCGATATTAATCACTGAGAGCTTTTTACGAATATTATTTTTATTGTCAGAAGATTTTGCATATGAGGCCAACTCAATTATTGAAACTGCGGCTCCAGTTATTTGTATATCCGAAGACTCCCTGGTAAAGCTTGATATAACCCTGGTTACCATATCTCTTTCTAAAAGCTGAGTTCATACACTAATAGTAGTCACAATCTACTCACCTAAGGTGTAATCATATAGTATAATTACGGATTTCCATCTATACGCATTGACCGTGCGGAGATCTAGGACTAACTGTGGCAATTCTTCGCCATTTTTTAACATGGGAGTTACAATAGCTTCACCTAATGGCAAACGGGGACAGTCCGGCTCTGAAATATTGTTTTAAGTTTAATTTATCAAACTAGGTAAGTATACCAGAAATTGCCATGTGAAGAAGATTTTCTTCTCTAGCCAGATTGAAAAGTTTCCAAGTATCTTCGCAAGATACAAGAGTAAGCATAGCAGTGATATCTGAAAATGAAGATATTGGTGATTGATGAAACAAAATCATTCGAATTTACCTCTCTTGACGTTAATGTCCCTCAAAGAGTAATATATAACATTTAGACCGCCGTGTTTAAGTATTTCTCGCTTCGCGTATATCATATATTTTTCGATTGCTGTCAGTATTGTGTCATAGTCTTCCGGTATAAACCCTTTATCGACCACGATAGCTGTAAGAAATTATATACTATAAGAGATAATTATCCTATTATATAATACCACTCATTAAATACTCAAAAGCATCAACGCGTCAAACGCACCTCCTCAACCATTTACTTAAATTGTTTTTCAATCCAATACCTACAGCAGTTTTTTTATCGCCCTACGTAAACAATTCTTATGAAATCTTATGACATTAGGAGAATACTTTAATGGGACTAAATATAACAAATATGGGACAAGGTATCAGGATAATGTGAGACATTCATTTTGAATGATTTATTAGATAAAATCCCTTGGCACACAACCAACTTTCTTCTATAACACATTCACTATCACCAAGACTAAATGTCGAGCAATAAATAACGCTCAACTACCGCTGAATGCGATAAACCAAAGTCTCTACCGCAAAAAAAAGCAATTCACGTCCGTCTCTTCTCTTTAAAACCATTTCTCTTTCTTTTAAACCTTTCCGTACCTTCTTTGATTTTCTATGCGTTTTCGAGTAAACACCTGCGTTTACGTCTTACGTCTACACTTAATCATCTTACGCAGCGATAATAAAACTTCTTATCGCAACCACCGGATTTACAAAAGATAACTTTAACGAAACATTCACCCAATTAATTTCAGATGTTTCTTAACTTATTATAATTGAAACATAAGACAACCGAATTAAAACCCGATTATTTAAACCAAAATTAAACATCCATTACACAACAATATGTAAAAAGTTGAAGGCAGTAGTGATGTAGGGAATAAACCAGAGTTTGATAAACTAGGGGTAGTAAACTAAAAACTATTTTAATAATGTTGTGTTAGTAGGTTTATTTAAGAAACTTAAGGATTTTCCAGGGCCAGGAAATGTGAGGAATTTAAGAGGTTTTGGGATTAAATTATTATAGGCAATTCATGACGAAGAAAAATGTCAAATTTACCTGAACTAAAGAGATTTAGCAGTTTGAGAATTTCAAGGAGATATTGTTTAAGAATATTCCATTGTACTAACCTAATTTTTTGAAACATCAAGCAACTGCCGAGGTATTTTGATATTTTCACAAATTTAATGGAGGTTGAGCTTCAGAAACACTCTGTTCATCCATCAAAAACTACTGCTAAGTGCTGCTGATGCAAGGGCATTGTCACCAACACAAATTTGGCGTTTTTCCTTCGTGCTCTACCAAAAAGCGTAAAAAATCCTGCTTAGGAATTTTTTGTACAGTTGAGGGTTATGACTAATTTGCATTTGCAAATGTTGGCAGACTGACGTAATTCTGTTTGAATTTTTGGATTTTTGAAGTTTTAGATTTTCACAGCGTGGTATTGAACTGTTTTGAAGTAATAATTTTGTTCATTTACGCTTGCCTCTTTACACTTAACACTTTAACAGCTTTTAATGTTGATATTTGCAATTTTTTCACCTTCCATGTATCCCATTTCTACTAAATAATTTACACACTAAATTATTTGCATGATGCAACTAAATTACAAATTGCACATATGTCGAAGTAAGAAATTTAACATATTTTAATATTTATTTTACATGCATATATTTATTTGTATTATTTGCATTCGTTTTTCCGAAATTCATTCATTGTTAGTATATTTGTCGTATCGTTTTGTACTAATGTTTTTATGTTCAATTATATATTACCAGAAAGTAAAGTATGAAATGACATGTATAATATAGATGTAGTAGAGAAAAACCAACCCAAAGAATTTCTGAAGAACAGGCACTACAGACAAAAGAAATAGTAATAGCTTAGGACACATTTTGAAGAATTGTCTGCGTTATAGGATAGTGCAGAGGGATGGTAAAAGATCATGGGCGTAAAAAAGAAATAATACCAAAAACGGTACTGGAAAACAAACACGCAACATAATACGACAAATGGGTAGGGCCTTAATTATAAATATTTGGAAATTTTTTAACAGACGCAACTTATTTTCTGATTTCGTCAGACACATTTGTATTCGTCATTGTACGCATGTTTTGAATAAATAATTCTAACGATAATGTTATTAACTATTTATAATACTGGTTTAATAATAAATGCAGATTTTGCTTTAATGTGTTATTCAAGAAAATCCGACGGTTTATTTTTAGACGATAGACACGTTTTGTACCGGTGTATGTATCAAAAATCTCGACAAAAATACAGAAATAAAATCCGTAAGCCAAAAAAGGTTGGATTACGCAATTTTTCTAAAAGTAGATAGTGTCATTGTCGTTTGGAAGGTAAGTAAGCAGCCCAAATGGGTATAATCCTTAATTAATTCAAGGCTAGAGCAGGTGAGAGATACAGATAATAAAAACAAAGTAAAGTCTTCTCCATATAGATACGCCTAGGTTTAAGGAAAAGTGACTATTTTCGGCTCCAGGCAGATGAGTACAAAACGAATGCTCGCATTACCTTTACCTACTTATAGCTTGGCGTGCGATTATTTTAAATTGGGAACATCCGCTTTCAAGAAGACAACTTCTAAGTCAACTGAGGTCAGATACTTTTAGACACCAGGTTTATTTGTGAGTCAATTCAAAAGAATATTTTTATTTTGTCCATACAATTTGTTGGAAAGCCAAGGTGGGTTTAGATTGTAAGTCTTCAGGCACAGAAAATTGTACAGTTTAGTAAAAATGCATAATCTAAATATAGACCTTCTATGTGTGAAGGTGTGTGCGAATATTTAAAGGAAATTAAGTATTTCATTTATTCATAACACGAGTTATATATGTTTATTGTAACCGAATGTCGAATACCAAAAAGCTTGTACTAGCGCGGAATTCTATACAATTTATCGTTTTAAGACAAAGCGCTTATTGGACCAGAAATGCTGTAGGTGCCTATAGATATGAGTGCAAATAGTGGGAAAGGGAGTATTCGTTAATCAATCGTACTTGTTGCCAAATCTACGCCGGTCGTTTTCGCAGAGAGCTTTCTGCATATATCAAGCCAGTGGTGGATCCCGAAGAAAGATAATTACGACAAGAGCGAGCCATCACTTCCATCAAGCCACCGTCGCGATGCAGACGAACATTTTCTAAGCATTTCGAGAAGAAAACAAGAAAGTTGAACATTTCCACAGCGGAAAACATACTGCTACCTAGTGGAGGTAGTGGCGACAGAGTCAATAAGAGTCCAAACAAATGATTTATTTTTCCTCCTGAGCCTCTAGCAGGAACTGGTCGGGCTGGCAGAGGTGGTACGAATATTCAGAATCATTAGAACCCTTATAACCAGACCCCTTCCTCTTATAGTTGCCTTGGGGGTCTCAGAATCTTCTTTGAATCATCTACGAATTTTAAAATCTTAGACACTCCTTGTAATTTTCTCTAAAATACTTTAGACTATTTGTAGTGTCTTAGAATTCAGGATCGCCTTACAACCTTTTAGCATCATTTTTGAAACCGTCTAGCTAGAGTGTTTAGAATCTACTTAAAATCTTTTTAGCATATTTTCAGAATCTGTATATAATTTTTTAGAACGTATACAATCTAAAAGAAACTCTAAAATCTTCGAATTGCTGATAAATTACTCTTCACAAAATTCTTATTGATTGGAAGATGCTTCAAATATTCTATAGGAAATTTCCAGATTAATCATTGAAAAATCGTACAAATTATGGGCCGGTTGTACATACCAGGACAATTCAAGCTCTGTTCAGTTGACTGACATTAAGAAAGTTGGATGAATTTCACGCAATCAAATTGTTTATTTAGTCAACTGGGGCTGAATTGCTGTTACCTACCCAAGAATCTCAAAGAGATGTTTGAATAATCCTCTAAAGGATCCTTAAGAACGACTCAGGAATATACGACGAATCAATTTCTGAAGGATATTTAGGTATATCTTAATATCTATTATGAATCAACATAAATATAATGTAGTATCATTCAATAATAAATTTTTATTCAATGGTAGTATCTATATTTTTTAAAAAGTTCTACGAGCCTCCGGATCTTTAGCAAGTGTCTCAAAAGCTTATTTAAAAAGTACTTCAAACCAAACCAGTGAGCTTTGTAGGAAATTTTATGCACTTGCAAGTTAAATAGGGTCAGTTATATGAAAAGGTGATAATTTCCGAGTTACACCCAAGCAAAAATAACGTCTGTAGGTATTTTCCATGAAAAACAGATTTACCGTAAACCAAATCTATTAAAAAAGGCATCAATTTTTGTCTTACCCAATGTTGCATTTGTCGTGAGCAGCGACGGAAATTTGTCGCTGGTAACACACACTGACGAAATCACCACCAAGATCACAGTCACAAAAACCATTTTTTATTAACAGTGCACATTGCGGATTCTTTCATTTATATAGGTACTCGTTAGGGGTGGTTATAGGCACGTACCATACAAAAATATATAGAGAATTTATGTTTGGACTTATTACTATCCAGGTGTTACTCATAAATGAACAATACACGTGAATTTCAATTGAAGGAAATCGAATGGGATTTCAGTGCTTTAACGGCTTAAAGGTCACTCATTAAAAATTAATCATCAAAATTCAATTACAAAAGTAGAACACATGAAATGTAAAAGGTAACTCTGTTACCTATAGAATGATTCTACTGCCTTCCAAATTTTAATGAATGTACGGATGCTATAAGGACGTTTTTTCTTATGGCACAAAAAAAGCATTTGCTAAAGAGGTGAAATTTAAAATTTCCAGATGATGTGGGATCGTGCGATTTGATCTTCAGATGTTAAACACTTTTAAACATTATTTAAAACTGTGACAGTTGTTAAGAAAGGAGGAGACCATTGAATAAGTACTCTCAGAGAGGAAAAATTTAGGGACCATGAATGCTTTTAATTATACTTAACGTTTTTAAATAACAATAATTTTAAATAACCTTTAAAAGTGCTTCAAAAAATCCTAAAGAGCTCAGAAGGACTCCAAGGAACTTCTTTTGATAGTTCTTGAAAACTTTCGAAAAGTCTTGAAACCTTATGAAGTTTTCAAAGTTTGTATAGTGACTAGTGAGTTCTTTAAAATTCGTAAAATACGCACTTAATTCTATTGAAGGCTTTTGAAAAATACTTTAGAGAACTCTAGGAGGAACATGGCAACTGTGCGACTTTTAAAAGGTGCAAAAGACCAATTACAAGATACAAGCATCCTTGGGTGTCTCAATGTGCTGTGCTGCCATCCGCAAAGTACAGAAATTTCTTTACCTTTAAATACACCAATCTCTCTCCTGCATAATTGTTTAACTTTTCAAATTTTCAGACACGTGAGAAAGTATTATGTATTGAGATGGATCCGTATTCGGTTCAGGTAGCACAACAAAAACTAAAACTTTACCACAATTTTAAATGTTGAAGAGAAAATTTCCCAAGGCAAGTCCGGCGGCACATCTGCTATTACGAATCTCGATGAACACTTAAATTTTGTTAATGCATTCCAAAGAATTATTTAACAAATTTTTAATTACCTGACATAATCCTGGACCCGATTAAACATACAGCTGATCATTTACTCAAATTTATTCGACAAAAATCAACCATTGTGTAAGAAAATAAGGCACTCAGGGCTTATAAGCAAAGTACCACGCGCATGTGGTCGATTCAAACAAATTAAATTTAAAAAAAAATTTTAATGACCTTTAAAGAATCTTAATATCCGATCATATCTGCGATTTTATTTAACTGACGCAGAAAAACAAACACCAATTGATGATCCTGCTGAATCTTCGTTTCTTTACTGTCACTTGATTCTGGATTTAGGCAAAACTGGCTTTGTTATAAAAATGATTTTTTTGTGGTGGATAACTTCAGGCCGTACTTATGCGATTACTGCTCGATAGACATAACACTCCCAAACTACCTCTTCGTATACGTAAACACTAACGATTGATTCGAATCTTTATAAGAACACTGTGTAGATTTTGTTCTACAAGAACTTTACAAGCACCAAGGACTGACTGTTTTTCACCAAATGCTAACCCAAAAAGCTTCGAGCAAGCATACAAGGATATGTAGAAATTTAAAAAAAACTGCGGACTTATATTCTATTAAATTTTCAATAAAGAATTAAACTTGCAAATAGCGGAATTTCCTTTAAAATTTGATCCCCCACTAGAAAAATCCTTGAACTGCGGTTTGAAACAATTTTCCTGCGCCATCTCTTCCCAAATATTACAAAAAAGGGAAGATTAGGGACATATCTCTGGAAGCAATTGCGTTAAGTCTTTTTAGCGCATTTTTTAAGAATTAAAAAAAATGTGCTATTGTTTGCGTTTTGTTCGTCCGTCCGTCTGGACCCACTTCTGTCGTTTCGAACTACTTCTAGGGGAATGGTCCTAGAGTCCTGGAATTTTTTTGCAGTAGGTAGCCTATACCTTGAAGGTGTGCCAGGCGGCAATCAAATTTCGCTGTCTAAAAGCCCCCCCTCCCCTCACAAATTATTTCCTGAGATGCTGTTTTTGAAAGTAAAACGTGCATAACTTTCACATTCGACAACCAATTGGTCTCAGATTTGGTATACGCATGCCTTTAGTGGTGCCAAGTTAAACTTTTAGAAAAGAGATCAGTGAGCGAAAGGGCCTGAGTGGTTAAAAATTAATTTTATCTCTCATTATATTCTACAATTAAAGTTCTCAACGAAAGGCATTAATTTCTACCAACCATAGCCCTCCTCTTCGCGACCTCTTGTCGTAATCGGGTATATTCCCCTATACCTCAAGTAGTAGGTATGAATATACAGTAGTGAGTTACCATGGCTGTTAAAGTTTGGCCGCCCATCGAATATTGTTTATTGGGGTCCTCTAATCAAATTTGGAAGGGATGCCGGTGGATCCACCGGTAACTTCCGGTTTCATGACGTCATAAAGTTCGCAATTTCGCTAATTAGGCAAAATGCTTCTATCTCAGTAACCACTTGTCTGATTTTCATGATCTTGGGCTCATTGGAAAGATATTAAAATAAGACAGAAGTTTTATGAGAAGTCCGAATCGCTTTCGCGAACGGTTTTCGCGAAATTTTGTAAAGTTTGAAAAATTCGCGAATTATTTTTTTTCTTTGTGACACAGGTAAAACGTTATTAAAACTTGTAACTTACGAATAAACATTTTTATAACCTGTTTCACCTACGGTTTTTCGCAAAATTTGAAAAAAATTCCTTTTTTATTTGAATATCTAATAATCCCGGCCAATAAAAATTGCTTCCATTATACTTACCGAGATGTAATCCGTTTTTATAGTACATCAGCCACCCATATAATAGTTTAGGTATATAATGTTTAAAAAATGGACTGCTAATAAAATAATATGCAAGAAAATACAGTGATAAGGAAATATTAATGTAGATTAGAAATATTGCAACAATAAGTTCTGTACAAATAGTAAATTGTACCTCACAGGTCCCTTATTCCCTAACCGTATTGTATCACACCAGTGTAATATTTTGTTCTCCAACCACCTGAATAAGACGCTGTTTTGTCACACTTTTTGGTGCAAAAAATGGGCGATTTCGGGAGTCGTCGATATCACCATGGTAACTATCCAAAAAGTAGGTAGGTACTTTTCGGACTAGTCCAAAAAGTAAAAATTTGATTGCTTGGGAATTTGTTGTCCATATGGGAAGAAGCCTTCGATCTTTCTTTTGCCAGCCATGTTCAAGTGCATCTGGATCTGGCGCGCTAATTTCTGCTTTGAAAGCCGATACCCAAATGCTTGCCTAATAGATTCCTCGTCTGCAGTTTAGAAGTATAGCGCATTTTTGGTCGGAGGAATCATTTCTGGATTCTGGTTTCGTTGGTAAACAGGCATTAACTTTCGTAGTCCATTAATTATATCCGCTCCACCTCCATAGATCTTTTAATCTTTATACAAAGTGATTCCAACGCCGTAAATTCGGCAGACTCTACCTCAAGTACCGTAAATGTAAATGGTTTTCCTAAAAGTGGAATCATCGCCTGTGTATTCGTTTTGGCGCACTTCCCCATGTGGTATAGCACGTTCTTTTTTATCTACCTCTCAAAGATGATGTAGTGTAGAGTCACATCCTGTTATAGTGACAAAGAGAGGTAGAGCAATGCAATGATTTGGGCCGAGGACACAATTTTTTCGATATCCGCCATAAATTTTCGGTTAGTTCCTGATCCAATATCAATGAAGATTTTTCAGATATACCGTCGAAGCGTAAAAATTGATGAACCAAAATAACTACGACATTGGCATCACACGTTCGTACGCGTACTGTTTTTTCTCCTTCGGTCAATGCATGTATATCACATGCAAGACGATTTTCGTATCAGCCTCCTTGTGGTCAATCGTATCCAACATCTCTTTCCCAGGTCCGACCTACTTCACAAATTCGCCATGTGTGATGATAGACCACAATTCGAAAGCTGAAAGCTTGAAATCGCTATTTCGTTTAAATACTTAAACAACTCAATTTTGAAGGCACCGAAATGGAGACCAACACTTCGGAATTCGAATATTTGGGCCAATCTTCAGTCGAACACCGCTGCCATGATCGTTTCTTGTCTTTCCTTTAATATAATATTCCTCGGAATATTCCTAGTATGAGTCCCACACTTTGTGTAGTCTGCTTGCTTTCCTCAAGCTCATTGTCAATATATTTTAAAAATGTTCCAAAACCCACTCGTGGGTACCTATTGCCGCGTAACACAAAGTATTGAAAGCACACAAAATGTATCGAATCTGCATATTGAAATACGTCCACGTCCAGAGAAAGAGAGGAGTTAAATAAGTAAAATAGTTTGAAAGAAATATTACCATACATAAGAAAGTTGGCTATGAGCAGTCTGTGCAGTCACTGCGCATGCCCACATAATTTTTACTATGTGCGAAATGTTTGCCTTTGCTAGAAGTATCTGTGGTTAAAATTTCAAAGAAATATCTCCATAAATATGAAAGTTAGCATTGCGCAGTCTGCGCAAAATATGGAGTTAAATGAAACTGATCGAAATGGGCAAATATAGACCATAACAGCTATCAATTAGCGAAAACTCGAAGTCTCTAGGTGGCCCAGGGGCCGAGGTCTCGATGGAACGGACGGGTGGACGGACGGACGGAAACACGAGCACATAAGCTTTGCCTCAACTTCGTTGTGTTACACTAAAAAACATCTGTTACCGTATTCCTTAAAAGCTGAAGCACCCCGAGGAAGCAGAGCGCAAAGTGAATGAGAGCACCTCCATCTACAATAACTGCATCGTACACAGAAGGAAGATCTGTCACATCATCGGGAGGCTGTATAGCAATAACCTCTTTATGTGAACAATCTAGAATTCTAGAATATCTGACTTCTTTAGGGGTAGGTACATTTTTTCAGAAGAACTAGGGAAGGGGTAAATTCTTGCACTTCATGTGCGAAAAACTCATCGATGTGTGGCTACGTACATACATCTTGCCTAGAACAGGCGCAGTTTCTCTTAACATTCCAATTTTTTGTGGCTGTGTTCTCTTCCGCTTTGGTGCTTGGAACAGATGGAAGATATTTTTCTTTATAGAAACATCAATTGCTTTAGTCCCATCGATGATGACCTCCTTTACGTAAGTTTTGTATTGAATCATCCCATAAATTGAGAAAGAAGGGATGTTGGTAATCTTTTTAAATCCCAAACGTGAATGGGAATTGGTTTAAAAGAGAAAGAAGTAGGTTATAATAATGTTTTGCGTAAGTTACAAATAAGTAGGTACCTATTAATAACGTTTTACCTGTGAAAAAAATAATTCGTGAATTTTTCAAATTTTAGCAAATTTTGCGAAAACCGTTCGCGGAACGCGATTTGCACTTCTCATAAGTTTTATTTTAATATCTTTCCAATGAGCCCAAGGTCATGAAAATCAGACAAGTGGTTACTGAGATAGAAGCGTTTTTCCGAATTAGCGAAGTTTATGACGTCATCAAACCGGAAGTTACCGGTGGATCCACCGGCATTCCTTCCAAATTTGATTAGAGGACCCCAATAAACAATATTCGAGGGGCGACCAAACTTTAACAGCCCTGGTAACTCACTTGGGTTTTTAACATTGTATTCATACCTAGGTACTACAGAACGGATTGTCGGAAGAGGGTACTCACAAAGGGCCATTGAGACGTCTGCAAGAAATATAGGTAGGTAGGTACTTGTTTAGAACATTGTCATGTTTTCAACCAAAATTTTTAGGTTGAGAACCAGGTATAAAGAAACGGAAAAAAGTGAAAACTTGACAACTCCATTGGTTACACCGAACGACATTCGACGAAATTGCTAAAGGTTTCCGAGTGCTTTGAAAGCGGCGTATTGTAATTCTTCGTATAAGATTGAGATTTTATGGTAAACACCTTTGCAGATCGATTGCACTAAATATGCGATAATTCGACACATATGTTGGATACTAATTCTTCCATATTTGGAAGAAGCGTATACCTATATTTATTGTCTGCGAATAATGAATGCAGAGGAGCGGAAAAAAGGCAGAGAAGTAAGCTTTCTCCGCCTCATCCATTTCTCTGCTCCTAGCAACGAAACGATACCTACTTCGCTGTTTGAATGGGGATTTAGGGTAATTCAACCGGATAAACAGGGTTGGTAGATTTTGCTATGGTTACAATTATTGCCACAATTGTTTCTATGGTGATTTCTATCAAACCGGTTGACTAGGAGTTTACAGTATAGTTGAGTTCCGTAGTTCTAATTTAATAAGCGTGTAGGTACCTGAAACCATAAAACATTTTTTTGGACAGTAAAAGTTTATTTAAAAATAATGGCTGATTAGCAAAAAAATAATGAACATGTGCGGTTTTAAGGGTTTATTCAAAACGATATGATTGTAGCGGGCTCTGTGACGTAATGAGCCCGACCAATCAGCTCCTAGAACCATTCAATTGACATACGACTTGGCAACATTGAACTATATACTCTGTAGAGTCATTGAATAAAAACACTATAAGAAGCCTAACGCTTATGGAAGAAAGCGCGACAAATCTCACAAATCCCCTTGCACCCGCATTGGTTGTGACCACCGAACTCTCTTTGCGGTAAATAGGAGGAAAGCAAATTCTCATTCTTCTCAGTTCAAGAATCGACTCTATTGACAGTGTTCCCATTATATTCTCAGTTCAAACTCTGTCGCGCTTTATTTCCACGGGGTTAGGCTTCTTATAGTGTTTTTATTCAATGGTAGAGTATATAGTTCAATGCTTGGCAATTGCAGGACAATGTCATCTGTCACAGCTCACAGGCATTTGTCATTCACTTTCGCTTTAGATGCAGTTAACCATTGCCTAATAAAGGCCATGCAGTTAACATGCCTGTTAAAACGTCAAATCCGACAAACGTCAGACCCTCGCACAAGGTTGCCGGCTCACTTCTACGTGATTGGTTGTAGGTTTGTGACGTATTTAGACTGAAGCGTTTCAAATTCGGTCTAAAAACGCAGCTTTTCACTAATTTATTTTGGGTTTATTTTACTCGTAAATAAAAATTGAGAACACACGGGTCTTTTTTAATGTACTTTGTAGATCAGAAATAAAAAATGAAGAAATGTGTCGGTTGCAACTAATTTGAGATATCCATGTGTGTACATTGGTGCTAATGGACAATTAGAAAACTGCGCATGATGAATGTGGCTTCTGTAATCTGTAGAGAAATAAAACAAGGATCTATAATTTTTTATAAAAAGGATTAGTAATTTCAACTATTATACATAAACTAGGTACTATACTTCGGTGACCGAATTTTCTGTCAAAACAGCCTGCCCAACTAGACTTGAAATTCTCTGTAGGTGTGTTTCATCCAGTGTTAGGTGCTTAATTAAAGAGGCTGCTAATTCCGATGCTTGCTCAAATCCACTATCAACCGCATATTGAAGACAGTCCTACACCAAATTCCCAATGGTTAAAGAATTCAATAAGGTATAGGTAGGTACAATTACTTACAATTCCACTTGAAGGTCGTTTCTGTTGAATGCAGTGATCCACATACAGTTTCAATGTCTCAAACTGAGGAACTCCCAAGACACTTTGTTGATTGTTTTCTAATTTGTCCATAACTTTGGATGCCTTTTCGAAATCGTTATTTCTCAACGTTAAAGTCATAATTTTACCTAGCATGTCTCCGGTAAAGCTAAAACTTCTGTTACAATATAATAAGGTTACAAAACCCACACCTTAACACTTTCGTTCTGTGTTCCTGTTGATACTCGACCTTGCTCCAAATATCCCACGCAACGTTCGACAATTTCTCTACTATTTGAGCTTCTCTATTACCATTATTGATCATTATGTTCAAGATTAAGGTTAAGATATTTTCACGATTCGCGTGATCGAAGATTACTATGTCCGACCACAATCTTGGCAAGTAATTAATCGCATCATTTGCTTCGACATATTTCAGTATGTCCAACATAACGCTTGGTTCTGGTACGTAGATATTGGGGACAAGCTTTTGGTATACATTTTCCATGAAATCTTCTAAGGGCTCAGTTTTGCATAGCAGTGTTATATAATGACGACTAAATTGGGGATAAATAAAGATAAATAAACATGCAGTCTGTAAATATAAATAAATAATACACAGTGCATTCCAGATAAGAGGATCACCTCTTTTATTTGGTGCGATAGGAAAAATTTGTCAAATATAATTTTATATGTATAAAAAATGGAGAAATTCGTAATTTAATATTTAGAAAACTTATGACATCTAGCAATGCCCTGTGCCATACCACGCAGAAAAAACCTACATCAACTTGTTCAATGTTTCGTTTTTAAGATTTCTTTGTGCGCGATTCAATCTACCCGTGTAACACAACAGACACCACGCATCCTGACAGCACACGGTATGCTCGATTTCATAAATTTTCTAAATATTGAATCTTCTCTATTTTTTACTTCTTACTTACTAATAAATTGATTCTTTATATGAATCTCCAATAAGGTCATAATTGTTGTGTAGATGCAATAAATTATCAACTTGTTTGGCTAATTCCTTGTCGCAAAGATGATGATGACAAACATCCATGGCAGTGACAAAAAAGAATGTGTCTCTGCTATCACGAATTTTGAATTCCTTACCATTTAATTCCGCCATTATGTTTCTTAAAATCGGGCTCACTGGGCCACCTATAGATTTTCGTAGAAACACAAATATCGCAAAGAATTGACCTTACGTTCTTTACAAAACGATATCAACACATAATACCAAGAGGCCAAGGAAGGTTCGATTCCTAACGCTCTAAATTCCGACAAAGTCCTTAACACGTGTTGTTTCACAACCTTCCCGGTACCCATCGTACTTAGTATTTTAAGAACACTGTTCAGTGTTCCCAGATTCGGTTTCACTTTCGCCATCGACATCAAGGAAAGCGTCTCGAGTATAAACTTCCACCTGTGGTCATAACCTTCTTTGAGAAAATCGGAAACAGAAATGATGGCATTAAATGTATCAGCTGATAGAACGAGCCCTTTGTTCTGTGCCTCTTCGAATAATTGAGCGGATCGATCAATTTGCCCGTATTTTGCCATACCCTGTATGATAGCAGAGTATGCCTCCGCACCGGGATTCTCAAAGCTTATGAAAACTTCTTCGGCGAAACTACCATCTCTACAAGTTACATGTAAGCGTACAAACTAATTGCAATCAAATCATACTTCCAGGTTTTCCTTTGTCTCTCTTTTCCTCGAGCGGATTGCTTGAACCAACGCTCTTCAATGAATTCTTCGCCAAGAGGTTCCTCGCAATTATAGAAGCATATCAGTTCGAGTAATTGCTGTAACGTACCATGTGAAATATCCACATTTTTGTTTTTTAAAAGTTTATATATTAAAGTCGAATCTGCTACTTGCACATCTTTAATTGCGTTAATTAAATCCTCTTCGCAAACATCCGAGTTTTCAGTGTAAATCTTAGGGGGAACGAACGCCTTAATCATCGGTTCGGCTTCCCTATGCTGAAATAAGTCCGCGTTTTCCTTACGAACCCAATGGGCAGCTTTACGGCCTGCTTCTTGAGCCATTGCGAATGTTCGTTTACCTAAATTGGACATTGGCGTGAGATAGGGATCGTCGTGATACTTGTAGTGGGCTGCTGTGTAATCCCGTTGTACTGTGCTCTCCAAAGCCTGCAAAATATCTGTTGGTCCTCTGTGTATTCTATTTGGTATCTGAATTTGGTGTTCGACATCGGTGCAGTAGCACGACGTAAGTATTGTTTTAGGTGCTGCGATACGTGCAATGGATCTACAAATACGTTAATAAAAAGGTCGGTAGAAAAAGGTCTTTCTCTTACAGTTTTGAAGTAATTACTTTAACAAAACTCATTTTTAAATTTAGGAAAAATAAACTATTCTCCTAACCTAACTTTACTATTTAATTTGAGGTTAGGTACTGAATACTGTCGGTAAATCAGTAGTCACCAACGGGAGTTTGTGATGTGACGTTGCCAAATCTATAGTCAGTAAGATGTTCTACATAAATCATAATAATGTACGAAATGAATTATTCCCACTAAAAAAAATTGCTTACAATTGTGTTTCATGGACAACCGCAAATTTTAAAGTTTATATCGTTCCCAATAATGTGTAATATGAAGTTCACCTGCGTCTCCTTTCAACATATTGCAGGAAATATGATATCGGTTTGCGTGCAATAGATTTGTATGCAATGATTGCGTAATCTGATTTGTGGTTTAAAAGAATTCACGAGCATTCAAAATCAAAATAAATTAAACAAAAGATTAATTTAAAATTAATTGACGATTTCGCACTTGGGATTTGGCAATTACGTTAAAACTTATACAAACACAGCTCTTAGATGCGCCTAGGCTTATTTTTTTCGGAGTGGTCAACAAAGCTACAAAGGGATTGAAGATTCTGGAAAAACTTAATAAGTAAACCTAGAAGGTTTTCAAATAATATTAAAAGTTCTATTAAAAACCAATTGAAAGCGTATTTGGTCGTGTAATGCTTTTCGAAGATGCTTTGAACACTTAAGATGCTCTGGGAAGTACTATATAACCCATAAGTATAAGACAATTTGTAAGTTCATATAACCTTGTAGGTGCTTTTCCGGTCTCTATCGCTCGCCATTCTAGAGCTTACTATAACTTTCATAAAGTTTTTCGTATATTTTCCAGAGCTTTTATACATTTTCAAAATCTTTTAGGCATCTCCTAAGGTCTCGTGGGTCCTTCTAGAAAATCAAGGGAGTTATCTAGTTCAGAAAGTTCTAGCTCCTTTCTAGAGCTTTCTTAAAGTGTATAAGATCACTTTCAAAGCGTTTGCATGGATCTATAACGTTAATTTAGAGCACTCTACGTCCCTCCCTGAGCATGTCAGGTTTTTTCCAAAGACCACTAACAAACTTTTCTAGACCATTTCTAAAGCACTCTACGTGTGTATTTACGTCCTTTCTAGGAGTATTTTTGCTCAGTTTTCTTTTGGATTTTAGGCCTACTCAGCTCTGGAAAAGGCAAAGAAACGTCTAGAAACGAGGTAAGAACGTGTTAAATCACGTTTGGTTTCGAGCGATAGGTTGTTACCAAAGAGTACCCACTCTTCGTGATGAGCTACCCATACGGTTAGACAACACATCTTACAGTACGACAATGCACTGTATATAGTGGGCGTGAACAGTTCCTCGACTTCGAATGTCCAACTGCTGGAACAGTTCTTTCAGTGGCGTATTTACGGGGAGGGATGAAGGGGATGTGTTAGGTATTAAGGTAATACTTCGCTATCCGCTCCGCCCACTTTAAAATAAAGGCGGAAAATATATGTAGGTATATATAGAGAGCAATTTTGGTTTTGGTTAAAGTCTAAAGTCACTAAAATCTAAATATTCTGTAGTATTCAGTATTCACTATTCAGTGAGTGATCAGTGATGGCAGTCAACGATTTGGCTATTCGCCATCGATCGGCAATTCGCTACATTGATGCCCAAAATAACAAATAGGTATCAGGTACTTAGTACTGCTACTGAGGTGAGGTACCTGCGCCCTGCCTTTCACGAAATGACGAAAATAAGAATTTTAAATTTTAAAAACGGGAATTTTTTTGCCCATAACTTTTGATTGAGACGTCTAATCGAAAAAGTATGAATCGTTTTGGATTCTACGCACCCAAATTAATAAGAAAAAGTTTTTTCCCGAGAAATTTTGGTGCAGTCGATTTTTGGTAAAAAAGGAAGGTAATAACCTGTACCGGAACCGGAAACGGTTGCATATGAGCTTAGGAACCGGAACTGGTATTCAAGAAATTATGATAACTGGAACCTATACCGTCAATGTTGATGCCAAACAACCGGTATTTTTCGCTTCTCTCTCTCTCTCTTGTAGGTAGGAAAAAACGCTGCAATTTGTGAAACGGAAATCCGTTTTATATTGTTCTCATCAAATTTTGTCCTGAAGTATTGGTGTTAAAACTGCTCTTAGGTTTAACGTTAGTGGTTGCTGGTTATTGTAATTCTTGATGAAATATTATATGTAAAATGGGTATGGTTAAATGTAGGTCGGTGTTTAAGTGTAAAATTTGCCCTACTGCGATTCAGGTGACAAAAAACTAATGCCGAAAATAAAGCTAATCGAATCAATAACAGTAAGTGGGCTGAAGAATATGTGTGAAGAACCGAACGCAATCGTTGAAACTACTGCTGAAGAAAAAGAACGCCGAAAAAGACCGGTAGTAGAAAGAGGTGAACAAACGCGAAAGCTAAAAAGAAGTTTTAATTAAACCTAACAAACCTGTTTATGCAAGATAATAATGTACTTGAAAATTGAGTACCTATTATTTATTTTCCTATAATATTTCTTTTTATTGATATTGGACCTCTAGAATCGGAACCGATACTGGAACCCTTAAAAAAATACAGCCAAAGTAGTGCAGAACGGAATCTATAATTTATGAGTTCCAACGCCTGATGAAAATTCGCTGATATCGATGGGGGTGTAGGCGACCACTATGCCAAGTCCCATGATTTTTACTATAAAATGTTCTCGTTTACCAATTCCAGCCAGTCGTTCTGATTAATAAGAAAAAAGAACACCATTACAGCCCAGAAACTGGGTTAATAAATCGTACAGGTGTAATCCAGCCTTAATAAGTAAATGGCAACAGCCTATATCCACAATTACTTTGGCGCACGTTTAGCCACAGCCATAACCTTAAATTTAATATAAACAAAATACAAATTGGCCTTTCTTCTTCTTGTAAAATGAACGATCTAAATCAAGCTCGAAAGTTGTTAGAGCAATCTCTGGGCGATGACCTGAAGAAGCAGTACTTTAGTTTACTAAAGCAATGGTTCCTCTTTAGCAATTCCATAACAAAATTGCAGTTTGATACCGCCGTACGTAACTTAATGACCACCAAGGAACAACTCCATCAACATAACGATTTTATGTTAGCATTATACGGAAAGATTAATAATACAAGGGCGAAAAGCACCAGATCCACTTACGATAAGGGATGCTTTGAAATTGCAGACTCTATTGAATATTTACTACCTCCAAGCCCAACTTTTATGTTACGACCCGAAGTAGAAAATCGAAGTGCGGCTGCTGAACTTTTTCTACCCGATAGTGGTTTTATTGCCAGCAGAATTGCGGTTCAAGCTTGGGAGAATGGACTGGAAGGTGCTGAAGAGGGTGTTACCGACATTATTGTCCAGGCTTGTCAGGTAATTAGTTTCTTTCGTTCGCATTTACAAAGCTAATATGCACATTTGCAGACATTCATTAAGAATATAATAATGGCAATGGTTACGCGTAAACGGGGTTACAAAGTACGTGACAGTAGGTTTCAGTATGGTTTTGGCACACCGATTCCAGATCCATTCATTAGAAATACAAATCATATCATTGATACAACGCAAGAATGCAAAGTAGAAGTTGGAACTGATGACGATTGCTTTATCCCAGCAAATAAACCGTCTTTGGAAGCTGCCGAGCAGCAAGCTGCATTTTCCTATTCGTGCGGCTCCAAAAGCCAATCTGATGGAAAACTTACATTACAGTTGTTGTACGATACTCTTAGAGAGGATCCGAATATTATAGGCTATCATTCTGTTAATAGTATAAATTTGTTTAGGATAGGTTTAATGTTGGAGGACTCTAGAAATGATTAATGATTATTTTTTGTTATATGTGATTTTATTATATTTTAAAAGCACACTTTGTGTAATATAATAATAGTATTTGGGGGTGCAGCCATGCATAAAAGTGAATAGGAAGGAGTTAAGTCTGGGAAGTTTTCTATTCCTTTACCAAGATGTACATATTTTCAACAACTTGCATCACATATTCTAAACAGTAAATACAAAGAATTGATAGATTCATGTGAAAATGATAGTAAGTATATGTTGTAGTAGGTACTTACAATAATCTAAGAATAAACAGTAGAATTAGATCTATTAATGTCTGTTTTTGTTAAAATCATTAATATGAATACAAACAATTTCCAGGAATGATTTTTTATTTCATTTAGACTCTTAAGATGTGTAACGGCAATGTACTAAGTACAGCCCTGACATACCTAATCAATGCGTTATAAACTAGTTAGCGCCAGGATGATGGTTCCCATTGACACCGCGGTTTTGATAAGCAACTTTAATATTGCATTTGCATAGATAGAATGGAAAAGTACTCAATCGTCTGGTAGCTGGGCGTTGCTTGGTCAATGAGAGAAATTTTTCACATTAGTTGGTTTTTTGGACGATCTTGAACCACGGAAAAGGGGAAGGGTGTGTGTTTAGAGCGTGTATTTGGAGGAGACCAAGAAGATTTGTCCAAATCCGCGTCGGAAAAATAAAGTTTGAAAATCTTCGTTTTTGGGGTTGAACCAAGAAGGTTGCCCAAAAGCGCGTGTCAGAAAAATAAACTTTTAAACCGCGTGTTGAACCAATCTCTTACTCTTACACAAAATCTTCCAAAAATTATCACACGGGTGTCCGAAAAAAGCGATGTTTCGTAAACAGTAAACAAAATTTTAAATCCCGCGTGTTGTAGGTACAAACATTGACTTTATGTAAAGTTAATGGTACCAAAAACGCCAAAATTTATCAAACCGCATGTCGGAAAAATAAATCAGAAATTCGAATTGGACGTTTTGATCGCGGGATTAGGTGTATCTAAAATTCGAGCACTTCTGTTTTCAAATTAGATTCATATCATAGGGTGATATCGACAGAAAAAATCATAATTTTAGTTTATAGTTGGGTACAATTGGGGTAGATGCATTTATGAGAATTCCCCAAAAGTTGAGGTGAACTCGGGTAGAGGGAGCGGGTTAAATATTAGATATTAAATTATCACTTTTCAATCACATAGTTGCTATTACCTATATATCTCTGAAACAATCAACTATCTTTTATAACCGTTCCACTCCCATTTAACCATATAAAAGAGCGTTTCGAAGATATAGGCAAATATCTTTAATTTTTGATAAAAAATCTCGTAAAAAATACTCTTTCTCTTGGTAGACATAGGGCAAACTTAACGACTTTTAGTAACTGGTTAAAAGGAATGCTTACTTGAAATGCTTAAATATTTCAACCCATTTCATGTCCACAGTGAGTTTTTGATTCTCCCATTGTCCCAATTTTTCTCCAGAGATGTAATTTTAAAGGAAAGCGAATAAAGCGTTTTCGGCAATGTTTAGAAATGAAAGGCAAATGATGCTTGAATCGTATCACATTCCAAATTTCTATCTAGCTCTATCCAGCCCAAGCACTAGGTAACTTCTGAAAGCTTGAGATCTTTATGGTTCGATGCATCAGAAAAGACTAATACGTACTTATTAACGGGACCGACAAGAAATCCAAATTCCAACTTTTTAGAGACAAATTATCCAAATCCAAATAAAGCGACAAAATATCCAACCAATTTGGAAACTCCGATTTGGATATCTTGTCTGTGGCGCGACAAGATATCCAAATAGCGAATTTTTTTTAGACAAGAAATCCAAATTTTTTGGACAAAATATCCAAAAAGTTCGGAAATTTTTTGACAAGATATCCAAACTTTTTTAGACAAGAAATCCAAATTTTATTCAAGCCCTTTAATGAACCTTGTGCAGTACGAAACATTTCAGTTTCAGTGTTAACGCACGCCATAGCATTTATTCATACAGCGTCAAAGAATTAGTGCCTACCTTGTAATAAATGAGTTATTATTAAACTACACTACACTATTAAACGCTGTATAAAAACTTACTGAATGCTAATTGCTATGCCGTGTTTTAGCACTGAAACTGAAATGCTGATACGGAATTTTTCGTACCACACAAGGTTCATGCCTGATTAAAACTATAATTAATAAGTACTTTTAAAGCAAAGCACTTTGACAAGCACAAAGCTCTCACGCTGAAATAACTGCTGTTAAAAACGTATAGGTAATGATCAAATACAAGAAAAAGCGGCGTACCTTTATCCATTCGAAAATTGGATATCTTAGTTGAAAACTTTCCAAACTTTTTGGATTTCTTGTCTAAAAAAGTTAGGATATCCTGTCAAAAAATTTCCGAACCTTTTGGATATTTTGTCCAAAAATTTGGATTTCTTGTCTAAAAAAATTCGATATTTGGATATCTTGTCGCGCCACCGACAAGATTTTCAAATCGGAGTTTCCAAATTGGTTGGATATTTTGTCGCTTTATTTAGATTTGGATAATTTGTCGATAAAAATTGGATATCTTGACGAAAACAATCCAAATTATTATAAAAACAAGAAATTTGGAAGATGAAAAGAAATTATGTGAATAATATGAAAAAGCTCAATTTAATGGATGAAGTCTTCCTGAAAAAGCCAGTAAAATACATAAGATCCCTTTTACAAGATCGAGAATACATTAATTGGACTAAATTGACACATAAAGGTAGAGCTGTAATCCTTTTTAAGGACTACCCCATAGCGAATAATATTCTAGATCGCTCTAGGCTTTCTTCTTCAGAATTAAAAGACGCAATAAAAATGATTGGTAATGTCGCTCCAGTAAGAGCGCTTCCAGGCAGATCAAAGGACTTAGGACGACACCCGGTGTCGACACTGTTACGACACTGAGACATTCATATATCTGAAACTTTGCCTCATCTCCTTGGGTCCTGTTCATTCGGTGAACGTTTACGAAATCATCGCCATCATACTGTGCGTACTATGATAGCTGACGCTTCATGGTCTAAATATTTAACCGTCTATACGAGGAGGTAGTTTGTACCGCGAATTCGGGGCAGAAGGGTTGACATATTGGTTATTGATAAAAAGAAGAATGTCGGTTGGATTATCGATCCCACTGCTAGATTCGTAGTTGACGAACACCAAGCAATTAACGTAAATTTAGAAAAACAAAAGATTTATGGTTCAACAACGACCTTCTTCAAAGAATTCTTATGGATTAAAAAAAGTTGATATCATAGGACTACTTGTTGGTGCTCGCGGAACAACTACCACTTTTTTCAAAGAATTTTCCCACATTTTTGGATTACCATCAAAATTGTTAAAATTAATAGCAATAACTACTATAAAAGATTCCATTTACATTTTAAGAAATCATTTATATAATTAATTTGTTTGGTTTTTTTTCATGTTCAAATTTGTATTGTATCCTTTGTTTCACAGCAACCCAGAATGTTGGGAATGTGTAAAAATATACACTAACACGAGTAGAGGACCACCGAAGACTAGTTGGCTATTCTCAATCTCAAAGCCACGTAACCGACTCACGTGAAGCGCATTACTACATTACTACACATCATGTGACGTTTCTAAAATGTTGCGATTGCAATTACAGTTCTAAAGCAATAATCAACCCCCCCTCCACCCCCCTCAAAAAAGTTCTCGATAAATCTTAGAAAGGGTAACAAAGCAACAATGTTTAAAAAATGGAGGGTCTTTGTTTCAAAAGTGAGCTTCTGAATAGATCAGATCATCACTAGTTCAAAAATCCTTGATGGTAAGTCATTAAAGTAATTCCGCGAACAATTCATGCAAAAACCTTGGCAAATGTTCTGAAGTAAAAAGTACCTGCTTAGGATAGTTCAACTGCAACTAGGTCCAAATCAGGAGAAATAAATTCCAAAGTGTTCAAGTCTCCAGGTTTCTGGGAAGCAGTCAAAGCGTGTCCCTTACCGAGTGCATTTAGACCAGATGAATTATGTTTCGTTTTGAGAAAAGAGTCTTCTTATTTTACTAAAAAAAACAGCAAAACATATTTTCACAACTGACTTGAGCACAGCCCTTCCAGAGTACGTTGATGGCTGGTGGACCGAATCGTCTATCCCGCTACTTCCACGGCGTATATGGGCGGCTAGCATAGCCTCATTGCAATCGTTTTTTGACGTGCTATGACGGTCCATTTTTTTGCCCTTTTTTTAGCTGATGATGACGTAAAGTGTCGGTTGTTTTGACTGTAATGTTTACCCCCTCCCCCCCTTGTTCTAAAGTTAGAAGTTTGACAAAGTGCATATTTTTAAGTATCAGTCCTAGAAACAAAATTAAAAAACGTAATTAGGAAATTTAATTCTCTGCAACATTGAGAAAAACTCGAAAATGCACCGAAACGTCCAGCCGGGATGTACCTAAGTACTAGAGTTTATACAAATATGGAATATTCTGTTAAAATTGACTATTTTTAAATATTATTGGTGAAGAGGGAATTGAAATATAATAATTTTAGATTGGATGAAGAAGCTGAATGCAAGGATTTCTTTAACTTCCCTCCTTTGAAAATAAAATCGAGTTTATTTTATACGATATGAAATTTTATACAAATTCTATAAAATTACTTACCTACTGAAAATTTTCCATTTTATTATCTTTTCTCTGACACGTGATTTCAAAATTTTTTGTAACCAATCAAACACCTAAGTTACCGTAAAATGTTTGATATCTATATTGACGGCGATTCCAAAGTAGGTACATTTCCATTTTGCAGGTTTTCTATTAATGATTTTCCCTACAAATTTATAATTGCCCAAAGTATTTTAGTGGCCACTGTATTAAATTAGTTATCACTAACTGAATATTAAATATAAATACCGAATATAGCACAATTTTTACACACCATTTCTTTCACCTAAAATTGGAGAGATTCACTTGAATTGAAATCCCACGATAAATTATATTTCACGGATAAATTAGTTATTTAAATTGCGACCTGACCTATGTACGAAAACCCCTGGCGATTCATCCCCATAGGAATTCATTCCCATGAGTTTTCGTATCCAGGCCATTCCATACCCTGACGTTACAAACAATATCTCTTTACGATACCTATGTGAATTTATCGGATGAATTTGTTTGTTTTGCATCTCAATAGGTTTGTCAACATTTCAAAACAAATCGACAATATGTCATACATTTCTTAAAATAGTATATTAGCCAATCTATAAGACGTATGGTAACAGTAGCTGTAATTGGATTTAATTTTTTTGAATTTTCTCGAAATTTCGCTGTAAATTTGAGGTATTTTGAGTTCAAGGATAGATCAGTATAGCTTTGCATATTATGGAATTGGTGAATGTCATTTATCGTGGGATTTAAATTAAAGAGAATCTCTTATCTGATTCAACAAATCCGCTATTACAAAAAAAGGCCTTATTTAGCTAACCAATGCACAAAAAATAAGCGATCCATGGACATGTTTATGACAAAAACCTGCAGGCAAGGAGCATTTGCACCAAACAGTTTGTAAAGGTCTTGCCGGAAGTTCTTCAGTATTCATAAAGTTCAAGAAAACAAAGGTTAATTGCAGATTCGTTGGGTAGAGGCCCCAGTAGCGCTAGGTTCACGATAATTTTGTTATTTAATGACAGTAGAAGAAATTGGCAACATCTTATAGTACTTCTGCACAAGGGATTCCCACAGAACATTAATGCGTTACTGACATACCTATTTCTTAGGACATGAAAGAGAATAAAAATCATCATCACGCATCTATTTTTTAATTTACATTCATAAATAAATATTTACAGTCGTTCATCGGGTTTTGATTTCTTACCAGGCATAATGAGCACCAAGACCACTGAAAGAGGCATGAGAAACAACAGCGGCGGGCGAGTAAGCTACTGCGGCAGTTTTGGCGATGACTGGTGCGTGAGCGGCATAGGTTGCAACTGGAGCAGCATGATGAGCGTAGGCGAGGGGAGCGGCGTGAGCGTAAGTTGCAACTGGTGCTACAGCTAGAGCATCGTTGGTGATGCGGGTATCGTATTTGCGTACGCTGGAGAAAGCGCTGTCTACGGCTTTAGAGTAGTGAGACACGGCCTGGTTTCCTCCATAAGAACGGATCACACTTTGTTGGGTTGCGCCGATAGCGGGTGCGTGGACTGCTACTGGGGCGGCGTGGTAGGCTGCCACTGGGGCGGCGTGATAGGCTGCTACTGGGGCGGCGTGATAGGCAGCCACTGGTGCAGCGTGGACGGCGGCAACTGGTGCAGCATGAACGGCGGCTGAATGGTAAGCTGCTACTGGAGCGGCGTGAACGGCGGCGACTGGGGCAGCATGGACGGCAGCGTGAACTGGAGCGGCATGGACGTCGGCATGAGTTTGATGAATGTACGAGCTGCTAACTGCAGGTGCAGAAGAATAATGCGCCACGGGAGCGGCAGCTGCGTATGTAGCAACTGGGGCGGCGTGATAAGCGGCGGGTGCCGAATACAAATGTCCGGCCCTTGCAATGGCAATACAAGCGGCAAAGATGATAACCTAAAATACGAAATAAATATATTTCAGCTATCGGGGGTGAAGACCATTTAATACACTACCTTGTACATTCTGAGGATTGAAATGATAGGTGAGCTCGATAAGAAACCAAATCACAAAACTGATTCTTTACTCGAAGTTTCGGCGATTTTATACTCGATCATGTATCGTTGCAAAATGTATGGTTGATGTTGGTCCACTTTCGTTTTCATTGAAGGTCTGGGTTAGGGCGGCTAAGTTGACTGTTGCAAAAATGCCAATATCGCTGCCGGCAGCACCCAGACCGATCGTTAAGTGCAGTAAACTGGTTGTTCTAAATTTTTCCATTATGACCTCATCTCAAAGTGTTCATGCGGATTTTAATGTCGAGTGTCTAATTCTTTGTAATAAATTACAATTAAATATTAGAGTCACCGTAGGCTTATTTTCTTTACGATCACTTCATAAATATTAATTACCTATACAACACGTACATGCTGGGGTTAGTTTATCTATTCAGTCTGGTTTCATTGTATATATGCGTTACGCAATTTTTATTACATGATCGGTATGACTTAAACACGAAACGATTATATGTCTCGAATTTGGGTTCATGTAGTATTCATTATTTTAACACCCATATACACTGACTTTGATGAATCGATTGTTTAAAATTATTAATTAGGAAGGCTGTATTTAATTCAGCCACAGTATGTCTCGTTTGCAAACGAAAATTAGCATTAGTAGATAGATCATTACATTACATATTATACGATTAGTCCCATTAAATCAGACACTATCATAAGATACTGATGTAACGAAAGATAGAGAGAATTTCGAGGGTACCTACATATACTAGCATAGTGAATAGAATACTATGCTACTAGTAGAGGGTAAACCTAATTGGTGTAGTATAATAAGAGGTGCTAAAGCACGTGAGATCCATCTAAAAACAACTAAGGAAGGTTTGAATAAATTTCTCATTTTCATTTTCAACAATTTCCTTTAATTTCACATATATGAACTGATATGTAAAATTGGGAATATTCTCCCATCACTTCGATTTTGTGGAAATTGCGTGCCAATATTTCTCCCGAATTACACAAGGGTTATAAGCTTTTATGGTTTTTGAGTTATTTAAGTATTCAAAGTAGTACTTAGCTTATTTATAGACAAAGACCTTCTATGAAGAATTAGGGTTTGGACACACTTTCAGAGAATCTTCGATTGCTTTCCAAACCCTCATAAAACATTTTCTATAAAACGTTAATTATTTATTCATGACAGATTTTTTAATATTCTGCAGATTTTTTAGAGCTTGAATAGAAGAAATCCTGCAGAGATTCTTCCTGAAACCTGCGAGATTCCAAAACTATTCAGAGATTCTGTCCATATTTTTAAAGATGCCATTTTGAAATTCTGTAGACACACTCTAAAACAAATACTAAGAACCACAAAGAAAGAGTTTTTTGTATAGTCTTTTAGGGGTGTGTTTGTACACATATTCTATAGAAAGGAGGTCCTTCAGGAATGTTAAAATGACTGAGCGTGAATCTTTTATACAAAATCCCGAGAACGGTTACACAATGCAAAAAATAAATAACTTACATTTATTGATGAGTTAAATTTTTTTCTAATTGATAGTTGATTGTCTTCTTTTAAAACATAGCCGAAATTCAGAAAACTTGATGGTGAAATGTCTTGTGCAATACAATCAGACCTTTTGTACCACCTGGTAAACTTGACTGCTCGTTAAAAGTGAACTTCGAATATTTCAACTTGAATCAGGTTTCTAGCAATTTCTTAGCTTAAACTCAATGGATTAATGTTCCGCAGTATGGAAATGTAAAAAAGTACCCTTATAACTTAGGGTTTTAACAGATAACAAAAGCACTAATTAATTGTCTTTAACCTTTTTACCGGTTGCCACTTTATTCAAAATCTGGGTAGCGTCTCGTATAAACAAAATCGGTGCACAAATTTGATTGATAAACTGTTTTTTAACATAACTAGCCACTCCAATTATAATGTAATGAAATGTTTTGCAATTTAACCACAATGCCTTCGTAGTGACAATTTATTTTTACGCGCATACGCTACTCCATTAAAACAACGAAACAAAATCTTTTGGCTTACCCTTTAAAAGGTAACATTTCGCACTATTCATGATCAGTATTCTATTAGTCAGTTTTGAGTCCACTATCAATGAGATCTTGTCGAAGGCTACCACATTTCCTGTGTACCACTTCCGACGTCCTGCGCACCCACAATTCGCGTTTGAAGTTTTGGCTCTACCATCAGTAAGATCTTGTCGGGAGCAACTATATTCCCTTTGTCGGTACCCACCTCAGACGTCCCGTTCACCCGCAATTCGCAATTTGGTGGATTTCGCTAAAAAAAAAACCATAAAATAGTACTCAATTTGTGGGTACTTCTCATAGCTCGAGCTGCTCAAGTTTACGAGACCTTTCCAACGACACCAATTTTAAAACAATCGGACCAAAATTGTAGAAGAAAAAACTGAAAAATCTCCACGTTTGTATAACATGCTCGGAGATGGCGCCCAGGTGTCGCCGACCGCACATCATCTAGCCCCGTCTCTAAAGTTGTTAATTACACAGCCACGGTAGGTACATTTACATTCCTCGTCTTTCTATAAGCGTTCTTCCACGGACCCGCATTTCCTGCCACCCAGCCGGCACACTGTAGCGTTTCGACTTTTATCTAGTTGAACACTCGTTGTTATCTTAACGCGTTTCATTTTCCCTCATATTAGTTCCGTTCTCTTTCTCTATAAAGCGGTACACGTATAAAAATTCCCTATACCGGCAATTTTGTAGTATAATTAACAAAAAAATCTTTAATGCCTAAAGTGACTACGTGTTAAAACGATCAAGGCGAAAGAATCGGGTGGGGGTAATGTGGAATCGTGATTGTGGCAGCAGGAACGGGACAATGGGACAAGAGGCAGGCGTGGAGAAATGGACCAATGGAGGAATATAGAAGATTGGATTCGTCTGTGGTCTGCAGAATAAGACAATATAATAAACATTGCCTAAAATTAGAGACAAGTCATCAATAGACAGCCATTGTATACAGGGTGTCCCATTTTCGACACTTTTGAGGGCATCTCCGTGATAAAAAAAGTAATACAGGCGTCATGTGTTCTTTTTGGGTGAAATAAAATGGTAAAGTGAAAATTACAAAATATTCATTCGTTTAAGAGATACGGGGGAAAATCAAAAAATTGTCAATTCCGAAATGACCCTATCTTTTCTTAGTTAAAAAATATAGAAAAATGTTTGTCATAAATCTTTCTTTATAATTATTGCTGAATAATTCTCTCTTACCAAAATAATTATACGGAGCTATGGAAAAAAGTGTTGGAACCTAACCACATTATTTTAATGGCGCATACTATATATTTTAATCTAAAGAAATAGCATATTCAATTTTCTTCTCAAAAATATAACAAATTGAATATTGATTCAAGAATATTTTGGAATTTTTTGTATTCCTTTGAATCATTTGAAGCTTTATGAATGTTTTTTGAATCAGTTGGATCGTTTTTGAATATCATTCCTTGTGTGACAAGGAAATGCTACGGAAATATGTAGACTACTGGAAAGCAAAACGCAAGATAATCAAACAAGGTAGGAAGATGGACGCATACTAACATAATTGACGTAGGTTAAGGAATAATATCAGTGACATAAATAGCACTATAATGAAATTTTTGTAATAATAGTTATTTATGCATCAAGGGCATTAAGGCGATATTTATGCCGAGGGCGACAGAGACCGAGGGCCTCCGGCCCGAGGGATTATAAGTCGCCCGAGGGTTAAATATTGAGTAATGCCTGAGGTGCATACAACATTTTATTTTTCATCGTTCCAAAGAATGCATTTCCAATATACAAATTTCATGATTATTGTTTGCCCAACATTCAAGTGCTTCATACAGATCAAGTTGCATCTTTTTTATGACATAATATAACTCCGTCAATCAACTTGACAGGCCATTTGAGGGCATAATAAGATGACAATCCATTATGCCCTCTCATTATGCCCTTGGGCGTAATAGACTGCTTCATGTATCACATATAACAGATATAATTGACATATAATAGGCAAATGAAAAATAAA